GAGGGCCGTTGGGTTTGGGGTTTTTCAATGGTTCAGTGCTGCGAACATTTAAGCACGCTCTCCACGGATGCGGCGGGCGAGTTGGATGTCCTTTGGCATGATGGTGACACGCTTGGCGTGGATGGCACAGAGGTTGGTGTCCTCGAAGAGACCGACGAGGTAAGCCTCTGCAGACTCTTGAAGAGCCATCACAGCCGACGATTGGAAGCGGAGATCGGTCTTGAAGTCTTGAGCGATCTCACGGACAAGTCGCTGGAAGGGCAACTTGCGGATGAGAAGCTCGGTGGACTTCTGGTACCGACGGATCTCACGAAGAGCCACAGTTCCCGGACGGTAACGATGGGGCTTCTTGACTCCTCCGGTGGCTGGGGCCGATTTGCGGGCAGCCTTCGTGGCCAACTGTTTGCGGGGAGCCTTTCCTCCAGTCGATTTGCGAGCGGTTTGCTTGGTGCGAGCCATTGTGGTTCAGATGCGATACACTGATGGTTACTGAGGGAAAGAGGGGGTCTTATAAAGGGATTGGGGGTGATGGGCGGGGTTTTTAGTGGGAGAGAGGCAAGGAGAGATCGGGCGAAGAGAGAGTTCCTGAGGCTAGGTGGGAAAAGAATTGGTGAGAGGGACTGCTTAGGATAAGGGGGCGTGCCTACTTTAACCAAATATCGACCCCAGGCATCCCTCCTCAAGTCCCATTCCTTTCGCCTATAAATACCCCATCCAATCCACTCATTTCCCATCTCATCACTGAGCAACTGAACAATGTCTGGACGTGGAAAGGGAGGCAAAGGACTCGGCAAAGGAGGCGCCAAGCGTCATCGCAAAGTTCTCCGCGACAACATCCAAGGAATCACCAAGCCGGCTATCCGCCGTTTGGCCCGTCGTGGTGGTGTGAAGCGTATCTCTGGATTGATCTACGAGGAAACCCGTGGAGTTCTCAAGGTGTTCTTGGAGAATGTGATCCGTGATGCCGTCACCTATTGTGAGCACGCCAAGAGAAAGACTGTCACCGCCATGGATGTCGTCTATGCCTTGAAGCGTCAAGGACGTACCTTGTACGGATTCGGTGGATAAGAAATCACGAGAAGCAATTCTCAAAACAAAACCCAACCCAACGGCCCTCTTTAGGGCCACAAATGATTTTCAAGTTAAATTTAGGTATATAGAAGCAGTGAAGACTTTAAACAATTTTTTTTATGAATTGGGTTGGTCTTAGTCCTCTGTAGCTTTGCATCAGTAAATATTTGCACAACTTTACCCTTTTATTACATTTGTTACTTTTAAAAATTGTTTTAAGAATTCATTTTCGCATCCAAACATGAGTCAGATTCTAATCACTCAATTCTCTCACTCTCTTTCATACGATGACCCTTTTGGAGAGAAATTTGGCGCCCAAACGCCTGGAGTCATGCCAACGGCTTGATAAAGGCAATTTTTTCTTCAAAAATCTTAGGATCAATAAAATATTTTAATTCTCTAAAACATAAAAAAGAAGATTTAAAAACATTGCACATAAAGAGATGGGCGTTTCGATCGAAGAAAAACGAGTACCGTAGACAATGGATAAGTGTTTCTGAATTAACTGAAAAGGGCTCAATTTCAGAAGCTGGTTGATTGCTCGTGAAATCTGGTATAATAAAATGAAACAAACTGTACTTATCTGGTAGGTCTGAATATAATACTTGCTGCTGGTTTACTACACTTGAGAATTGAAATAAGTTCAAATTTTACCCACGAAAATGGGAACAAATGCTTTGGATACGGTATTTTAGAAGCAGAATTGATGGTACCGACGATCAAAACAAAACCCCAACCCAACGGCCTTCTTTAGGGCCACAAATGAACCAAACAAAAATTAGAGTTCTTTGCAAAAAGCTTTGATGAATCTCAATAAAGATTTTTTTCGAGTTGAAGATTAATCAAACTGCATCAAACTCGAGCAAGAAACACTTTAAGTTTATATCAACTAAACAAGAAAGGCACGTCTTGGACGGCTTTTTGACTTCTTGGAGGGGTTACCCAATGATCAGAATTTCAATTCTGAAGTCAACTCATGTATCACTACTGTCACAAATGAACCAAACCAATACAATTGAGCTTTGTTTTGTTTTCTGAGAAAAGCAAAAATGCAGCAAACTCGAACGTCACACAAAACTAGCCAAGTTTGAATGTTTCCAAATGATAAAACGAAACTCAAATTAATTTTTTGACTTTTGAATGCTTTTTTGTTCCCTTCCTATTCTAGTAATGACACTTGTATCACTTGTCTGCATTGATCTGCATTATCTGTCGATTACAAACGGGGATGATCACAATTTCTTGACCCGAAATTCAAAACCAAACCATTGGCATTACTCCAGCAATTTTGGCGCCAAATTTTGAAGAGATTGGAGAAGAACGAGAGAATCAGCCGATGAGAGTTCTGGCGAGGTTGGGATGCCGAAAATGAAAGTTTTGTTCATTGTTGAGGCAACTGAATAACTGTGCTCAAAGATAATTGGAGTAGATCGGGCCGGCGTGAGCTGGGCTAGTTAGGGTAAATTGTAAAGTTTGACTGTACATTAGTGTCCATGAATTGCGATGGATGAATTTGCTTTCAAGAATTCTTTCAAACAAAAAAAAATTGAACGCAATAATAGACAAAGATCTGATTCAAAATTAAAACTTTTCCTTAAAAACCATAGTTAGAAATCTAAGTCTCTGCTCATTTGTGGCCCTAAAGAGGGCCGTTGGGTTGGGGTTTTGTTTTCCATCTAAATCTCTGGGAGATTTATTTGGATGAGGTGTACTTGGTGACAGCCTTGGTACCCTCAGAGACGGCATGCTTGGCGAGCTCTCCGGGCAAGATGAGACGGACAGCGGTTTGGATTTCACGGGATGAGATCGTGGACCGTTTGTTGTAGTGAGCGAGACGAGAAGCCTCAGCACCGATGCGCTCAAAGACGTCATTCACGAACGAGTTCATGATTGACATGGCCTTTGAGGAGACACCAGTGTCGGGGTGGACTTGCTTGAGGACACGGTAGATGTAGACCGAGTAGGACTCCTTTCTTGACTTTCTTCTCTTCTTGTCTCCAGAACGCGGGGTCTTCTGGGTCTTGGCGGCCTTCTTGGCTCCCTTGGCGGACGGCTTTGGTGGCATGTTGAAGTTGAGAGTTGGCTTGGGTTGTCGAACACAAGATGAAGGTTGGGGTTTGGAGGGGCTGTTATATGAGAGATGGAGTGGAGAGGCGGAGTTACGAATGATGCTGAAGGCTGACCCTGGGGGTACCCCAACCCTCTCTACAATTTCCCTCTTTCCCTTTTCTCTTATCTTGATCCCGCCCATTCACTCCAAAACCCTCATAAACCCTGCCATTCCCCAAAAATCCATCGACAGTTCTCAGTCACCAATCTCTCTTCAACTCTCTCAACAATGTCTGGACGTGGTAAAGGAGGCAAAGCCAAGACCGGAGGCAAAGCAAAGTCCCGCTCGGTTCGTGCCGGACTTCAATTCCCCGTTGGTCGTCTTCACCGTCTCCTCCGCAAGGGCCACTATGCTCAACGTGTCGGAGCTGGAGCACCAGTCTACCTTGCCGCCGTTCTCGAATACCTCGCTGCTGAGGTGTTGGAGTTGGCCGGTAATGCCGCTCGTGACAACAAGAAGACCAGAATCAACCCCCGCCATCTCCAACTGGCGGTCAGAAACGACGAGGAGTTGAACAAATTGTTGTCCGGAGTCACCATCGCTCAAGGAGGAGTTCTTCCAAACATCCAAGCCGTTCTTCTCCCAAAGAAGACCGCCGGAGACAAGGAATAAGCTGTTGAACAATCAACAAAAAAAACCCCAAACCCAACGGCCCTCTTTAGGGCCACAAAGGAAACAAAACCAATATATCTGTCCAGTTAAATCTTTGAAAATATCTTAAAGATCCATACTTTTGTAGTTCGGTTTCTCTTCTTGCAAGATTCATGATAAGAGATCTTCAGGAGATCCTAGGAACCAAACTCCTATGAAATTTGACTCCTGGTTTTCTAAAATTTCAGCCTAAAATAGATTAAGGTATTGATTTTTTTTTTTGAATAATACTGAACCATTCTTTACCGATTTTGGAAACTAACCAGAAATAGGATTGGCGTTTGGGCGCCAAAATTGAAATATTGGCTGTGATGAGAGAGAGGAGGAGAATTAGACAATCAAGTTTAGACCCGGTCAAGATTCCAAGAAAAATTGGTCAAAATAAGTTTTAGATTTTAAAACCACTATACATAGTTTAAAAGATTGTATAGGACTGGCTGAAAACTGGAATACATACTTTAAAACTGTAAGACTCCACTTTTCACAAACTTGCAGTGATCCCTTTGTTTAGACTTTCAGTGAGTACTTTCAACCCTTAAGATCCATGAGACTCAAAATGAAATTGTGTATGTGACAAAGCAATTCTCTGTCGCATTTGCATATTGCCAACTCTCATTTCTCACATGGCCTACAATCTATAACTGAGCACAACTATAACTCTAGAAGTTCTCAAATTGTGTTAGATTCCCTGCAAATAAAACTATAAAACGTTTACTCAAACCTGAAAAAAAGAAACAAGTAAATATTTCTATAGCCCAAACATTCATCTTCGTTATTTCAAAAACCGGGGCCTTGTGTTAGAAAGAAAATGAGGGGGACAGAGGTTTTTGTTAGTACCATTTTGTGTTGAACCATTTCAGATTCAATAATTTACGACAGAATAGGCCAAGTTCGAAGAGGGGAAATCACAGTCGGCTAGGGTTTTTGCCAAATTTTGCATTCAATTACAATAAGCTTTAAATAATAAATGTAAATTTCGGCTCCCTTACACTATCTGCATAGATTTGGCACTAAAATGTTTCGGAAAAGAGAGAAATGAAGGACGGATCACGATGGGGAAAATCACACTATGACAACATCATGAAAAACGACACCCAATTTAATCCCGAAAGTCTCTTGAAATGAAAACAGATAATAAATAAAAATATTATTGAGTTGAATTTGTTTATTGATGTGGCTGCCCGTCGACGGGTTCAGCTGGAGCGGCACTGAATGGGTCCACACTCTCCTCGGACTCTGAAAAGATTTGCATGGATGAGTTGGGGCTTGTTTGAGTTCTAGAAATCCTAGAACACCTTAATCTATCTACCTCTAGTCACCCTATTTACCTGGCATTTGTGGAATGAAGTTGAACGCTTGCGTGGGCATGGGCATTTGAGGAGCTAGTGGGGCGGTCATTGAACTGGCTCCTGAAGGACTTGTGGCACCGCCGATACCGCCAACCGTGCGATACCGTGAGGCGGCACCGCCTGCTCTAGCACCTCGAAGTCCCGTTGTTGGTGCAGGAGCTGGCGGAGAGGATGGAGCAGCTGAAAGTTCGGTTTGAAAACTTTCCGGTTCAGCATGACTGTATAAGGTATTATGTTGATATATCTTACCCATTTGCGGAGCTGCAGCAGCTAAGGGATTAGCTGAGGGCTGAGCTGGAGCTGGAGCCATTGCTGACATCATCGGAGGTGGTGCTGGGGCCACTTCTTCCTCCACTCCATCACCAACCCACTGATTGAGTACTGGATCATATCGAATCTAGAATAAACTTATTTAATTATAAACTCTTATTTGTTTCAATATCTGGTTTTACTACCCACTTTTGGATTTGAATCATCCGGCAACTTTGCCTCACTCGATGTTTTGCTCTGAACGAATTGGGCGATTTTTTGAATGAAACCACCTGACGATCTTGATGGACTTTTCTAAAGATTATATGTAATTAACTAGTCTCTAAAGTTACCTTTAGAGTTCCAGTGGGGGGCTTTTCTTCAATCTTTGGAGTTTGTCTTGGTTGTTCATACAGTTGTTGTTGAACAGGAGCCGGAGAATGCTGTGGAACGGACATCGGCTGGTGTTGAGGTTGAAGTTGTGGTTGTGGTCTTGAAGGCTGTGGTTCAACTCGTGGCTGCATCACTTGTTGCACAGGTACTTGCGGAACTTGTGGCATGATCATTTCAGGTACAGCAGCTAGAGGGCTGGGTGGACTTGGTTGTTGATATTGTTGATCCCATTGATTTTGTCTCTCGGGTGATTCGCTGAAGTGTTGCTTGGGGCGACCGTTTGAGACTTGGGAAGAAACGCTAGCCCGTCGATCGACACCTGAAAGGTTTCTTTCGTAAAAAATTTTGGCTCAGCACTTTAAATCTTCTGAAGAACTGTAAAGCTTGTTTGCTTCACTACAGCCTGATTAATAATTCCACCAATCTATTGGATTATGAAGCTCAAGAATAAACCTATATGAATACCAACCTGCATGCATGCTAATCGGATCTTGTTGATTATGCCAATCAGCGGCTTGAGACGAGATTGAGTTGATCCTTGACCTCACTGGAGAGTAAAGTTCTTGGGGATTTTCAGCGGATTGAAGTGGCTGATATACAAATGAGCTATTCAAATCCTCATGTGATGAAGCGTTTGTTTGTTGTGGTGGTTGAGGGATAGGCGGTTGAGGGACTGGTGGTTGAAGGGCTGGTGGTTGAGGGACTGATGGTTGAGGGACTGGTGGTTGAAGGGCTGGTGGTTGAGGGACTGGTGGTTGATGGTAGTTGTCGATGGGGTGGCCCTGAAATTTGATTCGGATGAGAGCTCAAAAGCGATCCAACTCAAAAAGCGTAGACGTTTAAGTTTTAAAGCCACGATTACAACAAGTCATAGCTATCATTTACTTTTCGCTTTTACCTGCTGAACTGACGGTTGAGGTGGAGCTGAGTTCGTGGCTGGAGCTGCTTGTTGACCCATTTGAGGAATGGGTTGAGCAATTTGTTCGGTGTGTTGCTGTGGAATGATTTGAGCTGCCTGTTGCCGGAGTTGTCCAATCCAAACACCCGCTTCCATTGAAGTCTAAGAAGCTTATTTTAGACCTCCCAACTCTTCACTCACTTCACTAGCCATGAACGTTTGATCGGCGATATCACAGAGCTCGAAGAGTGACTGCAATGGCACCATTGAATAGTAGGGCCAAATTTGTTGAGCAACATCGGTACCGTATCTGAATGAGATGATAAGCTTGAGAAAGACAATTATCCGGCATTAGCTAAGAATATGCTTCACGTGGTAACTGGTCCAAAACTTACTTGAAAGCATTCTTTGGGAAACCCATCTCCGCTAAAAGCCGAGCATATTTTATCCGGTTCATTTGGAAATCAAGCGAGGTCGATAGAGGACTCGTTTCCCGCGCTAGCGACACTCCATAGGCGAAAATCTCTGTTGCATGCAGATCCGTCAACGAAAAGCCATATCTGAAAGTTTTGTTTTGAAGGTTTAAGCACTAAAACTTTGGATTGTAAATCAAAAATCTTTGATTTTCGTTAAAAGAACCAAAGCTGCAATTCTATTTCACGGATATTCTTTTGTGAGACAAAAAGGATATTCAACTTGTTAATTGAGTATCTTCGGCATCTTTTCGTCGAAAATTTTTGTTTATTTCATTCTTTTCTCTCATTCAGTTCATTTTACACTTTTCCAATCAACGCGTCAATAGAATTTATTTTTGCTCTTTGCCGTTCACTTTTTAAAACTTTAAGGCTACTCAAATTTCTATAAGCAGCCCTCACGCATCCTCTCCGTGACCTATTCATTACACTCCACTACTTCCTTCTTCAAAACTTCTTAAGTTGCACTGAATTTTATTTGACAATTTACGTGTTTGTAATCGGTAGCAATTTTTAATTTTAGCAGCAATGACGACTGAAAACACAGCCACCGTTGTTGAGGACAAGCCAGCCGGGCATTTGAAGTCGGAGGACGCTACGAAGCAAGAGGTGGAGGGATCGGTTGGAGGATTTTTTCTTTACCTAATTTTTTTATTCTAGGCTGAACCTGTGCAAGAGGCTGTTCCGAAGGCCGAGGGCAAGAAGGCGCACGAAAGCGAACAGGAAAGTGGCGACAAGGAGGTCTTGGTTTTAAACATTTTTAAATTATTAGTGATTGAGTTAATGGAGTGTGTAATCACATCTAAAAAATGCCACTGATTCAGTTAGTATGTTTTATATAACGCTAAATAATCTGTTTTTAGGTTGTTCAGGAGGACGCCACGCCCAAAGCCGAGGAATCCGCTGAGGAGCATGAGGCAGACGCCGAAAAGACTGAAGACGGAGAAGTAGAGACATTATTTTGGCGTTTAGTAATGAATCGTTTAGTGCTCCGATGGCAAGGACGAGGAGAAGGTTGCCGAAGCTGAGGCCGAAGAAGCCGGTGCACCAAAGACTGACGTCGATATGGTTAGTGAATCTTGTTTATGATTGTGTAATTTCTTTCTTCAGGTTGCTGGCGACAAGGAGAATGCCGGTCAGGAAGCTGACAACAAGAAGAATGAGCGTAAGCGGGCCGATGCTGAGGATCAAACCGGCGAAGAAGAAGAGGGCAGTGCCATTAAGAAGCTGAAGGTCGACGAACCGTCTGAGCAACCTGCACAACAAGTTCAATCCGCTGGAGGCGACGCCTAATCAAGTCATTCATTGTTGTCGTATGTTGCATTTATTGTTTGTTATTATTTCATCCACGTATATTGTTTAATTTAACTAATTCTCAGTATTTTGCTTTTTCTCAATAAAATACTTGTCGTTCACTGTTGCTTCACAATTCATAGTTTGGTTGAAGGGCGTGAAGATGCTAAACATGGACTCACTTGCAATCTGTCGAATTATAAGCGTCATCTGGTAGACTTGCGTTGATCAAAGAGATATGTTGTCGAATTGGCTTGTCGGTTTTTACGGCTTGAGCAACAGGTCTGAACACATCGTGGCCAGTCAAAAGAGAAACAGCTGAATTTTCCTTTGAACCTTTGAATGAGGGTTTACGTTTTACCTAAAAAGCAGAAGTCTGCAGCGGCGTTATATTCCCTTTTGAGCAAGAACTTTCCCGAGCTCGTAAACGGTAGACATTGCCCACGACGTGTTCAAGTTGGCAAGAACAATAGCAGCATGTGCCCTCCAACTGCCGCCATCGTCTGTTGGTGGATTGATCTAAGATGTTGTTGAATCTTTGACTTTATAATTTACTCACTAAAATAGGTGCCCTTTGATCTGCAGCCACTGTCAACAGGGTTGTAACGGGGTTGTTCTGCAACATTGAGTTAATGTAGCGCTCTTCGATTTGGGCCAATTTCGTGTTATCAACCCGTCTCGCCAACACCAAAGCCTCAGCATACATTTCGTATTGAAGTGCCAAATCAATTGCCTCCTGAAATTTTATACGTTGATCAGTAGGTTTATTGCTTATTTACCTCCACGTGTCCTCGCAATAAGAAATCGTTGAAAGCATCTTTGATCCTAGGATCGGGGCCACGTACAGTTGGTGTTGTGGATCTTTCACGATGCGTAGCCAATAGCCGTTCTCTTTTAGTGACCGTTTCCGGGGCGGCCGCGAGAAGAAGTCGAGCAATATCCGGTCCAGTTACTTTCTAGAATCATAAAATTTTAGTGAACTTACCACTTGAGAAGTAGAAATGTTTATATAACTTACTCCATGTTGTTGAACGACAACGCGCAAGAGTTGCCAAAGTAGGCGACAATCTTGTACATCGTTATCAGAAGGACATTCTTGAGCCACATCCGATCGCTCTAGTCGATTGATTTGCCGTTCGATGTACAAGGTGACCTGAGTTTTCATATGAATTTCTAAAATTGCTTTTATTTACTTGATGTGAAGGGGTTTGAGCTGTTAGTGGGCCACGGAACATCTGAATGCTTTCAAAGAGTCGTCTCGACTGGTCATCGTGGAGAATCGTTGAGATACTCATTAGCTAAAGTGTTCATTGCATGATTAAATTTAACTAGTAATCGTATCGAGTCAAAGAGTTTGGACAATGAGCTACCTTTACTGTAGTTGGTCCGAAATTTTTAGGATCGATGATCAGTAGCTTTCCATTTGGGCCAAAAACGGTGAAAGTTTTCGGTGCCGTGAACTTGAGCGGTCCTCTCTGAAAATGGAAATTTTAAACCTACTATTGCAATTGAAAAAACTGGATTGTCTAATATTTTCGTACCTGTTGAAGTTCAAGACTGCCATTGTCACTTGCCTCATCAGCTCGTTCTCCGTAATCTCTCTCGCTTTGACTGAAAAATCTTTGAATGTACAAATTGACCAAATTTAGCAAAATCCCAAAATGCGATAGACAACAGAGGGCCCAAGAATTGAAAAAAATAACAGCTTTCCCATAATATAAACGTTTTTTCAGAAAATATTCCAAAGAATTTGTGAGTGGTAAATCTGAAGGTGTGTTTGGAAGAAAAATGAATCGAATTTGGATGGAATTGGAATTGGAATATTTTCTTGAGTTCCCTGCTTTTTTCCAGAACTTACTCGTCATCGTCGGAATGACGATCGGGTAAATACATGCTGAATTGTTAGGGTTTTAGGCTAGAACTAATTGATGCTAAGATAAGATTGACTAAAAGATTCAGCGTTTACCGTTCTTCCTCATCGTGACTATCGCGTTCGTCGCTGAATAGCTGTTTTTGGGTGTTCGTGTAGCGCTCCTTGTTCAGTTGAGTGAAACGCGTTTGCATTTGAGCGCAAATCTAAAATTATGAGTCTAAAGTGTTGCACAAGTATACAAATTTACCTCTCTGATCATCATTTACATTTATCTTTATTTGTTTAGTAGCTTCTGTAGCTTTTTACCTCATAAAGTGCATCATCATCGCTCGCTCCGGACGCAGTAAGTGTATAGAACTCTCGATTGAATTTCTTGTGGAATCCCTCAACATCCAAATAATGTCGTTGCCAGAGAGCTGTGTAAAAGACAAATGCCACTCTTTCTATTGGTCGCAGTTGATAGTATTGCTGTGGTGGAGGGAATTTGCGAATTGTGGCCACGAACTTTGCCTAAAGATGAATTTAAGAGTGTTTATGCTTTGAAAACGTACCAATGGAACTTTCAATGTGCCGATGAGATAGATCTCGATCTGCGTCAAATGTTGTTGAGCCATTTGCGCGTGCGCGTTATACTGGGCCATCTCGGCGTCCATTTCTGGAAAGTCTGGCTCTTCCAAAGGCTAACCGTTATTAAAGCTGATTCAATGACGACTCCTCTTGCCACTTACCCGAATCAGCTCCATCAGCACTCTCACTGCTCACACCAGGCGAGTTGAACACATCATATTGATCCAGTCCCATACCAGAGCGTTCCATTCTGGAATTCTTGATGATTAATGGGTTACATGCTTCAATGCTAACTAAAGAAATCTAGTTTATGCGTAAAGCAAAGCAAAAAGATTCATAAAGACATCAAGTACAAAGCATTTGAATTTCAAAACGAAACGATCGTGAATCTTTCAGAAATTCAAATGCTCTTTTAAATCTTTGTTAAAAATCAGAATCAACTCAATCGGCTCACAATTTTCTAATATAAACTCGAGTGCGGTGAGTGGGACTGAAATTGTCGATTTGTGCTGGATTAGTAGAAAAATTTGGAAATCTTTCTTTAGCAGAAAAGAGATTTTGTAGAAGAGATATCGGCTTGTCTTAGTTTAAAGATTCAATTGTTGAATTGTTCAACCTGGCCATCGCTCTAGTGTCGTAGCTGCTTTGTGGGCGTCGTCGTTGCTGTTCTCCGCCCTGAAGATCTCCATATCCGGCGACACTTCGACGACCAGCCGACTGGTTATTGTAGCCGTAATTTGATCTGAATTGTAGACAAATTTAAAAAAACTCGATTGTGAAGGTGTAATGTACTCAAAAAGTTAACGAAGCTGAAGAGATTGAGTGATAGCTGGCTTTATTAAAGCACTTGATCAAGTTAGTCTAACATTTTGTGCTAAAAAGGTCAACTTTTTCAAAACTCACTGTCGACTGTGCCGGGGTGCATTTGGATCAATGGGGTAGCGCTGTTGTTGTTGCTGTGGTCGATAAACATTTTGCACTTGTCGGAACATTCGACTCCTTCTCGAATTCTCAACAAAGCTCTCTCCGTAAGCGGTCTGCGGGCTCTCGAATGAGTAATCGAGTGGCACATCGGGATTAGTCAAAACTGACGTGTTGCCTGGAATTTGCGAATAGAGAACTAGAGAAATTACGGCTTCTACGGCTGCTTTTTGTTAAAATCGATAGTAAAACCAATTAGTTTTGGGATACTTTAACCAGACACTCTTAAAACTTTTTTACAAGCTCATTTGTAACTATCGACTATCGACGATGCTGATTAACATGAAGATAGCACCGTAGAAGTTCCCAAAGTATTACAGTAACATTTCTGTATTAAAATTACCATCATGCCCTTGCATACTCCTATTTTGATGAAGTCCCATCTCATAGTGAGCGCTGGCCGGTCGAGATGATGAGTTATTAAGGCGATTCAACACCGATCGACGACCTTCCCTAGAAAGTTTTTATAGTATAAAGTTTCTTAAATGTATGCCTTTAAGCATATCTAATTATCTTTTTCTTAAGCTTACTCGAAAAGTGGATTCGGTCGACCGGTTTGTCCGGTATTCGCGTTCGGGCCACGGAGCATGCTTTGACGGCTGACGATTTGCGGAATTCTGAAAATAAAAAGATTTTAAAAGTCAATACTTTAATAACAGCATCGGTATTTTTACTCTGCAACAAATTTTGCAAAGAAACAAAACTAATCAACTATGAAGCGGAAGCGGACTGGTAACCAAACCGGGTCAGTGCTATTACCAGTTTAGATAGCTTTTAAATGTGTAGCTGAAGGGTATTTAAAATAGATAGTTAGTAAAGCCAACTTGGCATAATCTGTCAAAGCAAACCTCTTTTTGTATTCTAGATATTGATTCGAGATTTGGGTCCGAGTGAGAATGCTTGACGCGGCGCTGTCATTTGCCTCCTGTTCGCGGTAGTCGTCGGCGGTGAATCGGCCTAGAGAAATGTTAAAATATTCATTAAATATGTAGATTTATTAGTATTTTCAAATATCTATCGGAATAGCACTTTTGCATTAACCAGAAAGAACCAAGTTTAAGTCAAAGTTGTAACCAAACTTTAGGAATAAATTTCAAAGGCTTACCCTCAATTTTGAGAAATCAATTAGAAAATTTCAATAACTAGAATGATTTAATGAAAGATAAGCTTCTAATCTAGTGACATTCCGTGCTTTGAGAGTGCCAAAAATCGATAATCGGAGACAGTTCCCCGGTCTCTTTCCTTTCCTCACTGTTTTGATAAATATTTACCCTATGTCTTTGCAAAGAAGACCGTTTGCTCTTTGATTGTTTTTAAGATATTCAACACAAAATAATTACCGGATGTATTCAGAGTTCTCGTTGTTGGCTGAGAAGTGTTCCATCCAAAGAGAGAGTTCGTCGCCGAGTATTCGGTCTCGAGGTCTTGATTGAAAGCTTGGATCTTCACGAAACCATCACTTGTCCTAAATTTTAGCTTTAGAATTACCTTTTTGTCTAAATAGACTTTGACAAATTTCAAGTAAATAACGTTGTTTTGATCTGTGAAACAAAACTGCCTTGAAACCGTCTTTGACTCGCTTGACTTACAGTTTTCAAACACCAAACTATGGCAACTGATCAGCTTCTTCACTTGCACTCACCTATCACTATTTTGTGTATCGGAGAGCTGTGTCTGTAAATCCTTCTTCACTGGAGTGTCTGATGGAGACGGAACATTGATATCCAAAGCAGCCGTCGCAATCTCTTCCTCTTTTGTCGTCGGTGTTGATTCGGCCAACGGTTTTCCGGGCTCATTTGAAGAAGAAGAGATTGGAGTCATTGGTTCTTGCTTGATCGAGGCAAGGATTTTTGACTCAAGAGGTGGTTGGAGCTCTTCGAGATTTGGGATTTTGATCTCAGGAACGGGGGTTTCCATTTGAGGAGCTGGTGTTGGAGGTTTCTGTTCGGGCTCATTTTCTTCGAATTCGATCTTGGGATTTTGTGGAATTGAGATCTCTGGTTTTTCATCGACAGCTGGTGTCAAGCTGGAGTCTTTGGAGGAAGAGCTCTGAAATTTGGTTTTCATAAGGTTCATAAACAGGCAGTTTTAGTTCTAGTAGTTTTTAGCCTTGAATACAACTGGATCAAGGCTTAGGCAAACTCTTGATAGACTAGTTTGTTTTCAAAACCAACTTTAGCAATCAGTGGCTCAGTTGATCCTTCATGTTCTTGATGAGCTGGTTCTTCGGTGGCTTCCCGCGACACCTCACTTGAGAAATGCTCAGCCAGTGGCTCAGATTGCGTAGTGAGTTGAGAGTTTTCTTCAGGAGTTGACTAAAAAGACATTAAGTGATTTTGATATCAATTCTTGGGAAAAGCTTATACCAAACCAAACCTCATGTTCTCCCCAATTGTCCCATTGATTTCCCATTTGACTCGTTCCCATCATGTCAATAGTGGCTTGTTGTTGATGGTGTTCATTCTGGGTTTCGTGTTGCTGATTTCCCCAAGAGTCCCAGTTGTTTTCTTGTGGTGTGACTTCTTTTTGTTGTTCATGTTCTACCTGGGATTCATGGTTCCAGTTTTCAACTTGTTGGGCAAAAATGGGTTCAGCAATGGGTTGTGCGACAGGTGGAAAAGCTGTTTGAGGATAGGAATTAGTCGAATCAATAGAGGATTGACGGTATTGATCAAAAGATGGTTGCTGGTATTGATCGAAAGATGGTTGCTGGTATTGATCTGCATGTTGATTAGCAGCGTGTTGGGAGAACTGATTGACCAAAGAGTCCTGGGGGTTGGGGTTGGATTGATGATGGAAATGATTAGAATCAGCAGAGCTCTCGTGATAAGCATGGGATTGTGGAGCGGGAGAAGCAGTGAATTCTTTAGCTTCTGCAACTACTTTCTTTGGGAGAATCGGAGCATGCTCGATGGAAGGAGTGTGATGTTGTGGCGCAAATTGCTGATCTTGTTGATGGTAGGACTGGAAATTGGAGTTTTGATTGGAATTGAGCTTTTAGAGTTTACAATGACTTAGTTCTGTGTTTGAAGCACTCAAAAATTGAGCCTTTGAAGTAGTGCTTAAGTATCCGGATAAAGAAGAAACACTGAAATACCTATCTAGCAGCTTTATTTATCAAAAAGCTAAGCAAGCTCTTGTTAGACTAATTTTTCAAAAAAATCTTGAATTATTTACAAATATTTCTTTTTGCAAAGCCACAAAGCCACAACTCACATATCCATCCTGATTCCCGTAATGTTGACCCGTTTGTGGTTGTTGTGGTTGTTGTAGCTGTTGTGGCTGTTGTGGATATGGTTGGTTGAAAGAATTCTTAAAATAAAAGTCTGAAATATTCGAGTACTGCATTACTAAAACTTTAGGAAATCTTTTAAACATTGAGCATGAAATATTTTTTCTCCAAAACCTACATTGTACCCTTGCTGTTGCTGCGAGTTGTTAACCAGCTGATTTCCGTCTTGGGAAGGATTTCCATTCTAAAAATAACATGTAAATAAAGTCAGTAAAAAAATTTCAATAGTTTTGCAGAGTTTTAATTTTTACCACTTGCGCCTGTTGTGTCCATATATTTTGTTGTGGCTGTTGTTGAGACCAATTCGAATACCCTTGTTGATAGCAATTGTCAGTTGTACCTGAGAATGAAACTTTACAAGTGTTATTGAAGGTGTTTTTAATGGATTCTAGAAATATGTGTCATTTAAGCTTTCAATTAAGCTTAAATTTTTCATTTTACCAATCAAAACTGACCGCCAAGGTTGATGCTGTCCCAGGGTGATGCCTGTTGGGGCTCGTTTTGTTGAGGCACCTGCTGTGTTTGCCAGTAAAATGCCATTTCACAATCTTTTACAATACATAACTGAAATTTATAATTTAAGAAAAACAAAATAGATTTAAATGACCAAAAAAATAGAACAATAAAACTGTTTTAAAGAATTTCAATTGTCATTGTACAAGGCTGGTTGGAAATATCAAATTTATAAGCTATTTTTGTTCTGCAATCGATACAAATTTGTTGTTTATTACATCAGTAAACAATTAGAAATGAAAACCTTTAAATATTCTAACATTTGAGAATCTGAGATCTATAAGTAGTTACCATTTCAAAAGGCTTAACAAAATCAACAAGTTCAAATTTCTACGAGTATCGTGATTGTTTCAAACAAATTATAAACAAACATTTTGATGATCAAATACTAGAACCTTTTTAGATTAAAAGAGTAAAGAATTTCATCTATTCAGGTCAAGAAATTCGACGTTCAATCAAAATTAGGGCACGTTGTCTGCGAAAGGGAAAGCATATAACCCCGAAATTATTAGGGTAATGAACTGATAATTGGATTTCGATGAATAATTGATAAAAGTTAATTGACGGTTGCTGTACTTGTGGTAGTAAAAGCCACGTAAATCTTTGACGTGATTCTTTATTTATGGAATCACTACAGGAATCCTATTTGCACTCGCGGTGGTCTTTTTGTGAGAGAAAGGGGGGAAAGGGGATTCCGTGTCGAGTGGAGGACGCGACGCGGCAAGGAACGCTTGGAAATGGGGCAACTTTATAAAAGAAATGTATGGAGATATTGAATTAATAGGAAATAAAAGATCTGAGATTTGTAAATAATTCATAGAATTTATAGAATTGATCTACGCATAAAAGCTAAGCATAATTTAAAGTCTAGAAAGGTTTCTTTCAATCTTTCACCAGCCATACCATTCAACTATGTTGGACTTATTGTTAGCTGGCTTCATATTTAACTTGGAAAAGTGAGACTAAAAGAGCAAACATTGGTGATCTTTAAAATAAGCATTGTTTACCTGTTTAGATGTTTAGCTGTTTAGCTTCATCTTTATAAAGAAAGCTGGCTGAATAAATTTGAATAGGTGACTGAATAAATCGAACATTTCTATATATGGAGTTATCACCTGCAGTGATTGAGAAAAATGAAATGCAAATTATACGTAGCACCCACTCAAATTTCGGTAATTAAATACCAAATTACGTTGAATATATTGAAAGTATCAATTTATTATGTGGAAATGTAGGCGATTCAACAAATATAGCAACAATTACGTATCACTCAGCTCGTAAGCTTTTGGTGAGTTTTTCCAAAAACATAATATCTAGTGCCAAATGTCTGTTGCCTGTTTGCATAAAACAATAACTGAATCATTTCTCTAAACCGTTGCTCTGCATTATTGACATATTTATTTGAAACTCTTGAATACCCGAATCTGTATGAGGAAATAACAAAATCTTTTCTTTTAAAATAAATGATTTGTGTTACAATAGGTTACAAATTGATTGATTTGACTACAGCTGACATTTGGGTAATACAATCGGATAAGCGGGCAATTCTTCTGAGCAAAATCGGAAATGTCATTGATTCCCCAAGAGTGACCCATCTGGAATTGAAAGTATTACTCAAATTTGTTGTTTAAAATCGTTTTAAATTCTATATTGATTGATAAAATTGATGTTTTGATAAGATGTTGATAAGATAAGATGAACCCGAGCAACTTACATGTTTCGTTTCATCACACATTTGTACCAGTTGTCTTCCCGTGTACCCCATTTGAGTTTCTTTGTCGACAATCGCCTAGATTTCAAGAATTCAACGAAAATATGTTTATCTCACCGGCATTTCGATGACTTCTTTTGGTGGCGTGGTGACAAAGTATTGCTTGATCTAGAAAATTTTCACTACAGATTTTAAAACGATTTCTTAGCAAACCTGTGATTTATATGGAGCTATAGTTCGTTTTCGGAATTGATGTGATTTTCGTGGAATCTCAGCTTTTTCCAAATCCTTTTCAGAGCCTTCTTTGGAGTTTGAAAAAGTGCTTCCATCAACAAAAGTCTAAAAAGGTTTGGTGCTAATGAATATGCTCATTGTCAACAAACTGTAAAGTATTGGTGAGCGAAAAAGGTATGTTTTAGAACCTCTTCTTTTTTCTACGAATACAGTAAGATTAAATAAATTCACCAGAAAGATGTTTTATTTGTAACTGATAGAAATCTAATCAGTAGACTAAATGACAATGAACTAGATAGCACCAACCTTTGAGCCCAACACTTTCAACGCCGGTTCATCAACAGCAGCGGTTTTGAAGCTCTAAAACTTAAATAGATAATCAATCTTTGTAAACTACCCCAATGCTATTCAATTGTTCAATCTTTTGCTCTACATTCTTTTTCTTTTTCGATTTCTTTCTCCGTCTTCTTCTCTTCTTCGACTTTTCCGTTGTCGTTGTTGGTTCTGTTGTTGTAGTCACAATCAAATCTTGCTTATCCTCTACTGCATTCAATGTCGTCCGTTGAATATCTACTTCTTCATCCTCGATGATAAAGCTACTTTGCGCTGGGGTTATCGTAACCGAACTTACTGTATTTCTTTCTTGAGCTCTTCGAAAGATCAACAATTCCTCGGGTTTCTCATCCTCTGGATCATCTAGCTTAAAGCGTTTACCAAATTTCGGTGATTTCGGGATTTTCACAGATGATACAGTAGTTCGTTTGTCATTTGAAAAGCCTTGTTCTTGGAATTTATCGACTGGATACAGGTTTTGAGAGTCTCTAATCTTCTTTGCCTTTTTGCGAAGTGGCTTTTTGGTGGTACTCGGCTCAAGTTTCAGTTCAGCAGTAGATTTTGGCAAAACCGTTGTTTTAGAATCCAGATCATTCAACTTTTGTTCTTCAAGTTGTTTAGAAATTCTAGGAATTTGATTGACAGAACTTGTCAAACTTTTAGGCATACTGAACTCTGATTCTTCATCATCACTCGTGACAAAGCTCGAATTTTGCAAAGTCTCCAAATCATCGATAAACTTTGTCACTTCCGCTAGATTTGTCGTTTCTTCGGCTTTTACCGACATTTCATCAATTTCTTCATTTTTCTGCTTGATTACATGTTTTCTTCCAAGAAAATTCTCATGATATCGATCAATGAAAATTTTTGGAGTTTCCTTTTTCTTATGCAATTGTTCTTCACGATATTGATAGATTAAAAAGCCATTCTTGGTTTTTCCACCTTTGATCTCTTTGAACTTGTCTTCATGGGAATTCTTGATCTTTGTCTCATCTTCAGCCGTTCCACCAGATAAAAGCAGTTTTCGAGAGGTTTTCTGATCAGTTTTTGGTGATTCCTCTTTATCCGATTCGTCAATAACGATTTTTGATGGCTCGTGGATGGGGGTAGTGAAAAGGCGCTTGACTCTAAAAATTGTTTAGTCTCGTTACTTGGCATAATAGTTTAAAAAAAGCTTCATTAGTTAGAGTTTTCTAAAATCAATGATACAGTACAGTTAACAGTTAACATAATACAGTACAGTTAACAGTTAACATAATACAGTACAGTTAACAGTTAACATAATACTGTACAGTTAACAGTTAACATAATACTGTACAGTTAACAGTTAACATAATCCTGTACAGTTAACATAATCCACTCACTCAAAACTGTCAATGGAACTCGTTTCCTCATAAATTTGCGTAGCTTGATCAGGGCTTGGGATTAAAGTTGGATAATGCTCGAAAATTACATCTCTTTTTGATGGATTTGGTTCATTCAACCGATCATTTGATGGATTTGTTTCTTCAGATTCTGAAATGAAAATAGTAGACCCGTTTTAAAAAGCCACATACTATTAAATGTCCTGTTTTTGAAGCGAAACCTAATAACCAAAGAAACTCACGTTGTTGGATGAAACTCCGTGCATTCCTCGGCACACCAATGCGGATTTGCTTTAGACCCTAAAATAATTATGTAATGAAGAACTAAAGCTAAACTTTTTACTAAAAAAGAATCCACTAATTGGCTTATAAGTTTTGACAATTTTAGTATGATTAGTTGAAGCTGAAAACTCGTTTACCTGTACAGTCCCTAGCAGAACGACAGCCAATAAAGAATAAATTCTCATCACAGAGCTAGCTCATCTTTGTTGCAAATGAAGGAATTGAGTGATTATAGAATACAAAAGCACGAGAAATAAGTTAAAGCTCAGAGATGCTCTAAACTCAGAAACTTGGAAATTGTCACTAAAGATTCTCAAAATAGAATCAGAAAGACAAACATGAACCAATCTGCAAGTAATTTGGTAAGAGAAAGTTTTGGTCTAGGACGATGAAGAACAAGTTTTTGAATCAAATGCTAAATGCTTCAATTCAAAAACTCGCTGAGACCAACGCTTGTAAATAATTTCCCACTGATTGGATGATCGAAATGCAAAAAAAAGAAAAGCCAATGATTGTGACGGGAAGACAAAAGACAGGCTTTCGAATCGAGGAAAGATCTAGCCTAATTCGACTCTCTTTTTCTCTTTTTGAATGGATAAAAGGGTATCTCGGAGACTCATCGTTCTTGTGGATTTGAGGGAATTCGGGAGAACCCGTTTCTTGGCTCATTTTCAGTTTTTTCCCGCCCATTCCCTAAATCAAAATGTTTTTCTTGTGCATGTGTTTTGGGGCAATTATGGTCATAATTTTATAAGCTCAGATAAAGAAAAGCATTTTGGGTTCATTAAGAAGAAATGATGCAATGTTTTCATTTCCAATTTGAGATCAGCATTCCGTGAAACGGCTTTCACTGATGAACTTTTCAAAAGCCTTACCTTTACATGACTTTACCGGGTGGAGAATCATATGAAGACACAAACAGTTATTGTCGTTTAAACCATTGGCTAATATCTCTAGTATCAGAGCTAGAAACACTTCTGCTCTCATCCATTCGTAACAGACTCGCTGATCAATAAAAACTCAAAAAATCAAGAAGACAACGGACTTATTAAGAAAAATCTGGAAATAACTTGCTGTAAAATACTGCAACTTAGCAAAGAAGCGTTATTGTGAAAATCAAAATGAGTCAGGAAATTCTCGGATCAGAAATTCCCTTCAATCCTTCTCTGGGGAAAATGGATATGTAAATACTTGTCTGAATGAGATTTGGAGCAAAACGGTTTCCCCAAAACAACCGGTTGTTGTCTACAGAAAAAGAAGGCTGGGGAATGTTTGTGTAAGCAAAAAAAAAGTATTTTGGTAACTTGGTTATTTTGAAAACAAAATAGGACTGTGCTTGGAAAAGTGTACTTGAAAACTTCACTACAAAATGAACAGGCAAACGTCATTCCCCAAATGAAATCTTTTTTTTTTGATCACTGTTTTTGTAATTGATGTTAAATTTTCTAATTCAATGGATTATATTATTTTACGAATATTTATTTTGAAGATTAAATAGCTTGATAAAGATCGGCATTGTCCTCATTTTGTTGTCCGGAAAGGGCGGATCGTGGACGGGGATTTTGAAGCACTTGCACAATAAGCAAACCTTAAAGTGTTTTCCGATTTTGAAAGACAAAGAAAGTGCATTAAAGAGATCTTGTTCTTTTGCATCAAGAAAGGGATTTTATCTGTTAAAAGGATATTAAAGATTATTAGTTGGCTTACCACCAACGATGAACACGGCCATCACGGCTAAGAAACCGAGTGTCTGTGAATGAAGTACCGAGCTGTCGGCGAATTCTCCAATGGCTGGCTAAAAGTTCTAGAGATTCAGATTGAGTGGATACCAGTTTGGGAAATGGAAAATCACTGAGAATATAATCGACGCTAAATTGTGGACTTTGAGTAATGCAACTGATGAATCAAGCGCTGAATTGAGTTTGGGTAAGTTGGTTGGTTTCTTTCAAAAAGGATTTCTTTTGGTTGTTTTTACAGTAAGATTATAGTAAGACAGTTTTTACAGTAAGTAAGATTTAAATGGTTCAAAAATTGTATTATAATTAAGACTTGAAAAATAGAACTGCTGAATATTTTGATGATTTTGATGACAACTCTAATGTTACATGCATACTTTGCCAGTAGACAGTAGACAATTTTAGTATTTATTTAGGGATTGTTGTAAAAGTTATATAATAACTGCTTACCATTTAAACAAGGTCCAGAGAATATACAAGACAGAAAGTTAAAGTTGAAGCTTTTGAAATGAAAATGAAAATGAATTGTGAGTGTTTGTCTGGTTATCAATGAAGAACTCAGAAGAAACAAAAAAAAAAGAGAGAAAAGGGATGTTTTCTCTTTCCCATAATCAGATGTCCGATTTGAGATAAACAAAGCAACTCCAGCTGAATTTTTCTCTGCAAAACAAGAGGCTGAGAAGAGAGTTTGGGTACAATATACAGAAATTTTTTGTATAAGTGTTGGAAGAAGAGTTTAAAAAGCAAATCAAAGGGAAGAAGAGTTTAAAAAGCGCAAATCAAAGAATAGTAAATAGATTCATATCCAATTCATAAATATCTAGCCGTATCATAAACAATCGCATTCTTTTGATCGAGATCTTCACATTCAGGCAGCGCATCATATTCGTTTTTCTTTGTTACTTTCATTAAAATCACAAAACCCAATAGAACTCCTAAATCTATTTACTTCTTAAAAAAACTCAAACCAAACCTGGAAATAATACAATCACAAATAGACATATAGATATAAAATTAGCATATGAAGGGATGGAGTCGAAAGTGAGAGCCTGAAATGGTTGATTACTGTAAAATGTTGTAGGTTTTATCGGGTTTACTATAATTCTAGGTCACTTATCTGTGAATTATGCTCAATTTTGACACTTTATTGTGTTAAATATAATATATCAGCCTAATATCGTACTATTATTCTTACAAATCAAAACTTTATTTACCTCAAAATTCGGCATAATTCTTTCCTTGATCTCTGTGACTTTCTTGTCAAAAAAGGTCATGTTTTTCAGCCAATAGTCGACCACTTCTGCCTAGAATTTTTGGAAATAAGAAATTTTATTGATTCGTACCTCATAATTATTTTCATTATGTGGATATAGGTCTATAGTTTGATTGCAAACAACACTCCAGTAATTCTTGCGGCTTGGATCCAGCGGTTCCCAATCTGAATCCACTTAAATACGCTTTTCTTTTTCACTACCTGCTCTCGGTTTCCCGTGTTTTGTAAAGTTCACAAAGTATTCTGAATAGAATTCTTTGATTTTCAACTCGTCGTCATTGAAATCTCGACAATGGACACCCATTACATAGCAGAGATCACCGGTGTGTTGGCACCCACGAGGCATGCTATAATTTCGGTTACAATTGATACAAGTTAGGTACTTTGATCGTACTTTGCGATCATGACTATTGCAAAAATACAGCCTTTCTAGCGCACTGGATTGTTCCTTTTTTGCTACCAAAGTACGGCAGCAAAGGTGGGTTTGACAAGGGGCACAAAGTACGTCGTTGCTGCTTCTTTACAGAAACGCAGCCTTTCTTGCGCACTACTGAACGTTTTCTCTTTGCTTAAGACTCTTCTTCGCAAAAACTCCAGAGTTGTGTACGCCAGAAATGGTGTGTTTCTATTAGGCTGGAAAGGGAGTTCTGGGAAAAAGTTTGACTGGAATCTCTTAAAAACGAATCCACCAATTCAAGAACATTTTGTTCTATTATTTACAAACCGACTCTTTACGGTGATTTCTCAAAAACCAAGCCATGAATTCTTCCCGAATTTCTTGATAAACCTGACTATATTTCAAAAAGTTTTTGACAAAAAAATAAGAGATTTCTTCAGCTGAAATGACTTGGTCACTTTTTGAGTGACCAGCTTTTAGAGAAGTTTTTATTGGATTAATGAATAGGCAATGGGTTTCATTCAAAAAGTAAAATGAAGTACTTAAAATAGGGAAAATTTGTGATTAAGGCAAATTTAATCGAATGCTTTAACTTTTCAGAATCACCTATTTTAGCAAAGTGCCAAGAAGATGACACAAAAAAGTTATTTTTTGAAATACAACTTCTCTATAAAAAATTTTTGACCAAAAATAGAGATTATAGAGCGTATTGCTCATTTATGCTAGCTTTACCTCGTAAAGAATCGTTTTTCTGGTGCAAAAAGTGAGCTGAAAGCTGGAAAAGAAAGAAAGAAAGAAAGAATGTAAAACAAAGAAAGAAAAAAAGAAAAGAATTTTTCAAAAATCTCTAAAATTTTAAGGGAAAGCTGCACTCATTTTTTTTTACGAGTAATTGCTTGGAGTCGACTTGTAAATAATAGAACAAAATGTTCTTGAATTGGTGGATTCGTTTTTAAGAAATTCCAGTCAAACTTTTTTTGAGAACTTTCTTTCCAAAATAATTTTTCTAGTCCGCAATTAGTACTCACTCATATTTATATAAAAAGGCCTGAGCTCCCCTCTCGATTTGCGCTTTTCCATAATTGAATGTCGACACGAAAACACATTGACTTTGATAATTGTGATGGGTTTCTAGAATTGAAATTTGGAAAGAAATCTTTTCAACTGACTTAATCTTTCCGTGACTTGATCATAGTAGAGTTTGATGGCGATTTCTTGGGTGTTTTTGAGCTGAAGTAGGAAAAGGTGAGTTTTACTAACTAGTAAAAGGCATGAACTTAAGGTGAGCTTTTGTCTGGACACCTAGTGCACTTTATAGAATTGGGTTTGAGGAATCCGAATCTGAAATCAAAATCTGCCAAACGACTTTTCAGGCGTGTAGAACTTCAATCGAAAATCTTCAATTTTGGATCTCAAAACGTGTGCTTTAAAGGGCTCATCCCTAGCAGAGAAACGATTTGTTGGTAGCCTAGTAGATAACGCACTAGGCTTCCGGCTACACGATGGTTCCTGAGGTAACTTTTTGTTTTTGTTTTTTTAAACAACCTCTAGCATTTTTCAGCTAATTTCATTATGGCTTGCAATTAGGAATTGTTTATTCAACTTTATCTTGAGTTCATGCCTTTCTCTAGTAAGTTCTCGTACCTGCAAAATATCTCCATATGTTTCATTAGCGTTTGGTAGGCCGACAGGGTCAAACTCTAGCATTGTGCTGCCCAAAAGTACTGGGGTTTTCTGGAAATTCGAGATATTAATGTATTGTTGTATTTAGTACTGTATTCTGTACCTGGTATTACTGTATCTAGTTGTAGATCTTAAAGCTTTACCGGTGCATTCTTCAGTAATAGATCCAAACGTCCCGAGCTTGTGAGCGGATGAGTTAACGGGAAACCGTTCAGATACTGGAATATGATAATAAGTCTAATGATCTCACGTTCCGATAATTCTCTGATCACTCAGAAACACAGGTACACTATTTCAAAATTTTAAGCTAACCATCAATCCATCATCATCGATTTCTCGTTGGATCAACAAAAGCTCTTGCCAGGGTTTCGTTCGAAGGCATTCAACGATGGCTTTAGTCATTGCTGGGGTTTCAAATTTCGTAGATCCAGGTGGAGTGCACTGAATATCAGATATATTTATCAGATATCAAATATCCGATATGTTATCCAAGGATATTCCAGGGCTTGTAAGCCAGGCAAGGTCAGGGTCAAAGCGGAAGTCAGTTTCAGCTTCTGACTCTCAAGCCAGCTAGCAAAGTACTTCTTTTAGGCCAGGCCGAAACTTTCGGAACAACCCTGACTGAGAACAAATTCATAAAATATTTGTTACCTTTGCTCTTCTCGCAAACTCAAACGAAGTCTCATGCATTCGGTCGATATCGTGATAGTCCATGCTGGGGCTCATCGCTGAGGCCTAAACTTAAGCTTTTATTGCAAAAGTGGTTTGGCAAACTAGTCGGAACCAACTTGAGCCAATATCCTATTTCCGGGATTGAGCTCTTCCGAATACGCAATGGCCAGTGAGAGATCAGCTCCCATTGAATGCCCCAAAGAGGTGACTCTCCGTGGATCTCCGCCAAAAGCCCAGATCTCTTTTTGAACAAATTCAAGGCTTCGAACAATGTCTAAAGATTTACTTGAATAATAATTCTGATCTTTAACTCACCATGAATCGCCAAATTATGTGGAGTGACTTCCTCAAAGGGAGAGGCAAAAAGACCCCAAGTGGACATGCGAAAAGCGGTGATGACAAGGACAACGTCTGGAAATGAAAATCTTAGAACTTCATAGTAAATGTATACAGTACAGTGTCGTACCTAAGAAAAGCTTAAGAGCTGATTTATTTAACTTCACTAACCCTTTGCCGCAAAGTGATCAATTAAGTGATTATCGGGAAACATTGTAGCCGAATCATATAGAAGAGCTCCTCCATGAATGTAAACAAGTACAGCACAGTTTCTAGTTTTCTAAAGCCGATTTTCAACAAATATCTGCATAATTTACCTTGCACCTTGCTGAAGTGAATATATTCACGTAAAGACAATCCTCATCAATGTGAGATTGAGGAGAGGATGTCTGGGAGCTGTTGCTCAAGCAACTGAACCTGAAAATTGATCGATGAAGATAATAAAGCTATTTCTTGAAATAGAAACATACTGATAATCTGTTGCATCTCGAATCCCCTGCCATTTCGTCGGTTCCTCCGGTTTTGCGTATCTCAGCTTGCCAATCGGTGGCTTTGCGAATGGGAGTCCCTAAAAAGGTACGGTAAAAGTGGATCAAAATAGATCTTCTTATACAGAGTGGCGTACAATTACCCGCACTCAGTTCAGATTCTCTAGCTCAGCGAAGAGTAAATCAATCGACCTAATTCTTTTTTTATTATCAAATTGAAAATCTCTCTTGCAATGTGTTTTCTGGATTTGATCAGAAAAGTTTTCAAACTTTTGCTAGAGCGCTGCAAAGTTGCGACACACGTTTCCTGCGGCGGAATCGCGATTTTCAGGTTTTTATCACTAGTTTCAATGCCTCAAAATCAAAGAAAACCAGCTTTACTCCTTTTTACTTATTATTTCCAAAATCTAGGTGATTTTTACTAGAAAACAATGAATTTCGATTAGAGATCAAAGTGAATTCAAAATGTGAATTTAAACTGAGTGCGGGTAATTGTGCGCCACCCTGTAGTTGCTATTGAATTTAGTTTTAGCTGCTGAAACTTATTGATGTTAAAATTAGAAATGTTAATGCTAAAAAAGAAAAGTGAAGCTAACTGAATATTTTCACTTTTTACATCAAAATGCATAACGTTCAATGGGTTTTATATTTTTAAAATCATAAGCTAACAAAAAAGTTTTTCCATTACAGTACTATAAATTTGAAATCTGATAACGTAACTAGGATTGCATTGTGGTAATAAATAAATACATTTATTGAAAGTCAATAATGTGATACAAAAAAAGGATACATAATAAGATATAAAGGTCTAAATACACAATTTTATGGCACTGCGACCGTTACTCCTACAGAACTCCTACAGAACTCCTACAGAACTCCTACAGAACTCCTACAGAACTACAGAACGTTACTCCTACATACAGTACTATCCCTATTAAAGAAAATAATCTAACTGATCGAATTCTTGAAAAAATGGTTCTGACTCCAAATTGCCTTTGTTTTCTTTGTGAATTTTATATTTAAGTTGTAAAAGTGCGATTATTCCAAACGAAAAACAATAATTTTACCTTGTAAACCTCAACGGAGACTCCATTCGTCGATTTTGTCGTTATTCCCCTAACTGTACCCAGAGAAGTAAATGCGAATTGTGAATATATACAAGAAATCAATGATAGGAAAAGAAATAGTTTCATAGAATGTTGTAAATTCAATAGTACTGTTAGAAAATTTGGAAGTAGAAGGAAGATTTTTCGTATCAGTTTCAATATTGGTTCCAAAAGGAGGCAATCGGTTATCTCTTTCCACAAAAAGAAGTTTTTAGTCTTTTTTTCAAAGATCAATCTAGTTAAATTTAGTCTAGAACTTCTAATAAAAGGTTTAAGATAATGAATTCTAAATCTTTTACAGTATTTTTGAACTTATGAGGCAAAACAGTACTGGCATTATGGCTAAGGATCCACCCAAAGCTTAGCCCAACTTTTTCGTGCCCAAATTTCCAATATTCTGTTAATTTTCAAATTTCCCATTGTGAAATCATTGTATTAGACTTGAAATTTTCAAATGAAATACAATTTTCCACAAATTCTCTTAAAGTGATTGTGATTTCTTATCTTGTGTAGTCTGTGTTCGGTGAAGGGGTCACCCAAAATTCCCTCCATTTCGACAAACCACAAATCTATTTTTCAAATTGCACAAATCAATGTTATTTTTTTATTTACTATTTTTGAGTTCAATCTTTCTCTATTCGAATGGCGAAGGTCCATTGGTTGAAACAAGTTATGGGAAATTAGAGGGATTGTACCGAAAAGCTATCAATGGGAAAGCTGTCAATGTGTTCAAGGTAAGATAATCGAAAAAGAGAAAATAGTAAATAGAAAATAGCAAAATAATAGTTAAATATAAAGATCCTAAATCCAATCGTGATATTTTCTTAAAATTTTTCCGGTTTAAAGTCTTTCAATCATTTCAATTAGTCTTTCAATGTTAGAAGTTCAGCACAACGCCAATGTGTTGCCTAGATTTCAAATAAGTATATTTAATTGTTAATTGTTATCAGATATCTATAAATTATCAAATTTTATATCTTTTTCATTACAAGCTTCAGGCTGTTCCATTCGCTGCACCACCTATTGGAGATCTTCGTTGGAAAAAGCCACAACTGCCAAAGAGTTGGGATGGAGTGAGAAAAGCTACAGAATACAGGTATGACAAGTACTTTTAGAACTTCAGATTTGGCTAAACAATAACCTAAGAGCTGTACAACCAGCTAAAACTTTTCTCAGAGTTTAACTCTTGTAATTGTCAGTGCCGCTTGTATGTCCAACTCTTCGACGACTTCTTCTCCGCAAAAATGGGTGGACGAGGATTGTCTCTATCAAAATATCATTGTACCAGCTGGTTGCTCTGTACATTGATGTAGATTTAAAAAAAATAAAAACCAATTCTAGAAAAGCAACCTTTGTCCAGTTGTTTTTTATTTGCATGGTGGTGGGATTAATTACGATTCAGCGGTGATGTTTAATGATACTTTTCTCGTGAATAATTTTGGTGGAAATGGTAAGGAAATGTTTCTGAATTCGATGAACTTGTAATTTTTTAGATGTTATCCTAGTGATCACCGCGTTTCGTCTTGGTTTCACTGCAGTGCTCACATTCGATGATGACAGTATTGTGCCAAGAAATTTGGCGATATACGGTAGAATTCAGATTTTAGCCAAGCTATTAGTTGTCTAACTTTAAGAACTACAAAAGTAGCTCTAAGAATTGGATAAAAAGTCACTTTATTAGTTGAATATTTGTCAAGTACCTGGCTCGATTGATACTGGACTTTATTGTTAGCAAATAGGCAACTGGATAGACCAAATGACATGAGCCATTACGAGATCATACGACGCAGAATTTTACGCTAAATCTGAATCTGCTTCCCGCTTTTGCTAAACGGCACTCTGTCAAAAGTTATAATCGTTTAAAGTTTTGTAAGAAAAAAAAAAGGTTTTTTAAAAAAAAAAGGGGGGGGGGGGGGGGAGGGGGGGAAGGGGTTCTTTTTTTGCTTTTTAGGTTTAAATGGCTTGTGTGTTCTCCGCTTTAAACCTATTTTTCCAATTTGAATGGTCTATAGCTCATGTCATTTGGTTTATGGCATCCAGTTGACCTTTCCTTGTAAAATTCGTTCAGATATCCTTCGATCACTTCAATTCGTCCAATCGGAGATCGGGAATTTCGGTGGTGATCCATCAAGAGTGACTCTATTGGGACACTCGATGGGTGGTGGACTTTCATTCATGTTGACAATGTCGAAAACGATCAATCCGGATAGGTTTGTGCTTCTTGATTTGTAAGAAAATACAAAGATATAAGGCCATTCTATTATGAGATGACGATAACTTTAACCTTAACTGCCTTACTTGTATTTGTCAAAAGTAGATATTTCAGAAAACTCTGGCAAAGATCGATTGCCATGTCGGGTCCACTGAATGTGGCCAATGTTGAGCTGTTAAAGAATTTGACTAAGGAATTTGTCTACAGAGCTGGGGTAATTTTAGATGTTGTAAGCCTAGCTTTTTCTCAACTTTTTAGTGCTCTCCTAGCATGGATTTTGAGGGAAATGGTCAACCAGTAGAGGCGGCAATGAAATGTCTTCAAACCAAGACCGGGATCGAGCTTTTAGCTGTGCAAAGAGCGATGGAAGATGAGGATAAATCGAAAGTGATCGGGTCGGTGAAAACAGTCAGAATTAGAGAAGTAAATAGTCAATAAAAGCAAACCTTGCCTGAATCTCTTTAAGAAACTCAAACTCGACTTGTTTTACCGTAATCGTTTTCTATTTTACAGTACTCAACTAGGTTTATTGTATTCAAAAGCTTATTATTCAATACTTTAGAGGAATCTTGCTTCTTGACCCACTTTTTCCCAATGATGGAATCCGAGATTTCCTTCAAAATGTTCCAGTGAGTGTTAATCGATATAATTTCTTGTTAAGTTTATAACTGAAATAAAGTATACAAAGTCGAATACATAATTTTTAGTCAACTGATGTTGTGATGGGCTCAAATTTGAAAGAAATGGATCGATTCGCAGATGATCTTGATCCAGCAGAAACAATGGGATTCAAAAACGTGAAGGAGGTCAATGAGAAGTACAGAAGAGACGAGAAAAATGGAGATTTAAGTAAAGTTATTACATTTTACTTTTTGTTGCTGATAGAACTGTTTTTGCAGAGTTCAGCCATTCAACTGACACTCAACTTCTTTTCTTGTCAAACTACTTGTGTGCGAATGCGTTTGTGAACAGTGGAGGAACGGTGTGTTGATTTGAGTCAAAAATTGTAGAGATTTTTGTTCAGGTTTATCTCTACTCATTCGACTATCCGAAACATCCATATCACACTGATGATCTCTATTATATTATGGGAATTCATCCATTTGAGATGGATGAGAATGAGAAAGAACTAGCCAAGCTTTATCCTTACTATTTCCTCAATTTCTCGAAGACTGGGAAGCCAAATGAAGGTATGTTGAGGGTAAAAGGAATAGCCAGAACTGGTAATACTCTAGATCGTCATATTAGTGGCGTTCTATTAGAGTACGGGTTATGGGGATTCATCCATTTGAGATAGATGAGAACGAGAAAGAACTAGCCACTATTAGAACCTTTGAACCAACTAATCAATACCCTTTCATCCTTTGTCTTCATTAAGCTTTCCAGAATGGATCCCATACAATCAACAATGGGACAATTATCTATCGATCAACGTGAGTCTCATTGAGAACATTTATCCAAGAAATGAGCCCGATTATCACAAAGATATTATCGACTATTGGACAAAAGAAATGCCTGCTTATGATAGTTGGGTTACAACGAAGAAACGATGGAGGCAGCCTGAGGTGTTTTCTTTACTTTAAACCAAATCATAGACACTAAAAGATACTGTAACTGGAGTGAGTTAAGAAATTGACTTTTGAAACTTTTGGCTAAAATCCAACTACCAAATTTATTGCCAATTTTTACTTAGCCCCTTCTGCTCCTTTCAGAAGCTCAATCATTTTGAATCCTTTTACAGAAGCTTTAGATACAAATACATTGGAAAATTGATTTATTTATTTGTTCAATTCAGCTGTTCTAATACTCAAAAAATGTCATAAACATGTTTTTGTTGAAATTATTTAAACAAGCTTTTATTTGAACTGTTGTTAGCAAGGTGTGATTTAAAAATGAAACTTTACTTGTTGACATGTTGACTTGGTTTTTTAGTTAAAAGCTAATACCATTCTCTTTCAGTTCCGCGTTTCCGAGTTAGCTGATGATTTGAAATCTGATCTTTCGCCATGTACAGCAACAGTTATTTATTATCATACCGGATGGCTCTCCAGCATTATTTTTACGATTATCGTTTTCATTGCCGGAATTCTTATGGGTCGGTACACGAGGAGAGACAATTTGGAAAGAGAAGAATACATACCAATCACGGCATGGAAAGAATGAAAGAAAAAAATATTTATTGTCTTTTAATGGTTTAAGATGTAGAATAAATGTTTGCTAGTCCTTTGCCTAAATTTAAAAATAGATTTCTTTGCTTAGCTTTTACCGGTATTTGGAAGAACTGTATAGTAAAACTATATAGTAGAACTCAAGGTACAAGCATTGGATGCACTGATGGTTGGTTTTATTAGAATCCGAGATTAGAATAAAAATAGATTTCTTTGCTTAAAGGCTCAAGTTTCAAATTTTATGTAATACCTTTCTAATAAGATTTTGATTCAAATTATGTCAAGATTGTTAAGATTGACGTACTTGAATCAAAACTGAAAGCTTACAGATTTAAGTTTAGCAATTTTTTTTACCATTGTGATAAACAACAATATTTCCTAAGATAAGAAACAAAAATGCGTATCAAAAACTCTACATTTTACTCTTTTTTTACTCTATTTTACAAAGATTTTACTCGTGTATCAAATAAAAGCTCTTTTATAGTGAGACAGAATGCAGAGAGTTCAGTAGCCTTCAAAAACTCTATAAAAACTACTATTGAACTGCTTACTAGTGTAAAATCTTTCAGTTAAATTTAAAGGTTACAGCCACTGTATATCAATGTTCTTTCTGCCATGTACCAAATAAATGCACATAATCCCACGGTTAGTTCAAGGAGAGGTTCTTTCGTTTTAGAAATTCCAGCCACCTCCAATAAGTTTGTTTATAAATCTTTTCCAATAAGAACTGCCAGAATTTGGAATCGGGAAAAGAGTTTTGAGAGAGTCCAATAGTCTCGAAACCTTTAAATTATCTGTAGATGATCTTGATCTTGAAGCTCTAATGGATCCTTGACGTTATCTGTGCTACCCACATTTTACATATATTATATCGTGTTTCTTTTTATCAGCCCTTTTCGTGTTATGTGTATGAACTCATGTGTTTTAATCTTAAATCTAGCGCACTTTATCTCAGGTCCTGAATAAAGTATCTATATAAGTCTGCTTACTCTCATTCATTTTGTTTCCTACCAAATGGGCGCCGTCAATTTTCCCCGGTAGACGGGGAGTGGACCCCTTTCTTTGTCTACCCTTCTTGGGAGTATCGTGGCAACCCCTTATGGTCTATCGTTTTACAAGCCGGGTCCGTAGTCAAGCTCGCCCTTTTTCCCATAAAGCACCTGCGCAAAAAAATATTAATTACCATATCGAAATGGAGAAATGGGGGAATTTTCCAGAGCCAATTGTCGTAAAAATGTTTTTATTAGAGGCTTAATATTCGGAGTTCATATAAAAGTTGAGCTCAAGAAAAAGTTGTTTACTGCTTAAAAAGAAATTTTTGAAAGTCAAAAAAGTTTCTACCTCGATTTTTATTTGACAATCAGCCAATAATTGAATAAGTTTTTAGCTCAAGTTAGTCTAAACTTGTATTAATAGTCAGCCAGTCTTGGCTTTACTTACCAGTCCTAGTCTTGATCTAGTCAGCTATATCATTTTGTCCTTCAGAACAATCCTGGTCCAAAAAGATTAGCCAACTTTCTGGGCACATTTTCAAGTTTACTTCCTTCCCAAAATCGAATCAGAAATGCAAAAGGGGTTGTTATTTAAGTTCATAAACGAAACATAAAAGCGACAAGGTTGAAAAGAAGTTTTGAAAAGAGTTTTCCCGAAAGAGCTCTTTTGATATCGTTAGTGTCGGAGTTGAAAGTCGGAAGAAAAAAGACAAAAAGATGAAAGAGTCTTGAAAAGCTAGGGGCGGGTCTAGGGTAGAAAAGAAAGAGAAGAAAGAAAGAGAAGAAAGGGACCAGGGGCCGTGAAAGGGAAGGAAGGGGACTACTGAGGAGGCAGTATTGAGGCCAGTTGGTGGGGACGTGTTCCCGTGGGATTGCTAACCCTGAACCCAGAAATGGTCAAAGAAGAACCGACACATCACCACTATTTTTGGTCTACTTTTTGCCCTCTTGTTTCCTCCAAACTTTCCTTTAATTCAAAAACAAGATATCTATTACAAGTTGATCTAAAAACTAAATTGCACAACTTTTCAAACGTTGAAACCAAAATTTAATCCATAAGCTCTTTATTCACAAGCCTTTTAATATCTCTAACAATTCTATTGATCAAGAAAAATCAGTCAAAGTATCATTGCAGTTTTTAAGCATTCAAGATTGTCAAACCTTTCTTATTTCTTCGTTTTTCATAGATTAGGCTTTCATAGATTCTCTGAAGAATATTCCTAAGTTGAACTCAGAAATGGACAGCTTTTCCCGATTCTAATCGTTTCTCAAATGCAAATCCTCTTCCTTTTTCACTTCCAGAAGAGTTAAGCAGGGCAAGTAGGTGTTCCAAAAAATATAGCAATGAAGAGAATCTATGAAAGTTTGATTTTCATTTACTTTTTCAATCACTTCCTCAACTTAAAGATTCAATTCATAGAATTCATCGCCTTTCTTTCAAACTTTCAAACTGTTTTCCAGTTAGAATGTGGATATGAAGAAGCATCTTCTCATCCCATGCATTTTGTTGATTATTTGTCTCCAAGTTGAAGGCAGTCAACCGGTCGCTCAGCCTTCATTCACTCCATGCACTTTTCCAACTCCGTTACAACATCCGTTATTGGTAAGTTTAGAGTTGGATTGGGTCAAATGATTTTTCATAAGTTGTTTTAACATGAAATGAGTAAAAAACTTACCAAAGAGTCGGGGAATTGTTCATGAATTGTTCGAGTCTTCTTTTAACAGTTGAAAGAGTATAAAAGTTAACAAAGCATGAGAGCTTTTGATACCTAGAATCTAGATATTCCGTTAATATTGTTAAAAGCACTAGTTTGTGATCTTTCAAAGAGAAATCCTCTCGAAATTCCTCAACACAAAGAGTCGGGAAGGGAGGATGGCTGAATGGCTAATCAAAACCCCTTTCTATGCAATAGCATCCACCTCACAAAGTTCTTATTTTATAAATGATACTATATAATCTAGAATCTAGAAAGGATCAAGAATAGTCTTTAGATATCACAAATTAAAGATCAAACACCCATTCATTCACTTGTTGCCACCGGGTTGTTAAGTTCATTACTCGATGTTGACTCGAGAAAATCCATTTCAGAACTTATAAACTAATTCAGCGGGTCGGTTTGTTCTGAATGAGCAGAGAACTTATTGGGTTAGATTTTTGAGACTAAAAGATGCTAAAAATACGATTCTTTCTCAATTACTGGACTCGGCGTCATTAATCTTTCAAACTGAATGAGTTTATGAACTTGAATCTTATAAACATGTACGGTAAGATCTTATACTAAATGTTTTTCGAAGCCTAAACTAAGTGTAAGCCAGACCCAGGTCAGACAAGACAAGTCCAGAGTCAAGTCCAGAGTCTGGGAAGAAGCCAGCTCCAGATCTGGCATATAGCCAGGACTGGATTTATTATTGTATCACTAAAATGGTTTGTCAAGATCAACTAAACATTGATCTGATTTTCAAATTCCACTCTATTATCAAGGTTCAGGTTTTCCTTAGTCATTTTGATGACAAATCTTTTCCATTAATGATCACATGACATCTTTGAACCTTTTCCAATCAAATCCTCGCCTGACTCATTGTTATTCATATCAAACACAAAATAGATAGAAAAACTTCTTCTGTCCATTTCTCATCGTCAATCTTGGCTTTATGGAAAAAGGGAGGGACTGGAAAACTCAATTATTCCGTGTGGGGGCCGTGAGTTAGCCCGTCTCTCTTTTGAACAACCTTTTCCAGAAAAGATTCACCAATTCGGTTTTGGGGGAAGTTTTGAGATATCAAAAAGCATAGGGGAAACATGCTTGAGACACTATAAGGCGTAGAACCACTACCGTAACCCACAAAATCTACATGAAACGAGTAGGTAGTTTTCCCTGGGATTTGTCGGCAAAGGTTGCAAATGGAAAAACAGTTATTGCTGATGTTAGGGTTGAGACCATTCCAAATTCTAAAGCTTTGGACACTTGTTGTTTATGACTTTGGTTTGAATTTTTAACACGTTTGTGTATGCATTTTATAACAACACTACGGCGAGAGTACTGCATTTCTTGATGCTACCAGTGGATCATAAAAGTTTTTGTCCTTAACACATTCCTTTTCCAAGATGAAAGCTTTTGCTCACTTGATTTCACTGAGCTTTTGAACTGATCAATCATAGACCTGCTTGTAACCAAAAGTTAAGCTAGTTAAGTCTTCAACCATTTTCGCAAACGAACAAACGAACAACTAATCCCAGAGAATGCAATTTGATTGAGGACTCTAAATATATTCACTGGTCTCTCGTGGGATTGCAGAAGTAAATAGAAAGGGAAAAGGAAGAAGGGATCTATCTGAGAAGAACATTGAAAGAGAGAAAGGGGAGAGGGAAGGTCTTCGTTAATGAGGCCGTAAATGGAAGGGTAGAGAGATGGTGAAGAGATGAAGAAGAGAGACGGGGAAAGGCTTGGACCTCGATTCAGACTTCCTCTTTTAGTAGAACGATTTATATTCACAAGGATATGAGGTCAATGAGCATTGAAGACTAGCGTTTATGAAAGCCATTCAGATGGAGGAAGGGGAGTAGGTGAAGCTTGAAAAAAAGCTGACAGACAAAGAAGCACTCATCGCCAAGAAGAACATAAATTGTAATAGTTATTAGTGATAATATCAGTGTACCAGATAATGTGCGTTTTTCAGAGCACAAAGACCAAAGAATACTGGCAAAGTGCTTCAATTTTTTTGTTTCAAGAAAGTTCTAGAACATTTTGCCACATTTTGAATAAACCCTATATTTATTTCAGTTTTGAGAGGATTTATTTTAAACCAAAACTTTCTTTTCCCCTTTTCTTATTTTAAAACTGCTCCAAATTGAAGGGGAAACGATTTCCGGCAATTTCGTATCAGAAATGGCCCATTTTTTTTTCTCCAATTTTCAACTATGCTGAAAGGGATGATGATTGAATGCTCAAGATTGACAAAAATAATTGTTTGTAAACAATTTGATTAAGAAAAATCTTCAGTTTCGCCACTACTGCGAGAGACTTCCCACGTTGCCTTTTGTTTGTGATTTGCATGACAGTTTAGCCGGTTTGCAGCTGAAAGGAGCTGAAGATGCGGCACAGAAGTGAGTTTCTACATGTCAATAAGATGTAGAAACTCAATAAAATGTTTCTACCTTTCAATCAGAAAGTGGTTTTGAGCCTGTAAACCAGAATCTGGTTTTTAGTGGATCTAGAGACTTTTGTGAGCACAGTTAGGCTCAGAAATCAAACCATGACCTACAATGGCTTCTAGAATCGCTCTGGCTGACTTTAGAATAACTCTGAGCAAGATATTTCACTGACAAGCTGTGTTAGATAAAGTTATTCAGTCTTATTCCAGAGCAGCTATGTTTTACTAAACTTTTACTATATTTTAAAGTTTATGCAAAATATACTTCTTCAGATATCACGATAGTCTCTACCAGGGAAATCAGTCAACGGTGGCGGTGATCATTGGTGAGTGTTGGTTATTATTCGTAAAAGTTATCAAGTTTTGTCTTAACGTATGCTTTTTCATATAGTTAAGTCCAAAAAAAAGTCAACTAGATGAAATTGTAGAATTCAGCGGCTCAAATTTCTTGGTTTGAAAGGGCGAAAGGGCTTAAAAGAGATGTTGAAAGGGTGGGGATTTTCGATTAATTGCCCACACATCCATCCACATCAAAAAAGGGAAAAGAAAGAAAAGAAAAGAAAAGGAAAGGAAAGGAAAGGAAGGTTCGATAGACGAAAGACACCAATAAATGGGGAAAAGCTCAAAATATATAAAATTGAGAATCTTTGGGGGAAATGTTTACTTGTACAAGTAATAGAAGGCTTTGTTTTTGCTTTGCTAAATTTTCCAAAGAATTCAACAACAAAACTTAACCAATAAATTGATGATAGGCTAACCAAGCTAAATTTACCTTACAAGTCGTTAAACTTCTTGTTTTTTTAATCCACTTGGATCTCATATAATTATTCCCTTATGATCCAAATGGACTGTAATCCAAGAACAATCAAAACCCGGATTTCTGATTGATCTAGACTTGGATTTATTGACGGTTGACGGGGTAGCAGTCAGCTTCTTATATTAACCGTTACTCTTTGGCTTTTGACAGTCATTGTAACCTTTACATAAGCTGCATCAATTAAAGTTTATTTATGAAGGTTTAGCTCGCAACATTGAGCAACCTTGGAGAGCTTCGGATGTCTATGATAAAGAAGAAATGTTATGTTTATTGAATGGTGATTGTCTCTCATCGGAAACGGTTCACGGGATCATCAACAATCCGAAAACATTCTTGAAGGTAAATTATTTAAATATGTTCTTATTGTTAGAACTTTTGTATTTGGATTTAGATTGAATTGTATCGTTTGTATATTTTCTAAATTCTAGTGTTGCAAGGCTCTATTTCAAATCTCTACCTTCTCTTCTCCTTATTATCAATTTCATTTCCTTAATCTCATATCAGGAAACAATGTTGGCAGACTTGTTTGCACTTTTTAGTCCAAAAAAAATTCGGAAGTCAAAAATGCATGGAGTAAGAACGAAAGGAGAGGAAAAGGGGAACACCGTTGGATTGAGAATTCGAGAAAGATTGAGGAAATGAAATCGACAATAAGGAGAAGAGAAAGTAGAGATTTGCCTTGCAAGACGCGAATTTAGAAAATATACAAACGATACAAGTCAATCTACATCCAAATTATCCAAAAGTTCCTGTACAACTTTTTAATCGCTGCCAAAATCGAATTTCTTTTCAATTTTTAGACATACTTTAAGCTTAGACTAATCCTAAACAAAAATTTATAAACTTTTAATGTTCACCTTTATACTAAAAACGTTAGAAAATTATTTTTAAAGCGTTTAGGCTAACATGATTTGAATAAAAGCTTCCTTGTATCAAAGTCAACAGATTTTGGTGTATCCGAAAAAGATCATACTCAAAAAGCTCCAGAAAGGTGTCCAATATCAAGTTTAGTTTATTCTAATTGGAGAAAAATTTAGAGCTTTAAAATTTGTGTAAATTGTTTAATTTCATCGGTGCTAAGGATCTACATAAACTTTGAAGTTGACTAGTTTCAGCAGTGTGCGCTCGACCATTTGTGCGCGGTTTAAAGGGAGAATAGGAGAATAGGAATATGATATAAAAAAAGCTATGATGAGCTATGGGCTTAGTGGTTTTAAGTATAATTTTAAGATTTTTATTTTAAAAAGTTTAGTTGAATAGCTTTCCTCAATTATTTGAAAATCAAGTTTTCGTAAAAAGTTGTACAGGAACTTTTGAACCACCTTGTGATTGTCTTGCTTTGGTTTGGATGATAGATAAGAAGCAAAAAGCAAGCATCCGTTGGATCATCTTGTAATTGTACTTGCTTTGGATTGGGTGATAGATAAAATCAAAAAGTCAGCATCTGTTTCAGGTCTGGACCTGGAAAGTGTATCAACGCTGGTTTGGAATGGGTTGCGACAATGATCAGTCAATGAATGTGTTGATTCTGATACTCATTGAAGGAATCGCGAACGATGCTCGGAGGATTCCATACGTGAAATTGTATTCGGGTGAGTGGAATTGAGATTTCAATGAATGATCGAGATTAAGGCAACTATCGCCTGATGAGTTACTTGAAGAATATGGAGGGAGAGATCTACAATTCGCTTGTGCAAAGTGAGTTCAATGAATTGCTAATAGCTTCACTATGATGAAATTCATTTACAGATTGGGAACTTCCGCGAGTGATGTATCATCTCGTTGATGATGTCGGTTTTCACATCAGAGAGTTCGCCGTGTTAAATGGCGAATTCCGAGAGCATTCCGTTCCACAATGGGCACGAAATGTTTTTCTTTTATGTGCGCTTCTAGTGGTGGGTTTATTTTCAAAAGTTTTCTAATAAGAATCAGTTTGCTAGAGCACGGCTGAATCATTTGATTTCAGATTTTTGCTCTTGTCACCGAGTGGTACATTGTTCGTCGAAAGTTGGCAATCAAAAAGAGCGCTTCCGGGATCAAGATTTCTGTTGGTAAAAGCAAAACACACTTGATGTTCTAGATTGGTCAATGGTATATCAAATCTGAGCTTGATATTGGAATTTTCATCTCCTACTTGATTTCTCTAAAATTCACAACTTTTATTTAATCATTGTCAATTTTTGTTCAAACTTTATTTCCGGGAAATCCCCATTGAAAAATTCTCGTTTTTTTCTGCTTTGTTTGGCCAGGTTTTCAGAAATGCTCATCGAATTTTTTATTACCAATATTTTCTTAATTTGCACAGCTTTTTGTTGGAGTCAATTTCTTTTTGAAAATCGAGTTTTTCTCTTTGAAAAACAGACGTTATCTTTGATCAAATACGGGTTTCGCTTTGAATGGTTGTTTTCATCGATTACTGTATATAAAATAATAGTTTAATGGTGGTGGTAATGAATATTTATTTGATGTTGGATCTTTCCGCAGGAATCTATAGCAAAATGCAGTGAGATTTGGGGAAAATTGTTCCCAAAAATTTGGGCATAGTCACGCCGGCTCAGTCGCTCACCATTCCTTTCTCTTTACTGATTTCAAAAGGGAAGCATCTTATGCCGGAGGGGTTTTTCAGGTTGCGAGCGATTGCCCCGGTCGCACAAAGAACACACAGAGAAATCTTCTTTTGCTCTGAACACACAGAGAAATCTTTTTTTGCTCTGATGCCTAGATGAGATTAAAGGCTAAAAATTTGTACCCAGGAGTTTTTAGAGTCGGGGCATCGATTGGCATTGTTTTTAGATTCTTAAATTGCGTCAAAATTGGTCAAGCTTTACCTCAAATCTCTTGCTTTTCCATCCAAAGAACGGTCAAGCTCGAAACTGATCAAGATTAGTCAGCTTTGACAAAACCTGGATACTTGTTTTTTTTTCCAAAAACCTCTTATTTCTAAGAACGATAAATATTTATTTTATACATAAACTCTTTGAGCAAAGGAGGCAAGAAAAGTAAAGTAAATGAACAGAAAAAACGAATTTTTAGAATTCCAAGAACTTCAAAAACAAAATAAAATCAAGAAGTGACTTCACAAAAAGAAACAAATGTTTACACGAATTCTTTCAAAGAAATGAGCAATTCTGAAACAAATTGAGCACCATCAAGTCAAAGTATTCAAGGAAAAGAAAAAACTGAAAAAAGATGAGATAAATATTATCAATATAAAAGATTATAGTATAAATAAGTATGAAAAAGGCACTTTTAGTAAAGCTCGGGGTTTTGGGGGGAGGGGGGGACCTGACAAGATAAAAGATGAAAATGTGGGTAATCATTTGATAAATTTTTGAGTAAACATAGTAGATGAGGTTAAAATTTACCTTACTGCAAAGATACTGCAAAATTACAGTTCTTTCAGTATATTGTGGTCAAATAGTCTGGAATGAAAGCTATTCATTGTTGAGATTGAATATCTTTCAGTTGTTTGAAGAGTTTGCGTTTAAGCTGTCAGCTGTCAGCTGTCAATTTAATGCAGATTTTACAGTTTTCTAATTGGAAATTGGGCTAATCTAGCTGGCTGTAATGTTGAGAAATCAGGCACAACCCTATAGATCTGAGAACTAAGATCTATATGCTTGAAATTGAGGTGGTGGTGGTAGTGGTTGAGATTGTGGATGAGGTTGCATCAAATTCATCAAAGGATGATTTCCTTGTGCTCGTTGATCGATCTCTCGAAGGATCGCTTTCCTCAAACGCTCGTACTGGATCACCACGTTTATTACCTGAATTCTTGATGTTAAGCTCGGTTTTCTTGTCGTTTATCCAATTAGAAAATATTGACTTGGATTTGTGACCATTTCCAAGTCCATTTCCTAGTTCATTTTCTTCAAATTCAATCACACCTCTTGTTTATGAAGTTTCAGCATAAGTTCACTGTATTTCTGCAAGTCGCCTTCAGAGAAAAGACCCCACTAAACGATTTTTAAACGATTTTAAATCAAAATTTTACCTCCAAAAGATTATCAAACTTTAAATCAGCTTGCGAATACAATCGGAGCCATTCCGGAGTCTCTGAAAATCTTTTGGTAACTTGATCAAGTACAAGACAAGCCTTAAAGCAGTTACCTCCATATTCTGAAAATAAACCTGGCTCTAAACTTGAATTCCTTTTATAAGGATAAAAATTTACCTCCATGTATGATGTTTAAATTCTCGACGGTGCTTTCAGCTCGGAGAACATTTGAGGTGACGGGGTAGGGGGCAAGCTGTCTGGGTTCAGGTGGCATTTGTTGAGGCGGGGGTTGAGGGTCTTGCAAGCCGGGATGTTCGAGCTGGATTCGATTCTCCAGTTCGCTAAAGTTCAAGTGTCTATATATCAGCATACAAAATCGTATGTTAAAGATCGACTGTTTGTCATTGTCATTGTCGGTTGAGAGTGACAGTTGATACTTTGACAAGATTTTCTTCATTAATTGAAATAAAAATATGCTCACTAAAAATAAATGACTCCTTGTGTTAGATCGAATAACTTTTTCCATCCAGGAGGGAGACTTTCACGAGCAAGGGGATGAAGCCAATGTGTTCGTCGATTGTTATGATCAACATAGTACCTAAATAGGTTTAATAACTTCAAAACTAAATACACTATATATTAAAAAGGATTTGTTGATTATAATAGACTGCGATAGTAGTTGATCATTATTTGTACAAAGCAGAGAGTAGCTTCACTGAAATCTCCTAGAAAAATCTCTTTGTTTCATTTACCGTACTAGTTTTCGATTTTGTACTAACTAAAAGCTTACTATAGTTATAAAGATTTACCGATATCCAGAATCCGTCACTTCAACGGCCCAATTCGGCGGCAATGGCAGTTCATCCTCTGGGGAGCTGCCCGAAACAAGACTTTCATTGCCTAAAAGAATTTAGTTATGGTAACTTTCCTCAAAAATCTCACCAATAATCGAGTTCCCCAGTGCTCTTATCGGCAAATTGTTCAACGATGCCGAGATTCGTGGAGCATTCTCTTGTACACCCAACGGGGCAACATTGCCAATACTTTGTGAGACAGCCAAACGGCCTCGGTCTGGCGTCCTGAAAATGGTATTGTATTGAAAATTCATTTCACATTTGAATGATAAAATCTTTAGCTTTCCCCTTGTCAATAATTGTCAACAATAGCATATACATTGATTACTCAAAGATTACAATTACTTACCTTAATCCAGAAAAGCTATGGGATGAAAGTGGGGCAAGGTGTGGTCTTGGAGAAAGTCCTGTTGATGAGCCAGTGCTATTCTGTAGCGAGGTTTGGCTAGTTTCGGGTTGGGGTTGTTGACTGGCACGTCTACCTGAATTCACAAATCAGTATTTCAAGTACAGCACTGTTAGCACAAAGAAAAGTCTATTATTAAACCTCCAAGTGATGGTATATTTGGGGGACTTGCTCGTCTCACATAATTCCCGCGTGTTCCCTCGAGAAATGTGGGTGTTGGGTGGTGTTTCTTTCGAGAGAGCATTCAACCACCTCACATCAGTCACCTCGACATTTGAATAGGGAAAATGAATCTGAAAATGAGTCTGAAAATCGATACAAAGAATTACAGTAAGGAAAATTTGCAAATTGAGTGGAAAAGAAAATTTATAAACTTAAAATTTGATCTTATGCTTGATGCTTGAATGAATCGTTTCACTCAAACTTCGGTTTTTAGTCTTTAATAGAAAAAAAAGCGACAATCTGAGCGATTTATAAAAAATAATGAGCTCAAATTCCATTCTTTGAAAGGGTGACAAAAAAAAAGTGGAGAAAGGGGTGAGAAATGTGATAAGAAACTTGTAAAACGTTGAAGCGCTTCAATTTCGAACTTGAAACAAGAAAAAAATTGAGGAACTGGATACAGGGGATGGTTTAAACAAAGTAATTTGATCTAGGTATCTAATCTAAATAAGACTTGTGTTTTTCAAAGCTTGTAATTCTTTTCAAGAACAGTGCCAGGCTCTGAGTCAGACCGGAAGCTGTTTGTAAGGCTTAAAATTTTAAAAAAATACCTTTCTTAAACAAAAACCAATAAGAAATAAGCCAAAATAAGCCAAAATAGCTTTAATTTTCTTCAATTGAAAATGATATCTGATAGTTGCATAGGATTTTGCTGGGGTGGAAGGGGGAAAGAAGAGAAAAGATGCGCAAGAGCTCATTCCGATGCTTTTGTGCACACCAAACCGACTGAAGCGGCAATGGAAAAGAAAAAGTGTGGAAAGATGGGGAAAAGAAAAGAGAAAAAGGAGAGGATTGTAATGGAAAGGAATTTTAGGAATTTTCTTGGAGAAGGGAAAAGAGAATCGTCTCTCTTTACGCTCTCTTTTCGTGGGAGAAAGATAACACTTTGTTCCGTCTTTGCCCTACCGTAGCCTTGGTTTCGCGGTGGGATTTGAAGGAGTTTGATTGCTAGGAAATTGCAGTACTTAGTTTGTTGATTGTATATAATTTTGGACATTGTTTTGTTAGGAGAAAAGTTTAAAACAAAGATCGCGAGAAATAAAGATGAGATTGACATTCAGTGAATGGGTAAACTGTCAAAATATTAAAATAGATTGAATGAGACTGTCGAGAAAACTTGAAAACCAAGTTTGTGAGATATTTTGGTAGAAAATGATAAGATTGAATCTATTAAAGCATTGATTTAGCTAGATCCATATTATCACAAAGAATCATAAAAGTACACAGACCATTATGTTTCACCAGCACACCTTTTAGTCACTCTTCTAACTAGATTTACAGTAACCTAATCCTTACTACTTATTTGCTACTACCTTACTATCTTACAGTATCTAAAACAGTAAATAGATCTTACAGGTCATAGCTAGATAGTGAAATATATCAGTAGATCAGCAGTGTGCTTTTTAATTTTATCTAATTCTTACTTTAGTGAAGAATCTGATAGGTGTTTATTTCCATTTTTCTTCTAAAAGTTTCCTTCAAGATTTCACCATCATGTTTTGCATCTGATTAATTTCTTCAATTCAAAAGAGGAACGATGAAATGACAAATTGATTGTCTAAAATGAATCATTAGGAAAACTTTGAGACAAAACATGTTCAATTGTTGCGATGTTCAGGGGATAAAATGAAGGGAATGATTGCTCATTTCAGACGTTTTTTCTCTAGCTTTTGATGTATCTTCTCGTTTTTGTTGTAGTGATCATTTGTGGGGTTTTGGGCCAACAACAGTACCCACCACCACCACCAATGCCTCTTACAGGTTTGTTTGAGATATCCCAATCAAAAACCAAACTACCATAATTCTTTTAATAGAATTAGAATTAGCTTTGCTACTGCTACTATTCAATATTTCTAGTCATCGTGAAACAAATTTTTCATTTGAAAAACCTAGGAGGCGGATATCCACCAGCTCCACCAGTGTATGCCCCTGGCGGTGGCTATGGGCAAGGACAAGGATCATCTGGGGAATCATACGAATACAACAGAGAGTATAACTGTAAGCTTTTAGTCAGCTTAGTCAAGATTTTAGTTTTTAGTCAAAATGTCTATCTATGAAGTTGAATAAGTGTGATTAATCGTTCATTAAACTGGGTTTAACAATCTGCCTGTCTATTAGAAGGTTTACTAAATTTAAATTCAAAAAGCTAACCATAAAGTAATTCGAACTCATTGACATTGGAAACGTTTCTTTTCTCAAATCCATGCTATATGTCAAAATATCAATTCTACAGTAATGCTTAAATTCCCTAGGCAAATTGGTTGTTCTTTACGGCCACGGAAAGGGGGGACACATTCGCTCGCCATTTGTTGGGTAAATATTTTCTCAGGGAATCAGAAAAATATCCAAATTTAGTCTTCACAAAGATCGCTACAGTCGCAGAAACGATTTCCAGCGCGCCCTTGTGCTGTGCCCGGAAAGGCACGGAAAGAAGGGAATTCTCGTCGACAACAGACACAAGGTAGAGAAGAGGAGGGAAATATTGATACAATAATTTTTGTTGATACAACCGGAACATCCGGGTGTAAAGATTGAATGTAACTTAATGTACAATTTGCTCTGTAAAACTGAAAGACCAGCAAGCACTAACAGTTTAGTTCTTCTTAAACAGACAACTAGGCTTTGATTGTACTAACACAAATCTAAAAAAACAATAATCCTTATGATTTCAAACAGGAATTTAAACTGGTCTTTAGCCAATCCGCTCTCGCCGTGGCCCCGATGATGTAAACGAGCTTGAGGTCGCTTGTGTGGATGGACGGTGAGCGCTTTGTAATTATTAAGACAATAGCTTTTAAAGTAAAGCCAGAGTTAGAGTTTGAGCTTAAACAAATTTCTGTATAAGCTTTGCGAATCATTCAAAATCGAGGAAATAAACAACTGTTTCCTAAATGATAAGGCACTTTTCCGCTGGCTTGCCACGGAACAGTACCGTAGCTATGGATAAAAACTATGATTCAACATATTTATTCAATTTTTAGATGGGTTCGAGTTCACGAGGGTCATCGCGGTGATCGTTATGGTAGTGATGTGCCCCCAATGAATTGTGCCTACGTTTCCGATCGCGATTCATCATCGTCATCTGGGGAAGACGGAGGAAAGGGAGGGCCAAGACGAGAATCATCCAATCATTGATAAAGGGTTTAAATTAATTGTCTTGAAGAGTTGAAAGCAATTGTGAAAGTTACTACAATAGCACAAAGTTTAAGTTTAAGAGCACATAGCTTACTGTAACTGTCAAATCAGTTTAGAGCATAAGGGAGAATAAAAGAATTCTGAAAAAAGTGCCGATACAAAAGCAAAATCATTTTTGTTATTGAAAATACGTCAAAAACGGCAACTATGTCTACTAAACCGCCAATTTTCTCTATTAGGTTCGTAAAAAAGAAATGAGCGTCGTGTTTGTTGATTTGTATTTTATTCACAGTAAAAGTTTTTTAAAATAGTTTATTCTATTGGAAAGAGCGTGTTCTTGCGCATCGTTTGATATATAATTTGTCTATGTTCATTTTGTTTCTTACAAGAAAGAGTGTTTAGAAAATGTCGGACCAAAAATTTCGCTTGCGGGCCTGCTTGTGGTATGAATTTAAGCAAGGCAAATCGGCTGCTGAAGCTCATCGCGCTCTATCTCAAGTGTTTGACGAAGATGCTCTATCCGAAAGTCAGTGTAAACGATGGTTCCAGCGCTTCCGAGACGGCGACTAAAGCGACTAACACGGGAGTCGACCTCAAATCATCGACAACGACGCATTGAAGGAAGCCATTGAGTCGGCTCCACGCCAAACCACTCGCGACCTGGCAGAACAGTTCGGCTGCACTCATGTCACCATTGAGAACCATCTGCATGGCATGGCAAGACGAATAGATGCGGAAAATGGGTACCGCATAAGCTATCCGACGCAAACAAGGCGACACGCATCGCAATCGCCGGAATTCTCACTCACCGCGCCAAGAACAGTGGGTTTTTCGACTCCATTGTTACGTCGGATGAGAAGTGGATCCAATACGATAACACAGCAAGAAAGCGGCAGTGGTTGGACCCCGGTGAAGCTCCAAAACCGACTCCAAAACCGGACATCCACGGAAAAAGGTGATGCTTTGTGTTTGGTGGAACGGTAAAGGCCTGGTGTACTTTGAGGTTCTGGATCCGGGTCAAACAGTTACGGCAAACCTCTACCAAGGCCAACTGGACCGCGTGGACCAGGCGCTGCGACGTCAAGGTGTGGATACGGCGTCGACAAAATTCCTCCACAACAACGCTCGGCCGCATGCCGCAAAAATCACCCAGCAGAAAATTGAAGAAATGGGCTGGGGAAGTCCTGCCGCATCCGCCATACAGCCCAGACTTGGCGCCTTCCCAAAACCATCTGTTCCGATCAATGCACCACTCCTTGGCCGAGAAAAAGTTCAAGAACCGCGACGAGGTCCAAATTTGGGTGTCCAACTTCTTCGAGTCGCAGCCGGTCGAGTTCTTCAAGAAGGGCATCCATTCTTTGCGTGAACGTTGGCGACAAGTCATTGATGCAGATGGCGAATACCTTTTGGATTAATGTATTGTTATCTTGTTTTTATAATAAAATAAACTTTTAACGAAAACGCGCATTTCTTTTTTACCAACCTAATAGAATCGACGTAAAGCACTGAAGCGCTGATATTTGTAATCTTGCTTGAAACAAGCGCATTGACTTTCTTAGGTGGATACATTCTTTAGACAAGCATACTGTATGGAGCTAGATTACGATAACTCTAGAAAACGTAAGCTTTAAAACTATGACTGACTAAAATCCATGAAATCCCATAAAACTTTGATCTCACTTGAAATTTTGATCCAGAAAAGTTTCTCAAAAATCGTGAAACCAAGGCGGATCTTTCAGGCAAATTTTGCACGTGAACGCTGAGATTTTTGACGAGAACCATCAAAAAAAAGAAAATTCTCTCGATGATCAGAAGGGAAAATCTGTTTAAACAAAACGAAAGCATTTCTGGTGGACCGGATGGAATTCGGAAACGATTTTTTTTTTCTACCTTTCCTCCATTTTTCGACAAAATTTTTCGGATGATTTGCGTGGCAATCAAGCCTCTACAAATGACACGAAATACAATCGATTCTTTTCGATCAAAACTCATTGAGAGATTTTTGATGAATAGGAAGAGTACGGTATCTAAGGAATCTTGCACCAACGCTATAGTCAATCAGATTTTCAAATTCAACACTAACTGTAAAGGAATTTGGGACTTGACTGGTTCATGACAGAAAATCGGTTCACCGTGCTGAAGATTCTACATTTGATTGAAGTCAACATGACAATTGTGCCGGTGTAGACAGCCCAACCTCAAGCACTTTCCGCACAACAAAACTCATAGCTCAAACCAATTCAGAAAAACTATGCACGAATCAAGAAAGCTTTGTGTAAATACGATTCTTTCATACATAATACGTTCGCAAAATATTTATTCAAATCCCAAGAATACCAAAGACTAAGAAATTACGCGCAAGACGTGGCAAGGTAACGCATATCCAAGAAATCCACAAAGCAATAAATTAAAAGTGATAAAGAAATCTTCAGAAAAGCGCAACTAATTCTTTTTTGAAGAAAAGAAAAGAAACTTTGCGACAAAAGAACACCGTTTGGAAGCACAGATAAAACAAGTGCGAAATAGAATTGACGTTTCTACAGTTTCTACAGAATACAGAAAGTTTCTAAGAATTGAAACCACGGTTCTAACAGATTTTTCAAAACACAGAAATTAGGGTTTGATTGCCTAAAGTTTTACGTGAAACAGGTCTCTTCGTAAGTGTTTGCAGTTCAATCCATGAATTTATTCCCACAAGTGTTTTGTAAATCTGTTTAAGCTGTACACTGGATAAAAGCACTAAGTCTAGGTTTATCTGTCAAACTATGGTTGTAGACAATCACTTCTTTTAATAAGATAAAACTAGTTGCAAAGCGCTCAGTCTGAATGAAAGTGAAGTCTAAATCAAGTGTTTAACCAGAATAACTGGTTACTTGATTTTTCAATTACCTTAGTTTATTCACTTGAAAATTTACTTCAGCATACTGTAGTGAGATAAACTAAGGCTTTACTAGATTTTCTAAACATTTAGTTATTGACTACAGCTACAGTTTGACTTGCAGTTAGATCTACTTGATCCATAGCACAGCCACAGCCACATTGTACCATTTCAAAACTCCAGCATGAACCCTTTGATAGAAAGACTCAAGTTTTACTATGCGAACAATATTTGCCTAATTGATTCAATGCACTGTTGGACAGAGGCTGACTATACAGCTACCTACAAAACACGGTCACCGAAGTGCATCTAGACAGACGAGAAAAAGAGTTTCCAGCAATAACGTGGCTTTCAACTAGAAGAACGAAGGAAAAAAAATGGGGAAAATTGGAAAAATTTGTTGTCACAGCAGTCTCCACCCATTCAATGCCGAAAAAGGAGGCCAAAATGAGAGTGGATAAACGATGGGGTCGACAGGGATTTCACTCATTTCACATGTATTCAAATATCTCATTCCAATCTTGCCCCCGAACATCATCCGGTTACTGTATCGTTCTATTTGATGTTTTTGAAGTTTTATGCTTAAAATCTATGTCATTCTATGTATTTCCTTTCATATTTTATTGAGTCGAGAGTGTGTATCCTTTTGTAAATCCCTAGATTACTGTATCTTTAAACTGGCTTTAAGCCGTAATAATGAAGCTCTATTACACAGTAGCTCTCAAAATGATTCATAGATCCCATTTTGAGCGTTACTGTACTTTTTTTTTCATGTCTAATATATTTATCCATTAATTTAAATAGTCATCATTAAATCTATAACTTATTCCAATGAATTTCGAAAGCCAGACATGGCTTTCGACAGAGTTACGGTAGAAGTTCGTGGGTTACGGTAGAAGTTCGTTGCGTTCATATGTGGCTTTTTTTTTGTCAAACCCACAAATTTAGACTCCACCCCTTATCCAAAACCGTTTTCACTTTGATTGGGGCTTTCACTTCATATCTCGATTGCTCCTAGTTCTCCTAGTTATACACCTAGTTCCTTTAGTACTTTAGTACTTAGTTTTTATTTCATTTTCTCAAATTCTTATGCTATAATTCTCCCCTACAATAAGAATTATAACTAAGAACAATCGAGATCTGCTTTTTCAAAACCTACTGGTATAGCTTTGCAAGTCATTCAATGGCTACAGTAGGATTCAGTGTGATATAAGCGACCACTGAGCTCTACTGTATTCCCTCACTTTTCATGCACTTACTAATTTTCAATAAGTTTGCTCGTTAGTAGCCACTACAGTAAGACTTAACGTGTTATGGGTATATTGAATACTGTAGCCCTAGCAATTCCTTCAAGCTTACTGTAATCTTTTTGATTCCCATTTGCTTTTGAAGGCATCAGGCATTGAATCATAGTTATAGTAAACATCAGCAGTTAAATTTATATCACCAGCTTTTGCAAGCTAACTTTCACCAAAAGCCAAGGAAGCTCCCTTCCTTATCTCTTCAAAAAACACCACTCTTGTAAAAGCTTCAAATCGAATGTCCTCTTTTGCAAAAGCTTTGAATATTCTCCTTTAAAAAGTTCATTTCAGCGGGCTCACTTGCGGTAAAACACGGCCCTCAATGCAGTGGTCGTGGATACTTCTTGCTCTCATAGCTTTCAATACATGCCCTCGTACAGATGGGTTTTCATTTGGCGATCTCTCCGATTACATCACTGATTTGTTCCACGAGGATTCTCAGGTAAGCCCTGGCAAGTTTGATCGAGGTTCAATGATTTATCGATAACTTATATGCACAGTGCAAGTAAGTGCAAGTAACCATAGACTTTGGGCTTACTGTAGTTCTTTTAACTCCTCGAACGCAACAGCATTGCCTCAAATACAGCTACGGTAGCAAGTTCAGGAAGAAAATTATGATGACAATGGAGCAAACAAAAGTCAGCCATCGACTACAAATGGACCAGAGATGGATGGGCCACAGATAGCCGCCCCAGATCAAATGCCAGGCGATCTCAGGGGTCCACGTGTCAAAGTAAGCATGACCTGTTTGAAATTTTGGTTTTGAAATAACAGGGAAACTCTTAAATTGCATTTTCAAAAAGATTTTGTTCTTAGAAACACTTGTGGACTTAGAATCAGCTAATAGACTAGAATCCAAAATAGATTTCAAATTGTCTTCCAAGTGTCACTATTTGTCGACAGGCGTTGGGACTTTTATGACTGCTGATCTCATAGTTCTTGAAATTGGAACGTTAGGACATAATTTCTGGTCTGAGTGCCACTCTTTCATTATGTATTCATAGAGAGCCGACTGCAATTCATGCGTAGCAAATCCTCACGGTAGTTGTCTTAATGGAGGAGGCACCTGCGATCCGTTCACTTATCAAGATCCGAAGATTCAGTACACAACCGGAGGCCCTTGCAAGGTTTGATTTGTGTTTGAAAACACTAGCAAAACCACCTTAGGAAGCGACTCTGACCTGTGAGGGTTTCGAATCTGTGTACCTCGATGGTTCGACCACCACTGATCCAACAGGAGGCGATGGTGGAGTACTGGTAAGTAATTATTTATATTATCAATCATTATCAATTGCCTCAAGGTTTTAATGAACTACAATAATTGCCTTGGAAAAAGCAATCTGAAATTTAAAATTAGAAACTTCTTCTTGACCCTATATGAATCCCAAAACAGCTTTCCAAAATGCAAACTTTAGCTGGCTCAAGATGACAATTCCGATATTAATTTGCTTTTGGTCGTCAGCGTTACAATTACCTGTGACGCGACTGGCGCCTGGGTTGCAAGTGGCAATCAAATCGGAAATGAATTTGATTGTCAAGGTAACCTCTATCAAAACAATACAAGAAAAGTCATCGAATTTAGTATGGCAACCAGTCAATACGACGACCACAACGACAACAACAACGACAACGACAACCACCACAACCACAACCACAACAACAACAACGACAACGACAACAACAACCACAACGACAACAACCACAACGACAACCACCACGACAACCACAACAACCACGACAACAACCACCACGACGACTACAACCACCACAACGACAACCACTACCACTACAACCACAACGACAACCACTACCACTACAACGACAACCACTACCACTACAACCACAACGACAACCACTACCACTACAACACAACCACAACGACAACCACAACAACCACCACGACGACTACAACAACTACAACGACAACCACGACTACTACAACGACAACCACGACTACTACAACCACAACGACAACCACAACGACAACCACCACCACCACCACAACCACAACGACCACAACTACAACCACAACCACGCACAACGACAACCACCACCACCACCACAACCACAACGACCACAACTACAACCACAACCACGACAACAACAACCACCACGACAACCACTACCACTACCACGACAACCACAACAACAACGACGACTACTACAACCACCACGACAACCACTACCACTACAACGACAACCACAACAACAACGACGACTACTACAACCACAACGACAACCACTACCACTACAACGACAACCACAACAACAACGACGACTACTACAACCACAACGACAACCACTACCACTACAACGACAACCACAACAACAACCACAACGACTACAACAACTACAACTACGACGACAACCACGACCACCACAACCACAACAACTACTACTACCACGACAACAACCACCACGACGACCACAACTACAACGACAACAACTACTACAACTACCACCACAACGACCACGACAACCACGACCACAACCACCACGACGACCACAACCACAACAACTACTACTACCACGACAACAACCACCACCACGACAACAACCACCACAACAACGACTACCACGACTACCACAACCACAACCACGACAACTACTACAACTACCACGACAACGACCACGACAACAACCACCACGACGACTACAACCACGACGACCACAACCACCACGACAACAACCACCACAACAACGACTACCACGACTACCACAACCACAACCACGACAACTACTACAACTACCACGACAACGACCACGACAACAACCACCACGACGACTACAACCACGACGACCACAACCACCACGACAACCACCACCACAACGACGACCACAACCACCACAACGACAACAACTACAACTACAACGACAACCACGACCACCACAACCACAACGACTACAACAACTACAACGACAACAACCACCACCACGACAACTACTACATCCACCACGACAACCACTACCACTACAACGACAACCACAACAACAACCACAACGACTACAACAACTACAACTACGACGACAACCACGACCACCACAACCACAACAACTACTACTACCACGACAACAACCACCACGACGACCACAACTACAACGACAACAACTACTACAACTACCACGACAACGACCACGACAACAACCACGACGACGACTACAACCACGACGACCACAACCACCACGACCACAACCACCACGACTACAACCACCACAACGACGACTACCACAACCACAACGACCACAACTACAACGACAACCACGACGACTACAACCACCACGACGACTACAACCACGACTACCACAACTACAACGACAACAACTACTACAACTACCACCACAACAACAACCACGACTACTACAACCACAACGACAACAACTACAACTACAACTACAACGACAACCACGACCACCACAACAACAACGACAACAACAACAACGACAACAACTACTACAACCACGACCACTACGACCACGACAACGACGACAACCACGACAACTACTACAACTACTACGACAACGACAACAACCACCACGACAACCACAACCACAACAACCACAACTACAACGACAACAACTACTACAACTACCACCACAACAACCACCACGACGACTACAACCACCACAACGACGACTACCACAACCACAACGACCACAACTACAACGACAACCACGACGACTACAACCACCACGACGACTACAACCACGACTACCACAACTACAACGACAACAACTACTACAACTACCACCACAACAACAACCACGACTACTACAACCACAACGACAACAACTACAACTACAACCACAACGACAACCACGACCACCACAACAACAACGACAACAACAACGACAACAACTACTACAACCACGACCACTACGACCACGACAACGACGACAACCACGACAACTACTACAACTACTACGACAACGACAACAACCACCACGACGACCACAACCACAACAACCACCACGACGACCACAACCACCACGACAACAACCACCACGACGACCACAACTACCACAACGACAACCACAACAACAACGACGACTACTACAACCACCACCACGACAACAACCACAACGACGACAACAACTACAACTACAACTACAACGACAACCACGACCACCACAACAACAACGACAACAACAACGACAACAACTACTACAACCACGACCACTACGACCACGACAACGACGACAACCACGACAACTACTACAACTACTACGACAACCACAACAACCACCACGACAACAACCACAACCACGACTACCACAACCACGACGACCACAACCACCACGACGACCACAACTACCACAACGACAACCACAACAACAACGACGACTACTACAACCACCACCACGACAACAACCACAACGACTACAACAACTACAACGACTACAACAACTACCACGACAACTACTACAACCACCACGACAACCACTACCACTACAACCACAACCACAACAACAACGACAACAACTACAACCACAACGACAACAACCACAACGACAACAACCACCACCACAACGACGACAACAACTACAACAACAACAACAACTACTACTACCACAACTACAACGACAACGACCACAACGACAACAACTACTACAACTACCACCACAACGACAACGACAACCACGACAACCACCACGACGACTACGACAACTACAACCACGACGACTACAACGACCACAACTACAACGACAACCACGACGACTACAACGACAACCACAACAACCACGACAACCACAACAACCACGACAACAACCACTACGACGACTACAACAACCACAACCACAACCACAACCACTACGACAACCACGACAACAACTACCACTACGACAACCACGACAACAACAACCACCACGACGACAACCACAACAACAACCACCACAACAACCACCACGACGACTACAACCACAACCACCACAACCACAACGACCACCACTACAACCACAACCACGACAACAACAACAACGACAACAACCACCACGACGACTACAACAACCACCACGACGACTACAACAACAACAACGACAACCACTACCACTACAACAACCACCACGACCACCACAACCACAACGACCACAACTACAACGACAACTACGACCACAACCACAACCACAACCACAACAACCACCACCACGACTACAACCACCACAACGACAACCACTACTACTACAACGACAACCACAACAACCACCACAACGACCACAACCACCACAACCACAACCACGACAACCACAACCACGACAACAACAACCACCACGACAACTACTACTACCCACCCACCACCCGACTAAAGACAACCACGACAAAACTACCACTACGACAACCACGACACCACAACCACCACAACCACAGACGACTACAACAACCACAACGACAACCACAACAACAACCACCACAACAACCACCACGACGACTACAACAACTACAACCACAACCACCACAACCACCACAACCACAACGACCACCACTACAACTACAACCACAACTACAACCACGACTACCACGACTACAACGACAACAACTACTACAACTACCACCACAACTACAACGACAACCACGACAACAACCACCACGACGACTACCACCACAACAACGACAACCACGACTACCACAACTACAACGACAACAACAACTACGACTACTACAACAACCACGACTACCACAACCACAACGACAACAACCACAACGACAACAACTACAACGACTACAACAACTACAACGACGACGACAACCACGACCACCACAACAACCACCACGACAACTACAACGACAACAACGACAACAACCACAACAACCACAACCACGACCACAACCACGACAACAACAACCACCACGACAACCACTACCACTACAACGACAACCACAACAACCACCACGACAACTACAACAACTACAACGACAACCACGACTACTACAACCACAACGACAACAACCACAACGACAACAACTACCACGACTACTACAACCACAACGACAACAACCACAACGACAACAACTACAACTACAACGACAACAACTACTACAACAACGACAACAACTACTACAACTACCACCACCACGACAACAACCACCACGACGACTACAACCACAACAACGACAACCACGACTACCACAACTACAACGACAACGACCACAACGACAACAACTACTACAACTACCACCACAACGACAACGACAACCACGACAACCACCACGACGACTACGACAACTACAACCACAACCACTACAACAACGACAACCACGACAACTACCACAACTACTACAACAACGACCACAACAACAACAACTACTACTACCACTACAACAACCACGACGACTACTGTAAATTCTTTCAAGCTTCGAGTTATTAGCTAGAATAACACAGAATCGAGTTAAGATCTTAAAGGAGAGCAAATCTGTTAGGGTATAACATATATGGTCGGACTCTTTAAAAAAGTCGGTTGAAAGAATTGATAACCAGATCAAATATGACCTAGACTGTATTCGAAAAACACCCTTTCCAAAGAACCAAAATCTTTCAAATTTGAAAGATTTTGGTTGTTCAACATTTTCGGAGGTGCAAAGAAGATTTGTCAAAAATGATAAAAATAGAAGATCGGTAATTTTACAACCAGTACTAAATCGGTCTCGTCGGCGAAATACTTCGGCAAATTAAGCAAATTAAGGCAAACTCGTCGGCAAATTAAGTGGACGAACTCACCAAACCAAAAAACCTCGCCCTTTGACTAATTTCCAACAATTAAATTTATTTGGTAAAACAAAGATACATCTTCTATGTTATCATTTATTACCACTATTTCTTCTCTCCTTTATCTTTCATTTCAAAACCAAAATCCGTCTAGCCGTCTTCCCGAACCTTCGTTTAAACCAAAATCCTCCTAATCAAGAATTCTTTTGTCAAGAATCAAGAATTCTTTTGTCAAGAAAGAAATTTGTCAAAAACGGCTGAAAGGATTAAACTAGATTTTATAGACAATTTTATGGTGACCGACCCCTCTTTCGTAAATAAAGTCAGTGCTTTCTTAAAAAGTCGCACCCTAACTCGAGTCACTTTCAAGCGAATTAGTCCGGCAAATAAGATCCAATTCAGACTACTACAACCACCAAACCCGACGACTACAACGACCACAACAACGACAACCACCACGACCACCACGACCACCACTACTACCACGACAACTACAACGACCACTACTACTACAACCACAACGACCACAACTACAACGACAACTACTACCACTACCACAACCACGACGACTACTGTAAGTTCATTATAAATTCAGCTGCCTTACTCGAATCACTTTCCAAAAAATCAGTCCGGAAAATGAGATCCGATTTAGACCACCACTACCACCACTACCACCACAACCCGACAACCCGACGACCACCACGACGACTACGACGACAACCACAACTACCACCACAACCACGACGACCACCACTACCACCACCACTACTACCACGACGACGACAACCACAACTACGACGACAACGACAACTACTACCACCACCACCACGACGACTACTGTGAGTTGATTATGAATTCGGTCGCCTAACTCGAATCACTTGCCAACAAGTTAGTCCTGAAAATGTGATTCAATTCAGACCACCACAACCACGACAACCACGACAACCACAACCACGACGACTACCACGACCACAACAACAACTACGACGACGACAACCACGACGACTACAACGACAACCACTACCACCACGACGACGACAACCACGACGACTACTGTCAGTTCATTCTAAATTCGGCTGCCTAACTCGAATCACTTTCAAACAAATTAGTCCGGGAAATGAGATCCAATTCAGACCACCACAACCACGACGACTACAACGACCACAACAACCACAACCACGACGACCACCACCACTACCACGACAACCACAACCACGACGTCTACTGTAAGTTCATTACAAATTCGGCTGCCTAACTAGAATTGCTTTCAAACGAATTAACCTGGAAACTGAGATCCAATTCAGACGACCACAACCACCACAACCACGACGACTACAACGACCACAACAACCACAACCACGACGACCACCACCACTACCACGACAACCACAACCACGACGTCTACTGTAAGTTCATTACAAATTCGGCTGCCTAACTAGAATTGCTTTCAAACGAATTAACCTGAAAAACGAGATCCAATTCAGACGACCACAACCACCACAACCACGACGACTACAACGACCACAACTACAACGACAACCACGACGACCACGACGACAACCACAACAACAACCACCACAACAACCACCACGACGACTACAACCACAACCACCACAACCACAACGACCACCACTACAACCACAACCACGACAACAACAACAACGACAACAACCACCACGACGACTACAACAACCACCACGACGACTACAACAACAACAACGACAACCACTACCACTACAACAACCACCACGACCACCACAACCACAACGACCACAACTACAACGACAACTACGACCACAACCACAACCACAACCACAACAACCACCACCACGACTACAACCACCACAACGACAACCACTACTACTACAACGACAACCACAACAACCACCACGACGACTACAACAACTACAACCACGACAACTACCACAACCACCACAACCACAACGACCACAACCACCACAACCACAACCACGACAACCACAACCACGACAACAACAACCACCACGACAACTACTACTACCACGACCACAACCACCACGACTACAACGACAACCACGACAACAACTACCACTACGACAACCACGACAACCACAACCACCACAACCACCACGACGACTACAACAACCACAACGACAACCACAACAACAACCACCACAACAACCACCACGACGACTACAACAACTACAACCACAACCACCACAACCACCACAACCACAACGACCACCACTACAACTACAACCACAACTACAACCACGACTACCACGACTACAACGACAACAACTACTACAACTACCACCACAACTACAACGACAACCACGACAACAACCACCACGACGACTACCACCACAACAACGACAACCACGACTACCACAACTACAACGACAACGACCACCACGACAACAACAACTACGACTACTACAACAACCACGACTACCACAACCACAACGACAACAACCACAACGACAACAACTACAACGACTACAACAACTACAACGACGACGACAACCACGACCACCACAACAACCACCACGACAACTACAACGACAACAACGACAACAACCACAACAACCACAACCACGACCACAACCACGACAACAACAACCACCACGACAACCACTACCACTACAACGACAACCACAACAACCACCACGACAACTACAACAACTACAACGACAACCACGACTACTACAACCACAACGACAACAACCACAACGACAACAACTACCACGACTACTACAACCACAACGACAACAACCACAACGACAACAACTACAACTACAACGACAACAACTACTACAACAACGACAACAACTACTACAACTACCACCACCACGACAACAACCACCACGACGACTACAACCACAACAACGACAACCACGACTACCACAACTACAACGACAACGACCACAACGACAACAACTACTACAACTACCACCACAACGACAACGACAACCACGACAACCACCACGACGACTACGACAACTACAACCACAACCACTACAACAACGACAACCACGACAACTACCACAACTACTACAACAACGACCACAACAACAACAACTACTACTACCACTACAACAACCACGACGACTACTGTAAATTCTTTCAAGCTTCGAGTTATTAGCTAGAATAACACAGAATCGAGTTAAGATCTTAAAGGAGAGCAAATCTGTTAGGGTATAACATATATGGTCGGACTCTTTAAAAAAGTCGGTTGAAAGAATTGATAACCAGATCAAATATGACCTAGACTGTATTCGAAAAACACCCTTTCCAAAGAACCAAAATCTTTCAAATTTGAAAGATTTTGGTTGTTCAACATTTTCGGAGGTGCAAAGAAGATTTGTCAAAAATGATAAAAATAGAAGATCGGTAATTTTACAACCAGTACTAAATCGGTCTCGTCGGCTTGAAATACTTCGGCAAATTAAGCAAATTAAGGCAAACTCGTCGGCAAATTAAGTGGACGAACTCACCAAACCAAAAAACCTCGCCCTTTGACTAATTTCCAACAATTAAATTTATTTGGTAAAACAAAGATACATCTTCTATGTTATCATTTATTACCACTATTTCTTCTCTCCTTTATCTTTCATTTCAAAACCAAAATCCGTCTAGCCGTCTTCCCGAACCTTCGTTTAAACCAAAATCCTCCTAATCAAGAATTCTTTTGTCAAGAATCAAGAATTCTTTTGTCAAGAATCAAGAATTCTTTTGTCAAGAAAGAAATTTGTCAAAAACGGCTGAAAGGATTAAACTAGATTTTATAGACAATTTTATGGTGACCGACCCCTCTTTCGTAAATAAAGTCAGTGCTTTCTTAAAAAGTCGCACCCTAACTCGAGTCACTTTCAAGCGAATTAGTCCGGCAAATAAGATCCAATTCAGACTACTACAACCACCACAACCACGACGACTACAACGACCACAACAACGACAACCACCACGACCACCACGACCACCACTACTACCACGACAACTACAACGACCACTACTACTACAACCACAACGACCACAACTACAACGACAACTACTACCACTACCACAACCCGACGACTACTGAAGTTCATTATAAATTCAGCTGCCTTACTCGAATCACTTTCCAAAAAATCAGTCCGGAAAATGAGATCCGATTTAGACCACCACTACCACCACTACCACCACAACCACGACAACCACGACGACCACCACGACGACTACGACGACAACCACAACTACCACCACAACCACGACGACCACCACTACCACCACCACTACTACCACGACGACGACAACCACAACTACGACGACAACGACAACTACTACCACCACCACCACGACGACTACTGTGAGTTGATTATGAATTCGGTCGCCTAACTCGAATCACTTGCCAACAAGTTAGTCCTGAAAATGTGATTCAATTCAGACCACCACAACCACGACAACCACGACAACCACAACCACGACGACTACCACGACCACAACAACAACTACGACGACGACAACCACGACGACTACAACGACAACCACTACCACCACGACGACGACAACCACGACGACTACTGTCAGTTCATTCTAAATTCGGCTGCCTAACTCGAATCACTTTCAAACAAATTAGTCCGGGAAATGAGATCCAATTCAGACCACCACAACCACGACGACTACAACGACCACAACAACCACAACCACGACGACCACCACCACTACCACGACAACCACAACCACGACGTCTACTGTAAGTTCATTACAAATTCGGCTGCCTAACTAGAATTGCTTTCAAACGAATTAACCTGGAAACTGAGATCCAATTCAGACGACCACAACCACCACAACCACGACGACTACAACGACCACAACAACCACAACCACGACGACCACCACCACTACCACGACAACCACAACCACGACGTCTACTGTAAGTTCATTACAAATTCGGCTGCCTAACTAGAATTGCTTTCAAACGAATTAACCTGAAAAACGAGATCCAATTCAGACGACCACAACCACCACAACCACGACGACTACAACGACCACAACTACAACGACAACCACGACGACTACGACGACAACCACAACTACAACGACAACCACAACTACTACGACTACCACAACTACGACGACAACCACAACTACTACGACCACCACAACCACGACGACTACTGTAAGTTCATTATAAAGTCGACTGCCTAACTAGAATTACTTTCTAACTAATCAACCTGAAAAATGAGATCCAATTCAGACGACCACAACCACCACAACCACGACGACTACAACGACCACAACTACAACGACAACCACGACGACTACGACGACAACCACAACTACAACGACAACCACAACTACTACGACTACCACAACTACTACGACTACCACAACCACGACGACTACTGTAAGTTCATTATAAGTTCGGCTCCCTAACTAGAATTACTTTTAAACGAATTAACCTGGAAAATGAGCTCCAATTCAGACGACCACAACCACCACAACCACGACGACTACAACGACCACAACAACGACAACCACGACGACCACCACTACTACCACGACGACAACCACGACGACTACGACGACAACCACAACTACAACGACAACCACAACTACTACGACAACCACAACTACTACGACTACCACAACCACGACGACTACCACAACCACGACGACTACTGTAAGTTCATTATAAATTCGGCTCCCTAACTAGAATTACTTTCTAACTAATCAACCTGAAAAACGAGATCCAATTCAGACGACCACAACCACCACAACCACGACTACGACGACAACCACAACTACAACGACAACCACAACTACTACGACTACCACAACTACGACGACAACCACAACTACTACGACAACCACAACTACTACGACCACCACAACCACGACGACTACTGTAAGTTCATTATAAAGTCGACTGCCTAACTAGAATTACTTTCTAACTAATCAACCTGAAAAATGAGATCCAATTCAGACGACCACAACCACCACAACCACGACGACTACAACGACCACAACTACAACGACAACCACGACGACTACGACGACAACCACAACTACAACGACAACCACAACTACTACGACTACCACCACTACTACGACTACCACAACTACTACGACTACCACAACTACTACGACTACCACAACCACAACGACTACTGTAAGTTCATTATAAGTTCGGCTGCCTAACTAGAATTACTTTTAAACGAATTAACCTGGAAAATGAGCTCCAATTCAGACGACCACAACCACCACAACCACGACGACTACAACGACCACAACAACGACAACCACGACGACCACCACTACTACCACGACGACAACCACGACGACTACGACGACAACCACAACTACAACGACAACCACAACTACTACGACAACCACAACTACTACGACTACCACAACCACGACGACTACTGTAAGTTCATTATAAATTCGGCTCCCTAACTAGAATTACTTTCTAACTAATCAACCTGAAAAACGAGATCCAATTCAGACGACCACAACCACCACAACCACGACTACGACGACAACCACAACTACAACGACAACCACAACTACTACGACTACCACAACTACTACGACTACCACAACCACGACGACTACTGTAAGTTCATTATAAGTTCGGCTGCCTAACTAGAATTACTTTTAAACGAATTAACCTGGAAAATGAGCTCCAATTCAGACGACCACAACCACCACAACCACGACGACTACAACGACCACAACAACGACAACCACGACGACCACCACTACTACCACGACGACAACCACGACGACTACGACGACAACCACAACTACAACGACAACCACAACTACTACGACAACCACAACTACTACGACTACCACAACCACGACGACTACTGTAAGTTCATTATAAATTCGGCTCCCTAACTAGAATTACTTTCTAACTAATCAACCTGAAAAACGAGATCCAATTCAGACGACCACAACCACCACAACCACGACTACGACGACAACCACAACTACAACGACAACCACAACTACTACGACTACCACAACTACTACGACTACCACAACTACTACGACTACCACAACCACGACGACTACTGTAAGTTCATTATAAGTTCGGCTGCCTAACTAGAATTACTTTTAAACGAATTAACCTGGAAAATGAGCTCCAATTCAGACGACCACAACCACCACAACCACGACGACTACAACGACCACAACAACGACAACCACGACGACCACCACTACTACCACGACGACAACCACGACGACTACGACGACAACCACAACTACAACGACAACCACAACTACTACGACAACCACAACTACTACGACTACCACAACCACGACGACTACTGTAAGTTCATTATAAATTCGGCTCCCTAACTAGAATTACTTTCTAACTAATCAACCTGAAAAACGAGATCCAATTCAGACGACCACAACCACCACAACCACGACTACGACGACAACCACAACTACAACGACAACCACAACTACTACGACTACCACAACTACGACGACAACCACAACTACTACGACAACCACAACTACTACGACCACCACAACCACGACGACTACAACGACCACAACTACAACGACAACTACGACGACTACGACGACAACCACAACTACAACGACAACCACAACTACAACGACAACCACAACTACTACGACTACCACAACTACGACGACAACCACAACTACTACGACAACCACAACTACTACGACCACCACAACCACGACGACTACTGTAAGTTCATTATAAAGTCGACTGCCTAACTAGAATTACTTTCTAACTAATCAACCTGAAAAATGAGATCCAATTCAGACGACCACAACCACCACAACCCGACGACTACAACGACCACAACTACAACGACAACCACGACGACTACGACGACAACCACAACTACAACGACAACCACAACTACAACGACAACCACAACTACTACGACCACCACAACCACGACGACTACAACGACCACAACTACAACGACAACTACGACGACTACGACGACAACCACAACTACAACGACAACCACAACTACAACGACAACCACAACTACAACGACAACCACAACTACAACGACAACCACAACTACTACGACAACCACAACTACTACGACCACCACAACCACGACGACTACTGTAAGTTCATTATAAAGTCGACTGCCTAACTAGAATTACTTTCTAACTAATCAACCTGAAAAATGAGATCCAATTCAGACGACCACAACCACCACAACCACGACGACTACAACGACCACAACTACAACGACAACCACGACGACTACGACGACAACCACAACTACTACGACAACTACTACGACTACCACAACCACGACGACTACTGTAAGTTCATTATAAGTTCGGCTGCCTAACTAGAATTACTTTTAAACGAATTAACCTGGAAAATGAGCTCCAATTCAGACGACCACAACCACCACAACCACGACGACTACAACGACCACAACAACGACAACCACGACGACCACCACTACTACCACGACGACAACCACGACGACTACGACGACAACCACAACTACAACGACAACCACAACTACTACGACAACCACAACTACTACGACCACCACAACCACGACGACTACTGTAAGTTCATTATAAAGTCGACTGCCTAACTAGAATTACTTTCTAACTAATCAACCTGAAAAATGAGATCCAATTCAGACGACCACAACCACCACAACCACGACGACTACAACGACCACAACTACAACGACAACCACGACGACTACGACGACAACCACAACTACAACGACAACCACAACTACTACGACTACCACAACTACTACGACTACCACAACCACGACGACTACTGTAAGTTCATTATAAGTTCGGCTCCCTAACTAGAATTACTTTTAAACGAATTAACCTGGAAAATGAGCTCCAATTCAGACGACCACAACCACCACAACCACGACGACTACAACGACCACAACAACGACAACCACGACGACCACCACTACTACCACGACGACAACCACGACGACTACGACGACAACCACAACTACAACGACAACCACAACTACTACGACAACCACAACTACTACGACTACCACAACCACGACGACTACTGTAAGTTCATTATAAATTCGGCTCCCTAACTAGAATTACTTTCTAACTAATCAACCTGAAAAACGAGATCCAATTCAGACGACCACAACCACCACAACCACGACTACGACGACAACCACAACTACAACGACAACCACAACTACTACGACTACCACAACTACGACGACAACCACAACTACTACGACAACCACAACTACTCGACCACCACAACCACGACGACTACAACGACCACAACTACAACGACAACTACGACGACTAGACGACAACCACAACTACAACGACAACCACAACTACAACGACAACCACAACTACTACGACTACCACAACTACGACACAACCACAACTACTACGACAACCACTACTACTACGACCACCACAACCACGACGACTACTGTAAGTTCATTATAAAAGTCGACTGCCTAACTAGAATTACTTTCTAACTAATCAACCTGAAAAATGAGATCCAATTCAGACGACCACAACCACCACAACCACGACGACTACAACGACCACAACTACAACGACAACCACGACGACTACGACGACAACCACAACTACAACGACAACCACAACTACAACGACAACCACAACTACTACGACCACCACAACCACGACGACTACAACGACCACAACTACAACGACAACTACGACGACTACGACGACAACCACAACTACAACGACAACCACAACTACAACGACAACCACAACTACAACGACAACCACAACTACAACGACAACCACAACTACTACGACAACCACAACTACTACGACCACCACAACCACGACGACTACTGTAAGTTCATTATAAAGTCGACTGCCTAACTAGAATTACTTTCTAACTAATCAACCTGAAAAATGAGATCCAATTCAGACGACCACAACCACCACAACCACGACGACTACAACGACCACAACTACAACGACAACCACGACGACTACGACGACAACCACAACTACTACGACAACTACTACGACTACCACAACCACGACGACTACTGTAAGTTCATTATAAGTTCGGCTGCCTAACTAGAATTACTTTTAAACGAATTAACCTGGAAAATGAGCTCCAATTCAGACGACCACAACCACCACAACCACGACGACTACAACGACCACAACAACGACAACCACGACGACCACCACTACTACCACGACGACAACCACGACGACTACGACGACAACCACAACTACAACGACAACCACAACTACTACGACAACCACAACTACTACGACCACCACAACCACGACGACTACTGTAAGTTCATTATAAAGTCGACTGCCTAACTAGAATTACTTTCTAACTAATCAACCTGAAAAATGAGATCCAATTCAGACGACCACAACCACCACAACCACGACGACTACAACGACCACAACTACAACGACCACAACTACAACGACAACCACGACGACTACGACGACAACCACAACTACAACGACAACCACAACTACTACGACCACCACAACCACGACGACTACTGTAAGTTCATTATAAATTCGGCTCCCTAACTAGAATTACTTTCTAACTAATCAACCTGAAAAATGAGATCCAATTCAGACGACCACAACCACCACAACCACGACGACTACAACGACCACAACTACAACGACAACCACGACGACTACGACGACAACCACAACTACAACGACAACCACAACTACTACGACTACCACAACTACTACGACTACCACAACCCGACGACTACTGTAAGTTCATTATAAGTTCGGCTCCTAACTAGAATTACTTTTAAACGAATTAACCTGGAAAAATGAGCTCCAATTCAGACGACCACAACCACCACAACCACGACGACTACAACGACCACAACAACGACAACCACGACGACCACCACTACTACCACGACGACAACCACGACGACTACGACCACAACCACAACTACTACGACAACCACAACTACTACGACAACCACAACTACTACGACTACCACAACCACGACGACTACTGTAAGTTCATTATAAATTCGGCTCCCTAACTAGAATTACTTTCTAACTAATCAACCTGAAAAACGAGATCCAATTCAGACGACCACAACCACCACAACCACGACTACGACGACAACCACAACTACAACGACAACCACAACTACTACGACTACCACAACTACGACGACAACCACAACTACTACGACAACCACAACTACTACGACCACCACAACCACGACGACTACTGTAAGTTCATTATAAAGTCGACTGCCTAACTAGAATTACTTTCTAACTAATCAACCTGAAAAATGAGATCCAATTCAGACGACCACAACCACCACAACCACGACGACTACAACGACCACAACTACAACGACAACCACGACGACTACGACGACAACCACAACTACAACGACAACCACAACTACTACGACTACCACAACTACTACGACTACCACAACCACAACGACTACTGTAAGTTCATTATAAGTTCGGCTGCCTAACTAGAATTACTTTTAAACGAATTAACCTGGAAAATGAGCTCCAATTCAGACGACCACAACCACCACAACCACGACGACTACAACGACCACAACAACGACAACCACGACGACCACCACTACTACCACGACGACAACCACGACGACTACGACGACAACCACAACTACAACGACAACCACAACTACTACGACCACCACAACCACGACGACTACTGTAAGTTCATTATAAATTCGGCTGCCTAACTAGAATTACTTTTAAACGAATTAACCTGGAAAATGAGCTCCAATTCAGACGACCACAACCACCACAACTACCACAACAACGACAACCACAACTACAACGACAACCACAACTACTACGACCACCACAACCACGACGACTACAACGACCACAACTACAACGACAACTACGACGACTACGACGACAACCACAACTACAACCACAACCACAACTACAACTACAACGACAACCACAACTACTACGACCACCACAACCCGACGACTACAACGACCACAACTACAACGACAACTACACACTAAGACAACCACAACTACAACGACAACCACAACTACAACGACAACCACAATACAACGACAACCACAACTACTACGACAACCACAACTACTACGACCACCACAACCACGACGACTACTGTAAGTTCATTATAAAGTCGACTGCCTAACTAGAATTCCTTTTAAACGAATTAACCTGGAAAATGAGCTCCAATTCAGACGACCACAACCACCACAACCACGACGACTACAACGACCACAACTACAACGACAACCACGACGACTACGACGACAACCACAACTACAACGACAACCACAACTACAACGACAACCACAACTACAACGACAACCACAACTACTACGACAACCACAACTACTACGACCACCACAACCACGACGACTACTGTAAGTTCATTATAAAGTCGACTGCCTAACTAGAATTCCTTTTAAACGAATTAACCTGGAAAATGAGCTCCAATTCAGACGACCACAACCACCACAACCACGACGACTACGACGACCACAACTACAACGACGACCACAACTACTACGACTACCACAACTACTACGACAACCACAACTACTACGACAACCACAACTACTACGACTACCACAACCACGACGACTACTGTAAGTTCATTATAAGTTCGGCTGCCTAACTAGAATTACTTTTAAACGAATTAACCTGGAAAATGAGCTCCAATTCAGACGACCACAACCACCACAACCACGACGACTACAACGACCACAACTACAACGACAACCACGACGACTACGACGACAACCACAACCACCACAACCACGACAACAACGACGACCACAACAACGACAACCACGACGACCACCACTACTACCACGACGACTACGACGACAACCACAACTACAACGACAACCACAACTACCACGACCACCACAACCACGACGACTACTGTAAGTTCATTATAAATTCGGCTGCCTAACTAGAATTACTTTTAAACGAATTAACCTGGAAAATGAGCTCCAATTCAGACGACCACAACCACCACAACCACGACGACTACAACGACCACAACTACAACGACAACCACGACGACTACGACGACAACCACAACTACAACGACAACCACAACTACTACGACCACCACAACCACGACGACTACTGTAAGTTCATTATAAATTCGGCTGCCTAACTAGAATTACTTTCAAACGAATTAACCTGGAAAATGAGCTCCAATTCAGACGACCACAACCACCACAACCACGACGACTACAACGACCACAACAACGACAACCACGACGACCACCACTACTACCACGACGACAACCACGACGACTACGACGACAACCACAACTACAACGACAACCACAACTACCACGACTACTACAACCACGACGACTACTGTAAGTTCATTATAAAGTCGACTGCCTAACTAGAATTACTTTCAAACTAATTAACCTGAAAAACGAGATCCAATTCAGACGACCACAACCACCACAACGACGACGACTACAACGACCACAACAACGACGACCACCACCACTACCACGACGACAACCACGACGACTACGACGACAACCACAACTACAACGACAACCACAACTACCACGACCACCACAACCACGACGACTACTGTAAGTTCATTAGAAATTCGGCTGCCTAACTAGAACTACTTTTAAACGAATTAACCTGGAAAATGAGCTCCAATTCAGACGACCACAACCACCACAACCACGACGACTACAACGACCACAACTACAACGACAACCACGACGACTACGACGACAACCACAACTACAACGACAACCACAACTACTACGACTACCACAACTACGACGACAACCACAACTACTACGACAACCACAACTACTACGACCACCACAACCACGACGACTACTGTAAATTCATTATAAATTCGGCTGCCTAACTAGAATTACTTTTAAACGAATTAACCTGGAAAATGAGCTCCAATTCAGACACCACAACCACCACAACCGACTACAACGACCACAACTACAACGACGACCACAACGACTACGACGACAACCACAACTACTACGACAACCACAACTACTACGACAACCACAACTACAACGACAACGACAACCACCACAACCACGACAACAACGACGACCACAACAACGACAACCACGACGACCACCACTACTACCACGACGACTACGACGACAACCACAACTACAACGACAACCACAACTACTACGACTACCACAACTACTACGACAACCACAACTACTACGACAACCACAACTACTACGACTACCACAACCACGACGACTACTGTAAGTTCATTATAAGTTCGGCTGCCTAACTAGAATCACTTTTAAACGAATTAACCTGGAAAATGAGCTCCAATTCAGACGACCACAACCACCACAACCACGACGACTACAACGACCACAACTACAACGACGACCACAACGACTACGACGACAACCACAACCACTACGACAACCACAACTACTACGACAACCACAACTACTACGACCACCACAACCACGACGACTACTGTAAGTTCATTATAAATTCGGCTGCCTAACTAGAATTATTTTTAAACGAATTAACCTGGAAAATGAGCTCCAATTCAGACGACCACAACCACCACAACCACGACGACTACAACGACCACATACAACGACAACCACGACGACTACCACGACAACCACAACTACAACACACCACGACTACAACGACAACCACAACTACAACGACAACCACAACTACTACGACCACCACAACCACGACGACTACTGTGAGTTCATTATAAATTCGGCTGCCTAACTAGAATTACTTTTAAACGAATTAACCTGGAAAATGAGCTCCAATTCAGACGACCACAACCACCACAACCACGACGACTACAACGACCACAACTACAACGACAACCACGCGCACGACGACAACCACAACTAAACGACAACCACAACTACTACGACTACCAAATAACGACAACCACAACTACTACGACAACCACAACTACTACGACCACCACAACCACGACGACTACTGTAAGTTCATTATAAATTCGGCTGCCTAACTAGAATTACTTTCAAACGAATTAACCTGGAAAATGAGCTCCAATTCAGACGACCACAACCACCACAACCACGACGACTACAACGACCACAACAACGACAACCACGACGACCACCACTACTACCACGACGACAACCACGACGACTACGACGACAACCACAACTACTACGACAACCACAACTACTACGACCACCACAACCACGACGACTACTGTAAATTCATTATAAAGTCGACTGCCTAACTAGAATTACTTTCCAACTAATCAACCTGAAAAATGAGATCCAATTCAGACGACCACAACCACCACAACCACGACGACTACAACGACCACAACTACGACGACTACGACGACAACCACAACTACAACGACAACTACTACGACTACCACAACCACGACAACAACGACGACCACAACAACGACAACCACGACGACCACCACTACTACCACGACGACAACCACGACGACTACGACGACAACCACAACTACTACGACCACCACAACCACGACGACTACTGTAAGTTCATTATAAATTCGGCTGCCTAACTAGAATTACTTTTAAACGAGTTAACCTGGAAAATGAGCTCCAATACAGACGACCACAACCACCACAACCACGACGACTACAACGACCACAACAACGACAACCACGACGACCACCACTACTACCACGACGACAACCACGACGACTACGACTACAACCACAACTACAACGACAACCACAACTACCACGACTACTACAACCACGACGACTACTGTAAGTTCATTATAAATTCGGCTGCCTAACTATTAGCTTGGCAGATATGAAAGGTTATTTTTTATAAAAAATATTGCCCTGTCGTTACGAAGAACATTAGCTGTCTAGGATTTCTCTCAATAATATGTCAAAATGTGCTCATGTTTTTTTTGCAAAAACCTTTTTGTTTTGAACAATATTTGTATTGTTTCATCTCAGCAAAGATGGATAACCAAAAATTTAAAATTTAAAATTTAAAATTCTTTGAATTCAAGTTAAACAAGAAAGCTACGGAATGCCATCAGAACATTTGTACTGTTTTTGGAGAAGCGGCTCTTACTTACAAACAATGTTGTGTTTGGTACGATCGCTTCAAAACGGGAAACGAGTCATTGGAAGATGCACCACATGGAAAGCCGCCGATTACTTTGGGCGATCAGCTGTTACTGAACGAGGTCGACTTGGATCCATCGCAAACGTGTAGAAAATTAGCAGAAAAGTTCGGATGCACTCATGTTACCAATTATGCGTTCTTGGGAAATCAGATCGAAGCGGGAAATGGCTCCCCCACGACCTCACTGAGGCCCACAAAGTCACACGAGTCACCTTGAGCTCTGTTCTTCTACGTAAAGCTAGCCATCGTGACGTTTGGAAATATATTTGACATCTGATGAGACTTGGCTTTCGTATGAAAATATTCAACTCTATGGACAGTGGCTGAGTTCGAAGCAGACCTCTCATCCTATCCCGAAGCCTTCGAAAAAGTTATGCTTTGTGTGTGGTGGAATGCTAAGAGATTGGCACATTTTGAAATATTAGATAAAGGAGACACTGTTGACGGAAGACTTTATGCAGAACAATTGGGTCGAGTCGATCCAGCATTGAGGAAAAAGGGGATCGATCCATCAAAGGTCAGATTTCTTCACGACAATGCTAGGCCTCACATTTCAAAGATCGTCCACGAACAAATCGATAAGTTGAGCTGGAAACTTCTTCCACACCCACCATACAGCCCTGATCTAGCCCCATCGGTTTACCATCTCTTTCGGTCATGGAACCAGCAGTTTCTGGACAGCAGTTCAAACAAAAGCAGGACATCGAAAATGGGGTTGCCAACTATTTTGTCTCTAAAAATCTCCAATTTTACGAGGACGGTATACGTGATTTGGGGCAACGTTGGAAAGAGATATTAATGCTTCTGGCTAATAGATTTGATTTTGAAACTGTTTAAATGAATTTTTCTGTTATGTTAAAAATGATCAAAAAAAAACCTTTCATATTTGCCAAGCTAATAGAATTACTTTCAAACGAATTACCCTAGAAAGTGAGATCCAATTCAGACCACCACAACCACGACGACCACAACAACGACAACCACGACGACCACCACTACTACCACGACGACAACCACGACGACTACGACGACAACCACAACTACAACGACAACCTCAACTACTACGACTACCACAACCACGACAACTACTGTAAGTTCATTATAAATTCGGCTGCCTAACTAGAATTACTTTCAAACGAATTAACCTCGAAAATGAGATCCAATTCAGACCACCACAACCACCACAACCACGACAACCACCACTACTACCACGACGACCACCACCACTACCACGACGACCACAACGACCACTACCACTACAACCACAACTACCACAACCACAACGACAACCACCACGACTACGACGACAACCACAACCACAACGACAACCACAACTACTACGACTACCACAACGACGACGACTACTGTAAGTTCATTATGAATTCGGCTGCCTAACTAGAAGTAATTTCAAACGAATTAACCTGGAAAATGAGATCCAATTCAGACCACCACAACCACCACAACCACGACGACTACAACGACCACAACAACGACAACCACCACCACGACCACCACCACTACCACGACGACGACAACCCGACCCACTACAACGACAACCCACGACTACGACGACAACCACAACTACTACGACACGACTACGACTACCACAACGACGACGACTACTGTAAGTTCATTATAAATTCGGCTGCCTAACTAGAATTACTTTGAAACGAATTAACTGGAAAATGAGATCCAATTCAGACCACCACAACCACCACAACCACGACGACTACAACGACCACAACAACGACAACCACCACGACCACCACTACTACCACGACGACCACCACCACTACCACGACGACCACTACCACTACAACCACAACGACCACAACCACAACGACAACCACCACGACTACGACGACAACCACAACCACAACCACAACGACAACCACAACTACTACGACTACCACAACGACGACGACTACTGTAAGTTCATTATAAATTCGGCTGCCTAACTAGAAGTACTTTCAAACGAATTAGCCTGGAAAATGAGATCCAATTCAGACCACCACAACCACGACGACCACAACGACCACAACCACCACAACCACGACGACCACAACGACCACAACAACGACAACCACCACGACCACCACTACTACCACGACGACTACAACCACAACGACCACAACTACAACGACAACCACGACGACAACGACGACAACCACAACTACAACGACAACCACAACTACTACGACTACCACTACCACGACGACTACTGTAAGTTCATTATAAATTCGGCTGCCTAACTAGAATTACTTTCAAACGAGTTAAACTGGAAAATGAGATCCCATTCAGACCACCACAACTACCACAACCACCACAACCACCACAACCACGACGACTACAACGACCACAACAACAACGACAACCACTACTACCACGACGACTACAACGACCACTACTACTACAACCACAACGACCACAACTACAACGACAACCACGACGACTACGACGACAACCACAACTACTACTACACCACAACGCGACGACTACCACAACGACGACGACTACTGTGAGTTCATTATAAATTCGGCTGCCTAACTAGAAGTAATTTCAAATGAATTAGCCTGGAAAATGAGCTCCAATTCAGACCACCACTACCACGACGACCACAACGACCACAACCACCACAACCACGACGACTACAACGACCACAACAACGACAACCACCACGACCACCACTACTACCACGACGACTACAACCACAACGACCACAACTACAACGACAACCACGACGACTACGACGACAACCACGACTACAACGACAACCACAACTACTACGACTACCACAACCACGACGACTACTGTAAGTTCATTATAAATTCGGCTGCCTAACTAGAATTACTTTCAAACGAATTAACCTGGAAAATGAGCTCCAATTCAGACCACCACAACCACCACAACCACCACAACCACGACGACTACAACCACGACGACTACGACGACAACCACGACTACAACGACAACCACAACTACTACGACTACCACAACCACGACGACTACTGTAAGTTGATTATAAATTCGGCTGCCTAACTAGAATTACTTTGAAACCAATTAACCTGGAAAATGAGCACCAATTCAGACGACCACAACCACGACAACCACCACAACCACGTCGACTACAACGACCACAACAACGACAACCACCACCACGACCACCACTACTACCACGACGACGACAACCACGACGACTACGACGACAACCACGACTACAACGACAACCACAACTACTACGACTACCACAACCACGACGACCACTGTAAGTTCATTAAAGATTCGTCTGCCTAGCTAGAATTACTTTCAAACGAATTAACTGGAAAATGAGATCCAATTCAGACCACCACAACCACCACAACCACCACAACCACCACAACCACCACAACCACCACAACCACGACGACTACAACGACCACAACAACGACAACCACCACCACGACCACCACTACTACCACGACGACTACGACGACAACCACAACTACAACGACAACCACAACTACTACGACTACCACAACCACGACGACTACTGTAAGTTCATTATAAATTCGGCCGCTTAACTAGAATTACTTTCAAACGAATTAATTTGGAAAATGAGCTCCAATTCAGACGACCACAACCACCACAACCACGACGACTACAACGACCACAACAACGACAACCACCACGACCACCACTCCACCACTACAACGACAACCACCACGACTACGACGACAACCACAACTACAACGACAACCACAACTACTACGACTACCACAACCACGACGACTACTGTAAGTTCATTATAAATTCGGCTGCCTAACTAGAATTACTTTCAAACGAATTAAACTGGAAAATGAGCTCCCATTCAGACCACCACAACCACCACCACAACCACCACACAACCACACGACCACAACACAACGACAACCACCACGACTACACGACAACCACAACCACAACCACCACGACCACCACTACTACCACGACGACCACCACCACCACCACCACGACGACCACAACGACCACTACCACTACAACCACAACGACCACAACCACAACGACAACCACCACGACTACGACGACAACCACAACTACTACGACTACCACAACCACGACGACTACTGTAAGTTCATTATAAATTCGGCTGCCTAACTAGAATTACTTTCAAACGAATTAAACTGGAAAATGAGATCCCATTCAGACCACCACAACCACGACGACCACAACAACGACAACCACGACGACCACCACTACTACCACGACGACCACCACCACTACCACGACGACCACAACGACCACTACCACTACAACCACAACGACCACAACCACAACGACAACCACCACGACTACGACGACAACCACAACTACTACGACTACCACAACCACGACGACTACTGTAAGTTCATTATAAATTCGGCTGCCTAACTAGAATTACTTTCAAACGAATTAACCTGGAAAATGAAATCCAATTCAGACCACCACAACCACCACAACCACGACGACTACAACGACCACAACAACGACAACCACCACGACCACCACTACTACCACGACGACCACCACCAACCACTACAACCACCGACCACAACCACAACGACAACCACCACGACTACGACGACAACCACAACTACAACGACAACCACAACTACTACGACTACCACAACCACGACGACTACTGTAAGTTCATTATAAATTCGGCTGCCTAACTAGAATTACTTTTAAACGAATTAACCTGGAAAATGAGCTCCAATTCAGACGACCACAACCACCACAACCACCACAACCACGACGACTACAACGACCACAACAACGACAACCACCACCACGACCACCACTACTACCACGACGACGACAACCACGACGACTACGACGACAACCACGACTACAACGACAACCACAACTACTACGACTACCACAACCACGACGACCACTGTAAGTTCATTAAAGATTCGTCTGCCTAGCTAGAATTACTTTCAAACGAATTAACTGGAAAATGAAATCCAATTCAGACCACCACAACCACCACAACCACCACAACCACGACGACTACAACGACCACAACAACGACAACCACCACCACGACCACCACTACTACCACGACGACGACAACCACGACGACTACGACGACAACCACAACTACAACGACAACCACAACTACTACGACTACCACAACCACGACGACTACTGTAAGTTCATTATAAATTCGGCCGCTTCACTAGAATTACTTTCAAACGAATTAATTTGGAAAATGAGCTCCAATTCAGACGACCACAACCACCACAACCACGACGACCACAACAACGACAACCACGACAACCACCACTACTACCACGACGACCACCACCACTACCACGACGACCACAACGACCACTACCACTACAACCACAACGACCACAACCACAACGACAACCACCACGACTACGACGACAACCACAACCACAACGACAACCACAACTACTACGACTACCACAACCACGACGACTACTGTAAGTTCATTAAAGATTCGTCTGCCTAGCTAGAATTACTTTCAAACGAATTAACTGGAAAATGAAATCCAATTCAGACCACCACAACCACCACAACCACCACAACCACCACAACCACCACAACCACCACAACCACCACAACCACGACGACTACAACGACCACAACAACGACAACCACCACGACCACCACTACTACCACGACGACCACAACGACCATACCACTACAACCACAACGACCACAACTACAACGACAACCACCACGACTACGACGACAACCACAACTACCACGACAACCACAACTACTACGACTACCACAACCACGACGACTACTGTAAGTTGATTATAAATTCGCCTGCCTAACTAGAATTACTTTGAAACGAATTAACCTGGAAAATGAGCTCCAATTCAGACGACCACAACCACCACAACCACCACAACCACGACGACTACAACGACCACAACAACGACAACCACCACCACGACCACCACTACTACCACGACGACGACAACCACGACGACTACGACGACACCACACACACACAACCACACACAACCACAACGACGACGACTACTGTGAGTTCATTATAAATTCGGCTGCCTAACTAGAATTACCTTGAAACGAATTAACTGGAAAATGATATCCAATTCAGACCACCACAACCACCACAACCACGACGACTACAACGACCACAACCACGACAACCACCACGACCACCACTACTACCACCCAACGACCACAACCACTACAACCACAACGACCACAACCACAACGACAACCACCACGACCACGACGACAACCACAACTACAACGACAACCACAACTACTACGACTACCACAACCACGACGACTACTGTAAGTTCATTATAAATTCGCCTGCCTAACTAGAATTACTTTCAAACGAATTAACCTGGAAAATGAGCTCCAATTCAGACGACCACAACCACCACAACCACCACAACCACGACGACTACAACGACCACAACAACGACAACCACCACCACGACCACCACTACTACCACGACGACGACAACCACGACGACTACGACGACAACCACGACTACAACGACAACCACAACTACTACGACTACCACAACCACGACGACCACTGTAAGTTCATTAAAGATTCGTCTGCCTAGCTAGAATTACTTTCAAACGAATTAACTGGAAAATGAAATCCAATTCAGACCACCACAACCACCACAACCACCACAACCACCACAACCACCACAACCACGACGACTACAACGACCACAACAACGACAACCACCACCACGACCACCACTACTACCACGACGACGACAACCACGACGACTACGACGACAACCACAACTACAACGACAACCACAACTACTACGACTACCACAACCACGACGACTACTGTAAGTTCATTATAAATTCGGCCGCTTCACTAGAATTACTTTCAAACGAATTAATTTGGAAAATGAGCTCCAATTCAGACGACCACAACCACCACAACCACGACGACCACAACAACGACAACCACGACAACCACCACTACTACCACGACGACCACCACCACTACCACGACGACCACAACGACCACTACCACTACAACCACAACGACCACAACCACAACGACAACCACCACGACTACGACGACAACCACAACTACTACGACTACCACAACCACGACGACTACTGTAAGTTCATTATAAATTCGGCCGCTTAACTAGAATTACTTTCAAACGAATTAATTTGGAAAATGAGCTCCAATTCAGACGACCACAACCACCACAACCACAACGACCACAACAACGACAACCACCACGACCACCACAACTACAACGACAACCACCACGACTACGACGACAACCACAACTACAACGACAACCACAACTACTACGACTACCACAACGACGACGACTACTGTAAGTTCATTATACATTAGGCTGCCTAACTAGAATTACTTTCAAACGAATTAAACTGGAAAATGAGATCCCATTCAGACCACCACAACCACGACGACCACAACAACGACAACCACGACGACCACCACCACTACCACGACGACCACCACCACTACCACGACGACCACAACGACCACTACCACTACAACCACAACGACCACAACCACAACGACAACCACCACGACTACGACGACAACCACAACCACAACGACAACCACAACTACTACGACTACCACAACGACGACGACTACTGTGAGTTCATTATGAATTCGGCTGCCTAACTAGAATTACCTTGAAACGAATTAACTGGAAAATGAGATCCAATTCAGACCACCACAACCACCACAACCACGACGACTACAACGACCACAACAACGACAACCACCACGACCACCACTACTACCACGACGACCACAACGACCACTACCACTACAACCACAACGACCACAACTACAACGACAACCACCACGACTACGACGACAACCACAACTACCACGACAACCACAACTACTACGACTACCACAAGCACGACGACTACTGTAAGTTCATTATAAATTCGGCTGCCTAACTAGAATTACTTTGAAACGAATTAACCTGGAAAATGAGCTCCAATTCAGACGACCACAACCACCACAACCACCACAACCACGACGACTACAACGACCACAACAACGACAACCACCACCACGACCACCACTACTACCACGACGACGACAACCACGACGACTACGACGACAACCACAACGACGACGACTACTGTGAGTTCATTATAAATTCGGCTGCCTAACTAGAATTACCTTGAAACGAATTAACTGGAAAATGATATCCAATTCAGACCACCACAACCACCACAACCACGACGACTACAACGACCACAACAACGACAACCACCACGACCACCACTACTACCACAACCACTACAACCACAACGACCACAACCACAACGACAACCACCACGACTACGACGACAACCACAACTACAACGACAACCACAACTACTACGACTACCACAACCACGACGACTACTGTAAGTTGATTATAAATTCGCCTCCCTAACTAGAATTACTTTGAAACCAATTAACCTGGAAAATGAGCTCCAATTCAGACGACCACAACCACCACAACCACCACAACCACGACGACTACAACGACCACAACAACGACAACCACCACCACGACCACCACTACTACCACGACGACGACAACCACGACGACTACGACGACAACCACGACTACAACGACAACCACAACTACTACGACTACCACAACCACGACGACCACTGTAAGTTCATTAAAGATTCGTCTGCCTAGCTAGAATTACTTTCAAACGAATTAACTGGAAAATGAAATCCAATTCAGACCACCACAACCACCACAACCACCACAACCACCACAACCACGACGACTACAACGACCACAACAACGACAACCACCACCACGACCACCACTACTACCACGACGACGACAACCACGACGACTACGACGACAACCACAACTACAACGACAACCACAACTACTACGACTACCACAACCACGACGACTACTGTAAGTTCATTATAAATTCGGCCGCTTCACTAGAATTACTTTCAAACGAATTAATCTGGAAAACGAGCTCCAATTCAGACGACCACAACCACCACAACCACGACGACCACAACAACGACAACCACGACAACCACCACACACGACGACCACCACCACTACCACGACGACCACAACGACCACTACCACTACAACCACAACGACCACAACCACAACGACAACCACCACGACTACGACGACAACCACAACCACAACGACAACCACAACTACTACGACTACCACAACGACGACGACTACTGTGAGTTCATTAAAGATTCGTCTGCCTAGCTAGAATTACTTTCAAACGAATTAACTGGAAAATGAAATCCAATTCAGACCACCACAACCACCACAACCACCACAACCACCACAACCACGACGACCACAACAACGACAACCACCACCACGACCACCACTACTACCACGACGACGACAACCACGACGACTACGACGACAACCACGACTACAACGACAACCACAACTACTACGACTACCACAACCACGACGACCACTGTAAGTTCATTAAAGATTCGTCTGCCTAGCTAGAATTACTTTCAAACGAATTAACTGGAAAATGAAATCCAATTCAGACCACCACAACCACCACAACCACCACAACCACCACAACCACCACAACCACGACGACTACAACGACCACAACAACGACAACCACCACCACGACCACCACTACTACCACGACGACGACAACCACGACGACTACGACGACAACCACAACTACAACGACAACCACAACTACTACGACTACCACAACCACGACGACCACTGTAAGTTCATTAAAGATTCGTCTGCCTAGCTAGAATTACTTTCAAACGAATTAACCTGGAAAATGAGATCCAATTCAGACCACCACTACCACGACCACCACTACTACCACGACGACTACAACCACAACGACCACAACTACAACGACAACCACGACGACTACGACGACAACCACAACTACTACGACTACTGTAAGTTCATTATACATTCGGCTGCCTAACTAGAATTACTTTCAAACGAATTAAACTGGAAAATGAGATCCCATTCAGACCACCACAACCACGACGACCACAACAACGACAACCACGACGACCACCACTACTACCACGACGACCACGACCACTACCACTACAACCACAACGACCACAACTACAACGACAACCACCACGACTACGACGACAACCACCACGACTACGACGACAACCACAACCACAACCACAACGACAACCACAACTACTACGACTACCACAACGACGACGACTACTGTAAGTTCATTATAAATTCGGCTACCTAACTAGAAGTAATTTCAAACGAATTAACCTGGAAAATGAGATCCAATTCAGACCACCACTACCACGACGACCACAACGACCACTACCACTACAACCACAACGACCACAACAACGACAACCACCACGACGACCACTACTACCACGACGACTACAACGACCACTACTACTACAACCACAACGACCACAACTACAACGACAACCACGACGACAACGACGACAACCACAACTACAACGACAACCACAACTACTACGACTACCACTACCACGACGACTACTGTAAGTTCATTATAAATTCGGCTGCCTAACTAGAATTACTTTGAAACGAATTAACCTGGAAAATGAGATCCAATTCAGACCACCACTACCACGACCACCACTACTACCACGACGACTACAGACCACAACGACCACAACTACAACGACAACCACGACGACTACGACGACAACCACAACTACTACGACTACTGTAAGTTCATTATAAATTCGGCTGCCTAACTAGAATTACTTTCAAACGAATTAAACTGGAAAATGAGATCCCATTCAGACCACCACAACCACGACGACCACAACAACGACAACCACGACGACCACCACTACTACCACGACGACCACGACCACTACCACTACAACCACAACGACCACAACTACAACGACAACCACCACGACTACGACGACAACCACCACGACTACGACGACAACCACAACCACAACCACAACGACAACCACAACTACTACGACTACCACAACGACGACGACTACTGTAAGTTCATTATAAATTCGGCTGCCTAACTAGAAGTAATTTCAAACGAATTAACCTGGAAAATGAGATCCAATTCAGACCACCACTACCACGACGACCACAACGACCACTACCACTACAACCACAACGACCACAACAACGACAACCACCACGACGACCACTACTACCACGACGACTACAACGACCACTACTACTACAACCACAACGACCACAACTACAACGACAACCACGACGACAACGACGACAACCACAACTACAACGACAACCACAACTACTACGACTACCACTACCACGACGACTACTGTAAGTTCATTATAAATTCGGCTGCCTAACTAGAATTACTTTGAAACGAATTAACCTGGAAAATGAGATCCAATTCAGACCACCACTACCACGACCACCACTACTACCACGACGACTACAACCACAACGACCACAACTACAACGACAACCACGACGACTACGACGACAACCACAACTACTACGACTACTGTAAGTTCATTATACATTCGGCTGCCTAACTAGAATTACTTTCAAACGAATTAAACTGGAAAATGAGATCCCATTCAGACCACCACAACCACGACGACCACAACAACGACAACCACGACGACCACCACTACTACCACGACGACCACGACCACTACCACTACAACCACAACGACCACAACTACAACGACAACCACCACGACTACGACGACAACCACCACGACTACGACGACAACCACAACCACAACCACAACGACAACCACAACTACTACGACTACCACAACGACGACGACTACTGTAAGTTCATTATAAATTCGGCTGCCTAACTAGAATTACTTTCAAACGAATTAACCTGGAAAATGAGATCCAATTCAGACCACCACTACCACGACGACCACAACGACCACTACCACTACAACCACAACGACCACAACGACCACAACAACGACAACCACCACGACGACCACTACTACCACGACGACTACAACGACCACTACTACTACAACCACAACGACCACAACTACAACGACAACCACCACGACTACGACGACAACCACAACCACAACGACAACCACAACTACTACGACTACCACAACGACGACGACTACTGTGAGTTCATTAAAGATTCGTCTGCCTAGCTAGAATTACTTTCAAACGAATTAACTGGAAAATGAAATCCAATTCAGACCACCACAACCACCACAACCACCACAACCACCACAACCACGACGACCACAACAACGACAACCACCACCACGACCACCACTACTACCACGACGACGACAACCACGACGACTACGACGACAACCACAACTACAACGACAACCACAACTACTACGACTACCACAACCACGACGACCACTGTAAGTTCATTAAAGATTCGTCTGCCTAGCTAGAATTACTTTCAAACGAATTAACTGGAAAATGAAATCCAATTCAGACCACCACAACCACCACAACCACCACAACCACCACAACCACCACAACCACGACGACTACAACGACCACAACAACGACAACCACCACCACGACCACCACTACTACCACGACGACGACAACCACGACGACTACGACGACAACCACAACTACAACGACAACCACAACTACTACGACTACCACAACCACGACGACCACTGTAAGTTCATTAAAGATTCGTCTGCCTAGCTAGAATTACTTTCAAACGAATTAACCTGGAAAATGAGATCCAATTCAGACCACCACTACCACGACCACCACTACTACCACGACGACTACAACCACAACGACCACAACTACAACGACAACCACGACGACTACGACGACAACCACAACTACTACGACTACTGTAAGTTCATTATACATTCGGCTGCCTAACTAGAATTACTTTCAAACGAATTAAACTGGAAAATGAGATCCCATTCAGACCACCACAACCACGACGACCACAACAACGACAACCACGACGACCACCACTACTACCACGACGACCACGACCACTACCACTACAACCACAACGACCACAACTACAACGACAACCACCACGACTACGACGACAACCACCACGACTACGACGAAACCACAACCACAACCACAACGACAACCACAACTACTACGACTACCACAACGACGACGACTACTGTAAGTTCATTATAAATTCGGCTACCTAACTAGAAGTAATTTCAAACGAATTAACCTGGAAAATGAGATCCAATTCAGACCACCACTACCCGACGACCACAACGACCACTACCACTACAACCACAACGACCACAACAACGACAACCACCACGACGACCACTACTACCACGACGACTACAACGACCACTACTACTACAACCACAACGACCACAACTACAACGACAACCACGACGACAACGACGACAACCACAACTACAACGACAACCACAACTACTACGACTACCACTACCACGACGACTACTGTAAGTTCATTATAAATTCGGCTGCCTAACTAGAATTACTTTGAAACGAATTAACCTGGAAAATGAGATCCAATTCAGACCACCACTACCACGACCACCACTACTACCACGACGACTACAACCACAACGACCACAACTACAACGACAACCACGACGACTACGACGACAACCACAACTACTACGACTACTGTAAGTTCATTATACATTCGGCTGCCTAACTAGAATTACTTTCAAACGAATTAAACTGGAAAATGAGATCCCATTCAGACCACCACAACCACGACGACCACAACAACGACAACCACGACGACCACCACTACTACCACGACGACCACGACCACTACCACTACAACCACAACGACCACAACTACAACGACAACCACCACGACTACGACGACAACCACCACGACTACGACGACAACCACAACCACAACCACAACGACAACCACAACTACTACGACTACCACAACGACGACGACTACTGTAAGTTCATTATAAATTCGGCTACCTAACTAGAAGTAATTTCAAACGAATTAACCTGGAAAATGAGATCCAATTCAGACCACCACTACCACGACGACCACAACGACCACTACCACTACAACCACAACGACCACAACGACCACAACAACGACAACCACCACGACGACCACTACTACCACGACGACTACAACGACCACTACTACTACAACCACAACGACCACAACTACAACGACAACCACGACGACAACGACGACAACCACAACTACAACGACAACCACAACTACTACGACTACCACAACGACGACGACTACTGTAAGTTCATTATAAAATCGGCTGCCTAACTAGAATTACTTTGAAACGAATTAACCTGGAAAGTGAGATCTAATTCAGACCACCACAACCACCACAACCACGACGACTACAACGACCACAACAACGACAACCACCACCACCACGACCACCACTACTACCACGACGACGACAACCACGACGACTACGACGACAACCACAACTACAACGACAACTACAACTACTACGACTACCACAACCACGACGACCACTGTAAGTTCATTAAAGATTCGTCTGCCTAGCTAGAATTACTTTCAAACGAGTTAATTTGGAAAATGAGCTCCAATTCAGACGACCACAACCACCACAACCACGACGACTACAACGACCACAACAACGACAACCACCACGACCACCACTACTACCACGACGACCACAACGACCACGACGACTACAACCACAACGACCACAACTACAACGACAACCACGACGACTACGACGACAACCACAACTACTACGACTACGACAACCACAACTACTACGACTACCACAACGACGACGACTACTGTAAGTTCATTATAAATTCGGCTGCCTAACTAGAATTACTTTCAAACGAATTAAACTGGAAAATGAGATCCCATTCAGACCACCACAACCACGACGACCACAACAACGACAACCACGACGACCACCACTACTACCACGACGACCACCACTACGACCACGACGACTACAACGACCACTACCACTACAACCACAACGACCACAACTACAACGACAACCACCACGACTACGACGACAACCACAACCACAACCACAACGACAACCACAACTACTACGACTACCACAACGACGACGACTACTGTAAGTTCATTATAAATTCGGCTGCCTAACTAGAATTACTTTGAAACGAATTAACCTGGAAAGTGAGATCTAATTCAGACCACCACAACTACCACAACCACCACAACCACCACAACCACGACGACTACAACGACCACAACAACAACGACAACCACCACGACCACCACTACGACCACGACGACTACAACGACCACTACCACTACAACCACAACGACCACAACTACAACGACAACCACCACGACTACGACGACAACCACAACCACAACCACAACGACAACCACAACTACTACGACTACCACAACGACGACGACTACTGTAAGTTCATTATAAATTCGGCTGCCTAACTAGAATTACTTTGAAACGAATTAACCTGGAAAGTGAGATCTAATTCAGACCACCACAACCACCACAACCACGACGACTACAACGACCACAACAACGACAACCACCACCACCACGACCACCACTACTACCACGACGACGACAACCACGACGACTACGACGACAACCACGACTACAACGACAACCACAACTACTACGACTACCACAACCACGACGACCACTGTAAGTTCATTAAAGATTCGTCTGCCTAGCTAGAATTACTTTCAAACGAGTTAATTTGGAAAATGAGCTCCAATTCAGACGACCACAACCACCACAACCACGACGACTACAACGACCACAACAACGACAACCACCACGACCACCACTACTACCACGACGACCACAACGACCACGACGACTACAACCACAACGACCACAACTACAACGACAACCACGACGACTACGACGACAACCACAACTACTACGACTACGACTACCACAACGACGACGACTACCACAACGACGACGACTACTGTAAGTTCATTATAAATTCGGCTGCCTAACTAGAATTACTTTCAAACGAATTAAACTGGAAAATGAGATCCCATTCAGACCACCACAACCACGACGACCACAACAACGACAACCACGACGACCACCACTACTACCACGACGACCACCACTACGACCACGACGACTACAACGACCACTACCACTACAACCACAACGACCACAACTACAACGACAACCACCACGACTACGACGACAACCACAACCACAACCACAACGACAACCACAACTACTACGACTACCACAACGACGACGACTACTGTAAGTTCATTATAAATTCGGCTGCCTAACTAGAAGTAATTTCAAACGAATTAACCTGGAAAATGAGATCCAATTCAGACCACCACAACCACCACAACCACGACGACTACAACGACCACAACAACGACAACCACCACGACCACCACTACTACCACGACGACTACAACGACCACACTACACACACCACTACACTACAACCACAACGACCACAACTACAACGACAACCACGACGACAACGACGACAACCACAACTACAACGACAACCACAACTACTACGACTACCACTACCACGACGACTACTGTAAGTTCATTATAAATTCGGCTGCCTAACTAGAATTACTTTGAAACGAATTAACCTGGAAAGTGAGATCCAATTCAGACCACCACAACCACCACAACCACGACGACTACAACGACCACAACAACGACAACCACCACCACGACCACCACTACTACCACGACGACGACAACCACGACGACTACGACGACAACCACGACTACAACGACAACCACAACTACTACGACTACCACAACGACGACGACTACTGTAAGTTCATTATAAATTCGGCTGCCTAACTAGAATTACTTTCAAACGAATTAAACTGGAAAATGAGATCCCATTCAGACCACCACAACCACCACAACCACGACGACTACAACCACGACGACTACGACGACAACCACGACTACAACGACAACTACAACTACTACGACTACCACAACGACCACTACCACAACGACAACCACCACGACTACGACGACAACCACAACCACAACGACAACCACAACTACTACGACTACCACAACGACGACGACTACTGTGAGTTCATTAAAGATTCGTCTTCCTAGCTAGAATTACTTTCAAACGAATTAACTGGAAAATGAAATCCAATTCAGACCACCACTACCACGACCACCACTACTACCACGACGACTACAACCACAACGACCACAACTACTACGACTACGACTACCACAACGACGACGACTACTGTAAGTTCATTATACATTCGGCTGCCTAACTAGAATTACTTTCAAACGAATTAACTGGATGGTGCCATTCAGACCACCACAACCACGACGACCACAACAACGACAACCACGACGACCACCACTACTACCACGACGACCACGACCACTACCACTACAACCACAACGACCACAACTACAACGACAACCACGACGACAACGACGACAACCACAACTACAACGACAACCACAACTACTACGACTACCACTACCACGACGACTACTGTAAGTTCATTATAAATTCGGCTGCCTAACTAGAATTACTTTGAAACGAATTAACCTGGAAAATGCGCTCCAATTCAGACGACCACAACCACCACAACCACCACAACCACCACAACCACCACAACCACCACAACCACGACGACTACAACGACCACAACAACGACAACCACCACCACGACCACCACTACTACCACGACGACGACAACCACGACGACTACGACGACAACCACGACTACAACGACAACCACAACTACTACGACTACCACAACCACGACGACCACTGTAAGTTCATTAAAGATTCGTCTGCCTAGCTAGAATTACTTTCAAACGAATTAACTGGAAAATGAGATCCAATTCAGACCACCACAACCACCACAACCACCACAACCACCACAACCACCACAACCACCACAACCACGACGACTACAACGACCACAACAACGACAACCACCACCACGACCACCACTACTACCACGACGACGACAACCACGACGACTACGACGACAACCACAACTACAACGACAACCACAACTACTACGACTACCACAACGACGACGACTACTGTAAGTTCATTATAAAATCGGCCGCTTAAATAGAATTACTATCAAACGAATTAATTTGGAAAATGAGCTCCAATTCAGACGACCACAACCACCACAACCACGACGACCACAACAACGACAACCACCACGACCACCACTACTACCACGACGACCACAACGACCACTACCACTACAACCACAACGACCACAACTACAACGACAACCACCACGACTACGACGACAACCACAACTACAACGACAACCACAACTACTACGACTACCACAACCACGACGACTACTGTAAGTTCATTATAAATTCGGCTGCCTAACTAGAATTACTTTCAAACGAATTAACCTGGAAAATGAGATCCAATTCAGACCACCACTACCACGACCACCACTACTACCACGACGACTACAACCACAACGACCACAACTACAACGACAACCACGACGACTACGACGACAACCACAACTACTACGACAACCACAACTACTACGACTACCACAACGACGACGACTACTGTAAGTTCATTATAAATTCGGCTGCCTAACTAGAATTACTTTCAAACGAATTAAACTGGAAAATGAGATGCCATTCAGACCACCACAACCACGACGACCACCACTACTACCACGACGACCACGACCACTACCACTACAACCACAACGACCACAACTACAACGACAACCACCACGACTACGACGACAACCACCACGACTACGACGACAACCACAACCACAACCACAACGACAACCACAACTACTACGACTACCACAACCACGACGACTACTGTAAGTTCATTATAAATTCGGCTGCCTAACTAGAAGTAATTTCAAACGAATTAACCTGGAAAATGAGATCCAATTCAGACCACCACTACCACGACGACCACAACGACCACTACCACTACAACCACAACGACCACAACGACCACAACAACGACAACCACCACGACGACCACTACTACCACGACGACTGACCACTACCACTACAACCAAACGACCACAACTACAACGACAACCACGACGACAACGACGACAACCACAACTACAACGACAACCACAACTACTACGACTACCACTACCACGACGACTACTGTAAGTTCATTATAAATTCGGCTGCCTAACTAGAATTACTTTCAAACGAATTAACCTGGAAAGTGAGATCCAATTCAGACCACCACAACTACCACAACCACCACAACCACCACAACCACGACGACTACAACGACCAACACCACCACGACCACCACTACGACCACGACGACTACAACGACCACTACCACTACAACCACAACGACCACAACTACAACGACAACCACCACGACTACGACGACAACCACAACCACAACCACAACGACAACCACAACTACTACGACTACCACAACCACGACGACTACTGTAAGTTCATTATAAATTCGGCTGCCTAACTAGAATTACTTTCAAACGAATTAACCTGGAAAATGAGATCCAATTCAGACCACCACAACCACCACAACCACGACGACTACAACGACCACAACAACGACAACCACCACGACCACCACTACTACCACGACGACTACAACGACCACTACTACTACAACGACCACTACTACTACAACCACAACGACCACAACTACAACGACAACCACCACGACAACGACGACAACCACAACTACAACGACAACCACAACTACTACGACTACCACTACCACGACGACTACTGTAAGTTCATTATAAATTCGGCCGCCTAACTAGAATTACTTTGAAACGAATTAACCTGGAAAGTGAGATCTAATTCAGACCACCACGACCACCACAACCACGACGACTACAACGACCACAACAACGACGACCACCACCACGACCACCACTACTACCACGACGACCACAACCACGACGACTACGACGACAACCACGACTACAACGACAACCACAACTACTACGACTACCACAACCACGACGACCACTGTAAGTTCATTAAAGATTCGTCTGCCTAGCTAGAATTACTTTCAAACGAGTTAATCTGGAAAATGAGCTCCAATTCAGACCACCACAACCACCACAACCACGACGACTACAACGACCACAACAACGACAACAACGACAACCACGACGACCACCACTACTACCACGACGACGACAACCACTACTACCACGACGACTACAACGACCACAACTACAACGACAACCACAACTACTACGACTACCACAACCACGACGACTACTGTAAGTTCATTATAAATTCGGCCGCTTAACTAGAATTACTTTCAAACGAATTAATTTGGAAAATGAGCTCCAATTCAGACGACCACAACCACCACAACCACGACGACTACAACGACCACAACAACGACAACAACGACAACCACGACGACCACCACTACCACCACGACGACCACTACTACTACAACGACAACCACAACTACAACGACAACAACAACTACTACGACTACTGTGAGTTCATTATAAATTCGGCTGCCTAACTCGAATTACTTTCAAACGAATTAACCTGGAGAATCAGATCCGAGTCGACTGGTACATCTGGGGTTATGGCCGGGAGGATAATAAGGCTGGGATTAGTTCGACTAGGCACTCCTTGCTGTCGGTTTCGATGATTTTCCTTTTTAGGCTTTTGCCTTGACTTTGGAATCCACTTTTCTAAGGGTTGATTTTTGAAAACAAATTTTTTGCGACCCAAGTTGTTATAGCAAAGATCATAGTATTTTAAAAAAAACAATGGAAACAAGAAAACTTTTCGCAGTTGCGACGACGAATGTATGCCTGTCCCGGGCAACCCACATCGTCGCACATTTTAGAAATAAGGAATGAAAAGCAATATGAAGCCGATTTTCGAATGAGGCTAGGTGATTTACGAGATATTCAGAAGAGTCCCATAAATATCGAAACATTTCTGGGAACTTTTGAAAAGCCAAAAATCCGTTGTACTTGGGACAAATGTTTTCTCACTGGTAAAATGTTTTCTCGTTGAAATACACGGAAATGTTGTCTCCAAATTCTTTCCCGTAATAAAACTAGTTACTTTTCTGGAACACGTCCCGTATCGTCGCTCAAAACCCTGTACCCACCAAAGATTGGCCTTGAAGTTGGAGACCAATTGCGCTTCTTCGTTCATCTTTAGGACTTATGCGTTGCATATCGGAATCATGCAAAATTTTTCCTTTTGCCATTTTTGTTTAAATTCTAACTGATAACTCTGAAGCATCTCTTTCTTTTGGTTGCTCTTGTCTCCCCTTCCTTCTCAAAATCTCGTAGTTTCCGGAGATGAATCTAATTGTATGAATCGGAACTCGGCTGTCGTTGAGGAGAGTGACCGGCTTCCTTTTTTAGTAGCCCGAAAGTATTCAATAGCCTCTTTCACCTTGTACAACGGTACCTGTTTACCAGAAAATTCGAGACAGCTCGCAATCAGAAAGTAATTGCCTTTGTCTATTCCCTCTTGGAGCTCCCAAGTAAAATCCTTCTCATCGTTGGCATCTTCGTTAGCAGCTTCATGAATTAACAAAGAATCCTATTCGGCATTTTGTCTAATTCGCGATAAAACGCTAACCAACCTTATTTCGTCGCGATTTAGCTGCTTGTTCTTGACGAGTCCAACCTTTTCAGGTAGCTTTCCAAAGATCACACTTGGATCCACGGACATCTTTGCCCGTAATTATAATATACAAATGCATTTAAAAATTTCTCTCAAGCCAAAAAAACAAGAATTAAACCTATGAGGAATCAAACAAAAAACCAGTGAAACCGTCAAGGAGAGTTGAAACTACGGCAAAAAGTGCATATGTCCTCTTCAATTCCAGCCTCTTATCCTATTGGCCACTAGCCTACATACAATAGATGGGAAAAATGCGTTCTCTAGGGATTCCAAAATCTTGTTTCCAAATTCCAATTCCAAAAGATATATGTATCGCATTCCCGGACTCTCTGCAAAAATAATAACGGATTCGGAATACTCATAGCCTAATCTTTCAGATGGAGTCAGCCTCATAAGGAAAGGCCACGCTAAGTTCATGCCTTTATCCAGTCAGCCGCAAAACGAATTACGATGATAATCTAAAAGCGAATTCAGACTACGACCACAACAACTACAACAACCACTACAACGACCACCACAACAACGACGACCACCACCACCACCACGACCACGACCACGACAACAACGACCACAACAACGACCACAACAACAACGACCACAACGACAACGACCACCACAACCACTACCACAACAACTACTACGACAACCACGAATACCACAACAACCACTACGACTACAACGACAACCACAACAACTACGACCACAACAACGACAACAACGACTACCACGACTACCACCACCACAACAACTACTACGACAACCACGACTACAACAACAACGACCACAACCACTACAACCACGACAACCACAACAACCACCACCACGACAACTACTACCACAACCACTACCACAACGACAACGACCACCACAACCACTACCACAACTACAACAACTACAACAACAACTACTACTACGACAACCACGACTACGACAACAACGACAACAACCACTACCACGACAACAACGACAACAACCACTACCACGACTACGACAACAACGACCACAACAACGACCACAACAACAACGACCACAACAACTACTACGACAACCACGACTACTACAACAACCACTACGACTACAACGACAACCACAACAACTACGACCACAACAACGACAACAACGACTACCACGACTACAACAACTACAACAACAACGACAACAACCACTACCACGACTACGACAACAACGACCACAACAACAACGACCACAACAACCACAACAACCACAACAACCACCACCACGACAACTACTACCACAACCACAACAACAACAACTACTACTACCACGACAACAACGACCACGACGACAACAACGACGACAACCACAACAACCACTACCACCAAAAAAAAAAAAAAAAAAACAAACCACGACCACCACAACAACGACTACAACAACAACTACTACTACGACCACCACAACCACAACAACCACTACGACAACAACGACAACCACAACAACTACGACAACAACAACCACAACTACTACCACAACCACGACTACGACAACAACGACCACGACGACAACAACAACCACAACTACTACGACAACTACGACTACGACGACAACCACGACTACGACGACAACAACGACGACAACCACGACTACAACAACAACGACCACAACAACTACTACGACAACCACGACTACAACAACAACAACCACAACAACGACAACCACAACAACGACAACAACCACTACCACGACTACGACAACAACGACCACAACAACGACCACAACAACCACAACAACCACCACCACGACAACTACTACCACAACCACCACCACAACAACTACAACAACAACTACTACTACGACAACCACGACTACGACAACAACGACTACAACCACGACCACCACAACAACGACCACAACAACTACTACTACGACAACAACGACTACGACAACAACGACGACAACCACCACAACGACCACAACAACCACCACCACGACAACTACTACCACAACCACGACCACAACAACAACAACAACGACAACAACCACTACCACGACAACAACCACTACCACGACCACCACAACAACGACCACAACAACTACTACGACAACCACGACTACAACCACAACAACCACAACAACCACAACAACCACAACAACCACAACAACCACCACCACGACAACTACTACCACAACCACGACCACAACAACAACAACAACGACAACAACGACTACAACCACGACCACAACCACGACCACCACAACAACGACCACAACAACGACCACGACAACAACGACAACTACTACCACAACAACCACAACGACTACAACAACAACGACGACAACAACGACCAGCACAACGACGACCACAACAACGACCACGACAACAACGACGACCACTACCACAACAACCACTACGACTACAACGACTACAACAACGACAACAACGACTACGACAACAACGACAACCACGACCACAACAACTACTACGACAACCACGACTACAACGACTACAACGACAACTACAACTACTACGACAACCACGACTACGACAACAACCACTACAACGACGACCACAACAACGACGACAACCACCACCACGACTACCACGACAACAACCACTACAACAACCACTACAACGACGACCACAACAACGACGACGACGACCACAACTACTACGACAACCACGACTACGACTACAACTACAACTACTACGACAACCACAACTACGACAACAACGACAACTACTACGACGACAACGACTACAACGACTACAACGACTACAACGACTACAACGACTACAACGACTACAACGACTACAACGACTACCACATCGACGACCACAACAACGACGACGACTACCACCACCACGACCACGACAACAACGACTACTACCACAACCACGACCACAACAACTACAACAACAACAACAACCACGACCACAACAACCACGACCACAACCACAACGACGACCACAACAACCACGACCACGACCACAACAACCACGACCACAACGACTACAACAACAACAACGACTACATCAACAACAACGACAACCACAACGACGACAACCACTACGACAACAACTACAACGACGACCTCTACAACAACGACTACAACAACCACGACAACTACGGTTTTTTTCGGTTTTTTGGCGACTTGACGAATGAATTTTAGGGTTGTTGCGTGTACGGTGGAAGATGGACCGAATGGAGCACCACTGGCACCACAGCTTGTTCGGATAGCTGTGGTCTCTGTGGAAATTGGACGGTTACGCGTACTTGCTCCTCTGCACCATCCTGTCCATGTCTGTACGTTTTTTGAAATCCAACTATGATGGGTCACACTAACAAACCGGAGGTCAAATTGTAAAACTGAGGCCTTTCTCGTTTTATGAAGACTTGGAGAAATATCATAGGTATGGATTCATTTCAGTGGGGCGACGTCAAAGATGATTCCATGCAACAACACTCTTTGCGAATTTCCCCGTGCCACATGTTGTTCTCCATACTCGAAGACTCTTGTCAATGGATTGTGGGTGTGCGGAACCTACGTGAGTTGAATTTCTTGAGACATTCCTTTACTTTTAAGGTTAACTTCTTCAACCAGAATATTCACAAAAACCAAAGAAATTTAGAATTAGCTAAAACTAAGAAAATCTCGTTCTGAGTCGAGTCATTTTCAGCAACTGATCAAGAATTACACGTCAAGCTGGTTTAGTCTGATCCCGACCCACCACAGTCAACCCTCTGCGACTTGGGCTGTTGTCCAAATGGAGGTATTTGGAGTGAATGGTCAGCTGGAGGAAATTGTGCCACAACTTGCGGATCTTGCTCGACAATCACCCAGGTACAAAAAAAATTTCCCTCTAGCAAGAAATACAAGTTTTAGCGACGTGTCTGCTTGACTCGACCAAAATGCGGCGTTTGCACTGGACAACAATCTCGAGTTGTTACTTGCGGAATCGGTAAGTGATTGGGATTGTTTTTCCAACGAAGCTTTTCATGCAAATAACTGTACTATCAATTCCGGATCATTTTCAGCGACTTGCTTCTACCCACAAAACTCTTGCTGTTCTCCATACCATGCCACTGTCATCAACTCGACGAACGCTTGCGGGCCACTGGTAGGAACTTGACTAAGTTAAAGTACAAGTGCTGCAGGGTAAAAAGCACTTTCTATTAGACAAAAGTCAGGTTCCCAGTTACTATGGCCAATTTGTATTTCAGCCAGCTGTTTACAATCCAGCACCATCACCAAATGTCTGCCCTCCACCTTGCTGCCCAACAAACGGAACCTGGTCGGAATGGTCAACCACTCAGGTAAACTGATTTCTACAGCTATTGTTTTCATTAACTGCTGAGTTCTGTAACTCTAGTGATCAAAATAAACCAAGTAAACAATTCAGACTTGCCCCGATTATTGCGGATCGTGCGGTAATCTCACCTACACACGTACCTGTACTTCACTTCAAGACGGATGCTTGTGCAAGTGAGTTGGCAAAGTGTTTGGCTTGATCTTTTTCTTAGAGCTAGAGGCTCAATACGTCTCTTATTAGAGATAAAAAAGCTTTAGAAACAGCTTTACAACAATCCTTGAAATTATAGCGGAGCTGACACCAAAGTTGAAGCCTGTAACATCAATGTTTGCTATTTCCCGAGACTTTCTTGCTGTCCTGGATATTTTGCCACTGTCATCAACAATATGAACGCGTGTGGACCACAGCCAACGGTGAGTTTTAGACATAAAATTCAGCTAAATCCTTCATGGCTGTATCAAATTTTAGCTTGCCATCGATCCACCACCATTTGACGACTGTAACACCACTTGTTGTAACACCGGAGGTTTGTTTTTCTTTACAAAAGGATTACATCAATACTCAATTCCAATCAAACCTTATTCTCCTAGGAATCTGGGGAGAATGGGTATTCACGACTGGATGGGTGAAAGGAGGACCTGGCGCGAATCTCACTTGCGGTATGTGCGAACAGAGGACCCAAGTGCGCACGTGTCTCTCGAATCAATACGGATGTCCTTGCACGTATGTTTTAAAGGCACAAAGTCGTTCTAACAGCTCTCAACTAGCTCTAATATTGTATAGAAATCATAGTTAGCTTGCACCAGCTCTGGCATTGCTCTAATTTTGACATTTCAGTGGCCCATCAACGTACTTCCTCGGCCGCAATGACACTCTCTGCCTCTTCCCCGATCCAACTTGCTGCTCGCCTTACGTGAAGAAACTTAACATCACCTCGAAGAAATACACTTGTCAATGGAACGGAACGGCTGTCGGATCAATCGCCACAACGACATGCTGTCCACCAAGTGAGTTTTGTGCTCGGAAAATTGAGTACTAAAGGCAATTTTGGCACCTCACGAGGTTCATTTATCTCTTTCAGACGGACTCGGACTCTGGAACGACTGGGGCTCATGGGCAAGCTGCAGTGCAACATGCGGTCTCTGCGGTACACAGGCAAGATCGAGAACCTGTGCCTCTGCTCCATATGGATGCCCTTGCGTGTATGTCTTGTTAATAAATACAAAGTTGATTGCAAAAATTTAGTGGAAACGCCACTGAAACCCAGGCTTGCGGAAACCCGGCTTGTAATGGAACGACTAAATGCTGTGCTGGAAGTTATCAAGCGATAGCCTATGACGGAACGTTATTCTGTCAAACAACACCGGTAGGTTTTGAAATAGGATTTCAAGATTGGAACAGAGAATCAGTCAAAGCTGAAAAGGCAAAGATCGATGTTAGTACGGACAATGAGAATAGATTGAGTAGCTTAAAGCGTCAGACAAGTTTATCAATTCATTTGCAATTGTTTCCAGTGGGCTCCTACCTGTGTTGGAGTGTGGACTGAGTGGTCGATGACCCAGAACTGCACCACCAACCTTGTGCTCAACCCAGCGAACTGCGGAATGTGCGCCACGATGGAATTCGCTCGCTACTGCATGAACCCCGGATGCAACTGCTCGAACAGCCCGTATGTTTACTACTTAGATTTTATAAAACTGATACACCGATATTTAGTGCCGACTTCCAAAAGACCACCCACTGTACTGATACACTGTGCACGTTCCCGAATGCAACTTGTTGCACCGGATTCGCGAAGAAACTCAACGTTACCGCCAAGAAATACACTTGCCAACCCGTCTAAATTGTTGTCTTCTCCAGAATGGGTTCGGCTCTCATCAACACATAAACAATTATCTATATAATGAATCACAACGTTTCTTTTTTTACAGATACCCGCGAATTAATAAACTATTGTTTATCAGTGTATTGAATTGCATGATTGGCACAAGTTGAGCATAAAACTTATGAGTCTTGACCAGAAATCGTTCAGCTTTCGAACTAATAATGATAGAACTTTGGGAAACATTATAAAAACTACGGGATGCCGAATTAAAACCTACGTTAACAGGTTTTTGGATTAAAAACGTTTAAGTTTAAGCCACAGTATGCTTAACTATAACACAATAATATGACTGTAGCTAGAGAGGATTTGTCTGATTCTATATTTACAGTATGCTGGATTTAACATTAAACAATTAAAAGCTATAGCCAGCTACAAACCTACCGTAACTACAGAATTTCGGGTCTAGGCTTTGTTATTCCGAACGGCATACTGTCGTTAGACAGAATTTTATCCAATCTTTCACATTGTGCCCAAAGTTGAAGTGAAGAACATCGTCTAAATACTTTAAAAGTCTAATTTGAGAAATTTTATGCCATTTTATTTGACACTTTATTCATGATTGATTTTGTACCGAAAAGCCAGAGTTCAAAGGGCCAATTCTCGTGCTCAATTGCCTAATCGGAATTGTTTCTAATCTACGCTTACCTAATCAAACTGATTCCTAAAAACACCTAGCTCTTCATCTAGGAAGAGCCAATGAGTGGGTGGCGGGGTGTCTTTCTGGGGTGAGTCAAGTGGATGACCAGTCCGGCTTTCCTTGTCCTTTCCATGTCCCCCATTAATCCCCCATCCGAGCCAACCCGTATTGTCAAATCTGACCCCCTCGCTGAACACCCCGATAAATTTGTCCGCTAATTTGCATAACTATGGTGAACATCTTGGCCCATCTCCCACTCCTACTTGAACCGATCTGCAGATGGTCGAACACAAATTGGGATTTGTCTACTTCCGTTAATTTTTCTTGTTATTTTCTTGGTTTTTCTTGGAGAGACTAATTCCCCATATTCCAATGATGGATGTCTCCAAAACTTTCCTCACTCAAAATGAAAGCCGGACATGTGTCGATTCGTGTTTACCGAGAGGCGACGCGACAGGCTCATTTGAGGGGAAGACTTCCGAGAGGATCTGAGAGCAATCCGATCCGATTGAAGAAAAGGGGGATATCTAGGTACTGAATTGTATCTCAATCTTTCTCCTGTTCTTTCCGCTTTTTGCCCCTAATGACAATAGCACTCAGCGCGCGCAGCTCCTCAATTGAGCCCGCTCTTCGGCGAGACCGCCCCACTCCCTCCTTCACTCTTTTCTAATGTGCCCCAGAAGTCGTCAAGAGCACACATTTGTGCTCCCGAGGGGTACGGTAGCTTTGGATACCTTTATTGTATTCTTTCAATTCTTTCAATTCTTTCAACTCTTCCAATTCTATCATTTATTACTTTGATGTTAGAAAGCTTTATAAGTCTTAGAGATTTAAGTGTTTGTTAGAGATTTGCCTTTCTGTTATATGATTTATCAAAATTTCTAACTGTTTGATTCTTCATTTTTCACATTTTCGATATTCAATGAAGCAAACACCCCTTTTAGCTTTCGTGATGAGTTCACCAGCTGCATTCACACCTCAGGGATTTTCCCAGGAACAACTTCTGCACATTTGGGGTGAGTTTTGAACAACTTGAACAGCTTGAACAACTTCTGAACAATTTTTTTAACAGTATCGCTTCTTGTACTTTTGCAGAATAATTAAAGTGACTAATTATTAGAAATAGTAGACCTTAGACATTTGCCCCACTACTTTTACAGACAAATTTAAGACTCATATTTTAAATATTCAACTTTTGCTTTTAAGAGACAATCATAAACTTTGCCTAACTCTTCAGGTGCACGGAACATGTCGAAAATGAACCGGCGTTACGGTACGACGGGTGGCGAGAAGGGTGAAGAGACGGTAGGCGGAGCCTCGACTCCACCCCAACAACCACAACAACCAATCAAGGGTGGAACTGGCACAAAGCCTAAGGTTGGTGAGAAGATTTTGTAAAGGTGTCAAATGTCATTCACTTATGATTTCATTCAATACTTGCACAACCTTGCTTTTGATCTCAGGATCATAAGTCCCACTAAACCATGGTTGTGCAGCTCTAGAGTCAAAAAGTTTAATTATCTAGCTCAAAGAATAAAAAGCTATTCTTATTTGGATTGTTTTATCGTAAATTTAGGTAGCTACACCACAAGTTGTCGCCAAAATTGAACAATACAAGCGAGATAATCCGACAATTTTCGCTTGGGAGATTCGAGAACGGCTGATCAATGAAGGTTGATAATCAGAAAATTGCAAGAGTCTTTTTCTTTTTATTGGATTAGAAAGCTTGCCATTTTATTGCCATTGCCATACCATTTGAATGTAACGAAACACAAAAAAAACAAGCTTTGAATAGATTTTCAGTCTAACTATTGTAGTCTAACTTCTCAGTCAGTTTCCACTTGAATTCCGATTGCTTTGTGTGATTTAAAAGTTGCCAATAAGCCTATGTAGTTTTTTTTTCTCAAATTAGTTTACCCATACAAGGCAATAGGCGGTCAAGTGGTTTAAGAAAGGGAGAAGATCCAAGGGGAAACCAAAGGAAAGCTGATCTCTCATATAGTCGCCTCAATGACCAAGCCGCCTATAGTTATCGCCTCAAAGTGTTTGCATTTGTTGTCGTCTTTTGTGGAGGTTATACATTTGGTACTTGTAAGTTGACCGGGATCGCGTGGCTTCTCTCAATATTTGCATAAAAGATGCCTAGTCGGACATGTCTTTTTTAAGGGGGTAAGCTGTTGTTTTCAGTGACTTTTGAAAGATATATTACCGTAAATACTGTAATAGTACCCCACCCCCCTCGTACAGTCGCGTAGTCGCAAAAGTTTTCTAGTATTTCATTTTTTTCAAAGCGCCCGTACTTTCAAAAAATGCGCCTTTGTTATCAAAAAATAGCCCTGAATTTCAGCTATTTTTTGATATCTAGACGCGCGTTGTAGCATAAACCAGTGTCGAGAAAAACTCGTTCAAAGCTAGACTACACAACACTCCACACCGTCATTATGGGGATGGGGTACTATTACAGTATTTACGGTAGTATGTAACTCCAATTGCTTTGATATTAAGTAAAAGTAATGTTACAAAGATAAAGCTAAAGAATAGTTTTGGAGTTAAAGATACTATATTTGAAGATTCTTTTCTAATTATAGTGCTGAACAAAAAATAGACGGATTCAAAGCTATAGATTAAAGTACGACACTTTCTAAACGACACTTGTTTTAGACAATTACTGTAATCAAAGTGCCAGTATTTAGCCTACTTTTTAAACAGTTTTATTTTAGATTACTGCGGTGTGGTTGAGAATTAACAGAACAACTTAACAGACTTCTTTTTAGGTGTCTGCACGACACCGCCTTCAGTCTCCTCAATCAATCGAATCCTGCGAACAAGAGCGTTAGTTTCATTTCCTAAACAAACTACTACTTTAGAATCGTTTCAAGTTTAAATTTCAGCGCTGAAAGAGCAGCCGAGGAGCTCTCATTGATTCTGAACACTCAACAAATGGCTCGTCAACAGAGATTTCCCCGTCCCACTCCACCAATTCTCCCACCATTTCCATTTCCGCATTTGTGGCCAGGTTTTCAATTTTCAAATTCAAATTTAAAGCTTTCAGCATATTTATAATATCCATATAGCTTTAGGTATCTTGCTAAACCCAGCTGCTGTGACAGGATCCTCCACTGGAAGTCCTCCAATTCCCAATCCAGCTCTCGCTCTCCATCCATTCATCGCCGCTCTCACCGGACATTTGAGCCAAGTAGAAATTTAAATCAATAACTATTACTGGTACAGCTTACCAAATTCAAGATTTCCTTTTCAGTTTACAAGAAGCACGCCGAATGGAAGCGCCTCACCGGCGGATACGGTAGCAATGAGTGACGAGGATCAATCGATTCGACGTGGGAGTCGCAGCTCTTTTTCATCAGGTTGATAAAGTTTAGTTCTGCACTTTAGTTTCATTTTGTAGTAATGTAGCCAAACAAACTTAACCATTAGCTTTTTCAGATCAACTCGAGATTCTCGAAGCGGCTTTCGAGCGAGATCCATATCCAGGAAGTGAAGAAAGAGTGGAGCTTGTCAAAAAGACTCAACTGCCAGAAGCAAGGATTCAAGTAAGATCATTAATTTTTTATATGATTTGACATCCAATCACTCTAATTATTTCAGGTTTGGTTCTCGAATCGTCGCGCTAAATGGAGACGGAGTCAAACGGATGGATTGAACGGTTCTCCGAGTGAGAGGTAGAATTTTCGAATTCTTTGACTAACAGAAAAACTTTGGCGATTGAATTTCCAAGGAAGTGTTATTTGAGTAGAGTGAAAGAGACTTTTGAAGACTTTTAAAGAGCTTGAAGTAAAGGTTTTGTGACTTTTTGTTTTCTCTTTGGATTAATAACTTCTGGTAAACTCTATGGCAATTCTGGCAATACTACTTAAACTAATGTACTGTGTAACTAACTATACTTGAGCTTTAAGTTTAGAATTTAAAAGAGACTAGGACTTACAATTAGATCTCAAATCAGAAAAATACTGATTAAGAACATTCAACTTCTAGCAACGATCCAATGAACAGTGACAATGAGAAGACACCGGAACCAACTACAGAAATCGCTGAAGAACACCCTCCTCCAAATGAAACGAAAAGAAAACTTGACAATTCCTCTACCTCTCCCAATTCTCAACCATCAGTGAAACGTGTTTTTCGACCATATGAGTAAACTTTTCTGTTTAGATTTTATTTTGTAACTAAACTTTATCGAATCAACAAGCAAAAAACATTATGAGAATTATGAAGAAACCCGAGGCATTCTTGGCAATCAATATTGTGAAGAAAAAGTTTGAGCTATAGTAAATTTTCTAGAAATAGAGGTAGTTCAATTATCAAGAGCTCCTTGTCTGCACTGTCGTCTTTCTTCTTTGATTCGATCTTCCATTTCTTTCATTGATTCAACTAACGGATGTCTGGCAACGAGAGCACGACAACTAAAGACAAACTAAAGTTTACAAAGAGTTTACAAAGAATATTTGTAATGTTTTTAGTTTATAATTGACTCCTTTCTCATAAAAAATAGTGTGTTATTTTATCTTTAGTGTGTTTCTCTTAAATAATCCGTTTTCTAAAAGAAACTATTTGAAAAAAACTACCGTTAGCAAGCCATTTGTTTACATTCGATTAGCACAATTCCGGTATTATTGACTAATAGTAAGGCTTGGGCTTTCTAATGAAAAAATCGGGCTAATTGGATGTAAACTAACAGTTTGGTAAAGTTTTAGATAGTTTTCTCAAATAGATGCCTTTTAGAAAAAGCATTACTCGAAAGGAACCATATTGGAAGCAGATTCTTGGAAGGAACATATATTGGATACCATATTGGAACCACTCTGAGCTTATCCCCTCAAACGTTTGCATTTAATTAAACCATTTATTCTGATCCTTTTCTTGATCTTGATCTGTATCTGAATGAAAAGTTGCGAAAATAGGATCGCCAAGAACCTACTGTTTTGCCAATACATCTGATGGAAAGTCTCGTGAGCTTCGACTATGCAAAACCCTGAGTCACTACATTCTTTTGTACTTACTTGTAATCCTATGTAAGATTTAATGCAAAGATACAAAAGTTTAATTTCATTACTACAGAATCTTTCTATAACACTCACGTCTTCACTCGAATACAGCAACTCTCTATTCGGCTGCATCTAAATAAATAGCTTTTTGAAGCAGAGATTTTCTTTCTCACCTGTCCTTAAACCTCTTCGCAATGGCTCTGCATTGATTTTTCGTCTTTGCTCTTCTCTTCACTTCTTTCACATCTTCTCCATAGAAATATTGATCAAACTCAGCGATTTTCCGAATACAAGTTGCTTGGTGTCTCTGAAGTTTTAACATCTGAAAAGAAAAAAAATGTTAGAGGGAAAAGTGGGTTATTGGTTTAGGGATAGTGAATTGAATTTTAAATTTGAAAGAATGGGCATGCGTTTTCAGAAATTGTTGAAGCCTACCTTTTTAGCAGAAGCTTTCTCAAACTGAGAATCATCGACCGATTCGACATGACCCGTTACATAGCAATCTCTGAATATTTCTCCATTTAAACCAAATAATCTTTTTAAAAAATCATAAATTCCAATTTCTCTACCTTAAAAGCTGTGCTCTCTTTTGCTTTCTAGAGACAAGTTCGGTGAAAAGTTTGGCAATCGGTTGATAACAACTGTCCGACGGTTCTTCATTCTGAAATTCCTTTGAATTTTTAAAAGCAATCAACAAGTTTAGATTCTAATTGAGTCAGATTCCTCTTAAAACCGAAATTTCCTTTTTCTATTATTGCTATTTTACTTTCTTGAACTTGTCCTTTGTCTTGACATTCGATCTGAGGGGAGACTCTCGGACAGGAAAAAGGTTAACGGCCAAGTTCCCCATTTCATTTTTTCTTTTTCTTGTCAAGTTACCCAAAAAGCTCACCGAAATGGGTTGTAACTTAAGACAAAAAAAAGGGAAGAAACGAGGAAATCCTGAGGGGGTTAAAAAGTGGAAAAGTTTAACTATTTTGACAGCCTCATTGAGTTGGGAAGTGTTTAGAGAATTTAGCACTTGCAATTAGACTAATTAACACTTCAAAAGGCGTTTTAGCTCAAAACTTGGTAAAAACAATCCACAGTCAACTTCTTACCCTGAACTGTCTCTCATCTCCACACGCATTGATGAGTGAATCGTATTTTGAGAGACACCGATCATACGCTGAACATGCGTTACTGATCCAGAACTCGACCGGCTCCTCATCAAGCTCGGCTTCGACTTTCTTTTTACTCTAAAATAGGATTGTAAGACTTGAAGTTGTTATTAACTTGATGTTATTAACTTTATTAACTTATTTGTTATTATTAACTAACGGATGTAATCAAGAGCCTCTGAATGAACTCTATCATTCTTTGATTGTAAGATTTGTGTAAAACTGACTTACAGATCTTGTCAAGCAACACTGACATACCTTTTTATTTGCACATTCAACAATCACGAGTATCGAGCAGAGTAGTAATAACCGCATTGTGGATATGTGATCTGAAAGGACGGGGAACGATTGTAAACGTCAGGAACAAAATGAATCAAGGGCAAAGTAGCTCAGCACCAATTTTCTATAGATACATAGCATAACAATAGCATCATTTAAGGTAAAACTGTCACATTATAGCATCTATCGATTGGTAAACAATTGGTCTTTGAGGTTGGTTGGATTTTATTTATCACTTGAGAGGAAACTCGTCAATCAGGAAGAAAAGCTGCAAAAGTGATCGGAAATGAGAAAAAATGGGGATTGAGTGGAGAAAAACATCAAAGGTCATGAGAAAGAGGAAAAGTGTAAGAAGCCATTCAACGCATCGCATGCGTTGAATGGCTTGGATTGGGGAAAACAATGAAATAGTGTTTTTTGTGTTTCGATGAGCTGCGCATCATGTTATTTGAACTTTAGAGATAACTTACAATTATTTTTTTGAGAGTTATAGATGAGTAAAACTTTTTCGTCAACTAAAAGATTGAGTAGGCTTTTAGCTAGTAGAGTAGCTGATAGTGTTATTCAATATTTTTCTTGTACACTGGATTCTTTCCGAGCTTTAACAATGCAATAATCAATGACTTTCATTAGTGATTCTGCGTTCTGATTGAGTATATGATGAACATTATTGCCATACTTGACAATAAGCAAGTCTATGAGGGCCATTGCAATGCATTGTTACATTCAACTCTTTGTTAGACAAACTTTTAACAGAGCTTTATGATAACAATATTTAACAGAGATAACAAAAGCTTGGGCACAAAGTAAAGCGAAAACAAAAGTTTATCGAAATAGCTTATCGAAATACTTTCAAATCTGAATCCAATTGAATAGTAGACATTGCAATTCTGAAAAAGACATAAAAAGTGCCCAAATTTCAACGATAAAACGAAAGGTTAACGACAGCCGGGTGAGGAGAAATCCGTTCCTAAAAACTCTCAAGAGATTCGAGACCTCAAGAACAGAAAGCCCCCCCGAAAAGACACGTGTTGGCAAAGAGATCGATTTCTTTGATCCTTTTCTCTTCCTTAAATCTCTTGATGTTTGGAGTCTCTTTCGTTAATATCAACAGAAAGAGAAAGCTTTTGTTCATAAGTAAAGTTGGAGAAAGGATTTGTTTGCTGATGAGTGGGCGATGTGGTTGAAATGAAGAACGAAACAGACACGTGATTGGATCTATTTTGAATGTTAGCGATTATTTCCTCACTTTTTCTAAGGACAGTTTTATTTTGCTTTGTTGAGTTGTGAACGTAGGATTTCTAGGAATTTTGGCATGGTGAGGTTTTTGGCTGAAGCTGTTGACTAGCAAAACTAGTGGAGAACTAAAAGAAAAGTTGAAAGTTGTAGAAAACTTTTGGACATTGTTTTCTATGCTAGAGAACTGTGAAACTAGCGCAATAAAGTTTAAAATTTTGTCATCTTGAACCTAGTTTTGTAAGGTTAATCTGTTTTTCACCTCCAAAAAACCAAAAACTCAATGATAATCTGTAAATTGTCACGGATGTAATTCTCCTATAAGTTTCAACTATGGCAAACGAAAGTCTGACCATTTCTGGCAACAAGTGAAAGCTTTTTTTTCTGCCCAACTACATATTGTGTCTTTTTTTTGAAAGAGATTTCCCCAGATACCATTCAAAGCTATACAAAAGAAATGGACCAGCTTCGACAAATGGGGAAAGGGATTTGTGTAGAGAATGGGAGAAAGGGGATTTAGTTTTCGGGGCGATCGCTTTTTAGGTAAAGCCCCCGGCACTCCACTCAATAGCTCTTGTAGTCAGTATTACGCGATTTTCACTCAAAAACTTTACACTAAAAACAAAATTTCTGAGCTATCAAATGATTTATTTATTCTTCTGCTTTCTAGTTTTTATTACAGAAGGTCAGTGGATAAGGATGTTTGAGTTTTTTGAAATGAAGTTTAGCTTGCTTGCCCGGCCTTTGGGGTGGTTATCCAGCATATTCTGGAGGTAAGGCTCAAGCTTTGGATTGTTTAAGTCTTCAAAAACCTAGGCAGACTTTACAAAGGGAATTAGAGATTAATTAGAGATTTAAGCTTTGAAGATTGATACTTTAAGGTTTCTATGGTCGTCCGTTTGTCGGTGGATTGCCAGCAGCGGGCGGGTTGCCCCCTGTTGGACTGGGTCCCCGAATCATCCCCCCAATCAATCCAATGGGTGCAATGGGACCAATCGGGCCATTCAGAGCTGAAGCAAACTCAGATCAAGTCAAACATAAGATCATTCTTCAAAAATTCCGTTTTAGGCCCGATCCGTTTCCATATTGAACTGTGCTAGCTTTGAAGACAGCTGTAAATGGTCGAACACTAATGAGGAAGAGCTGGATTGGTCTACAGTGAAAGTAAGATTTGAGAAGAATTGAACAAGTACTACTATGCAAAGACAGTACATTTCAACAGTTATAAGCCCAACTGGCGAATTCCAGACTCAACCGCACAGTCAAAGCTGGATGGCGACTCTGGGAACGTCGAGTTATCCAAGTGAGGAAGCTTATTTGGAAATTTCACTGTTGATTTAAATTTTGTCCTATCTAGTGCCTTCTGCGGGAGCGTTGATCTCATCACAGCGACGAGGCTGGGAGGGCGGACAATTGGTTTCCGATCAACTCCCTTGTTTGCCCAACGGGATCGTCTTGCAGATAACTGCTTGGAGAAGCAGGTAGACTATATTTGGCTTAAGTTTGATGCAATTAATCCAACCAGTTGTTGTTGTTGTTGTTAGAATACTGTCGTATGTGTAGTACTGCACCTTCTAAAGTCTATCCAAGTTTCTTACCCAAACTTATAATATTATTCTATCTAAATTTAGAACTGGCAGTCCGGGTGATCAACCGCGACTCCAAGTTTGCACAAGAAATGCAGCCGAGGAGAGATTACCATTAGTAAATTGTAATGAAGTTCCGATTCACAATGCAGCCCCAGTACAAGTTGATGTTCCCACACCAAGTGACTCAACGAAACCCACACAAGTAGCTGGCTAAATTCAACCTGCATCTAGATTAACTTCAGATTATACTCTATGGAAACAACTTTGCGGCTCAAGAAGGTGGTGCAATCTTTATACAGGATATTGAGGTAAGACTTTTATCAGAACCGCTTTGAAACTTGTGATTTTAGCTTCAAGGACAATTGAATTGCAATGAAGTGACAGTGGATAAACATCCAACTCTGATTGGGAACAGTATTCAACGACAAAATCCACGGGCTGTTGGCCCATTGGAGGTGGGTTTAAAAATTCTGATTGAAGTAGAACACTGGTTTCAAGAAATATTTGCCTGGTTAATCCTGGAAATCAAATTATGAAAAAATATTGATTTAATCTAGGCCATGGAAAACCCATCTTCTCAACTTGAAGACATCAGTTCTCCGATCGCTTTTGACGAAAACGAATCCATCAAAGCTCCACCACCGCCGATTTTCGATAAACCCAATGATTTCCTTAAACCAAACCCATCACTTTTTGAACAATGCTTGGCGTTAAGCTGCAATCCATCGGGTGAGTCTTACGACAAGTTAAAACTCGAGAACAAACTTGAGAACAACCTTGAGAACAAGATTTTGAACAAGATTCAATTTTGAAGTGAAACAAGAATTCTATTCTATTCTATTCAATAAAGCAAAAGCTTTATTGCGAAATTCACTACTGTATTTTTGCTTTTTTGCCGTCACAAGAACAGGTTTTAAAGGGAAAAGGGACTTTGGCAAGTAGTGCTTTCTCTTAAACCGGTTTCATAAAATGTTTGAAACTTTCGAATGTGAATAACAAAGTGAATTGATTGAGGAGAAATCAATTACCTTATAGAAAAAGATTTAATGATTCAACTTTAAGATCTTTCCTGTAAATTCTGGCGATCTTCGGGTAATAATCGATGGGAAATCGGTTCAGCGGGGAGAACGTCAAATCCATTAACCGGAATCAACACATCGCCTGGAACCGGTAAGAAAACTCAAAAACTTTTGAATTCTTAAACTGTAAAATTAAGCCAAAAAGTTCCTGGTTGCCCCATTCTTGGACTCTCATATTACCTCGTACTCATTGGTCACTGAAAAGTTAAAGTCAGTTTTATTGCTCAGTACCAGTTTGAAATCTGGGAAATTTTAGTATTCCACTAGCAGAAGAAGTGTATTTCTGTTTCTACGAATTCTTGGCAACAAACGGACTCTCGATGAGCGTTTGCACGGATCGATCCGAATGCTTTTATCGACAGACTCGACTCAATGTTGGAGATGGAGTCAATGCTAACAAAGTATAGAAATAAAAGAGAAAACAACAAAATACAACTCTTAAAGAAGTTAAAGGTATCAAGTTTTTAGGAAAATAAGAAATGGAATCTTCGATGTAGTCGATTACCGACTGGGATCTACGAGGTGAGGAAGCTGACTTTAAAATAAGAAACCTAGCTTCGCCAAGCTTCATCAAGCTAGGTCCAGCAAGGTTGAGGCTAGGCAAGGTAAGGTCAAAAGCCAGTTCTGGCCTGGCCTTGCCTTACCTTGGCATGGACTGGCTTATAGTTAAGATCAAAAATCTAAATTCCAAAACTAATTCAGCTTCGAGTGATCGCTGAGAATATGGGTGACAACAAGGGAGAGATCGGCTTTTTACCCGTTCGTTTATCGAAAGATCCAGTGGGACAAGAATTTATTTGCTAATTGATTGATTTTATGTTTATACTGTGTATCTCAACCTTGCAATATGACCAAATTTCTTTTAAAGTTCATTGATTACTTTGTGAATGATTTTTTTCTCGATTTTCTCGCTGATATACCTCTTTATCTGTGACTATTTAACCTCGATTTGTTTTGAAATAAAAACATTCACTTACAAGTGTCAAACTGGAGACAAAATAAACACAAATCACAGAAAGTGAAGGAAATACTAGAGGTTATAATGATTGCTGTTAATAATGATCCTTATTGATCTCTATTGTTCACTAATAAGTCTCATATTCATTTTTATTCTTATAGAGTTGACTAAATCGTAATATTAGGGTTTTCAAGGTCTCCTTTGCAATAAAGATACACTACCTTTGAGGCCAGAACTATCGTACTTTATCCGATCAATCAATCCAATCAAGCAAGCCTAACAATACCCCTAAAATTCATCTCGATTTTCTCACAATTCCCCATCAAAAGCTTTGTCATAGTGATTGTGGAGTAGTAACGTTATCTTTTTCCGTTTCTCCAATCCATTTTTGACTCGCCACGTTTTTGATGGAGAAAAAGGGGAGTATTCTCAAAAGGCCTCAAAGGCAATCCCCTCCACCTCGTAAAATTTGGTCGTTAATTTGCAATAATTCTGATAGCCCCACCTTCAGAGAAAACACAAAACCGAAGATTTCAGAAAATTTTGGGAAACACGTCATTTTGGAATTGTTAACGCCCAATGAGTTACTTCTAATGAATCCAATCCACTTTTGATTTCATTTCGATCTAGTTCGAATAAAGTCTTAGTATGTTAAGTTAGTTAAAAAGTTGTAAACTTTTCTCAAAGTCTTTTTTACAATGTTTCTAGATTTTGTAGTAAGATTACAGTTCAACAAATCAGCTAAAGTGTTGTTTTTGTTTTACTTTGTGCATTATGCTACAATCTTGAGTACAAATCCCATCTAACATCAAACTTTATCACTTATCTCTTCACTTTTAGATATTTTGTTTAGTGTGAAACGATTCTGATCGATTATTTTCTAGAGAGTCACTCATTCGGTGGGAGATGCGGCCTTTGTTGCTGCTTCTCGTCCTACTTGGGGCATCCACTTTAGCAGCTCCCGATTGGAAACGAGGTTGAACTAGATTTATACAAATTTATACAAAAATTTGAACTTTTAAGGACTAAACACTAATACAAGTACTGAAATTTCAGTTTTCAACTCGTTTTTCCCCTCCGAACCCAATGAACCACTGCATAAGAATGCTATGAACTACTATGGAGAAATTGAGGTTTAAATCTTACAGATTAAGATCAAAAATTCAATTTTCATTTAGATAGATAGCTTAATTTTATATCAAAGCTGATTTTTAGCCTGAGGCTGAACCCATTCATGCGAGGATAAAGAGAGCCGTGCTTGCTGCAATGGGATTTGCATCGCCTTGCTCGGCCGGATGGACTGGTCAATTCTGTGAAAACCGTAAGTATTTAGTAAGCTTTTCTTAATCAAGAATTTCTCCAGCAATCTGCGTCTCAAACACGACGGTGCCGATCGAGCAGAACACGGACAAAGTGCTCGATTTATTCTACGCTCCATCGGGCTGCACGGGTCTTTTCTATGTACCGGTTGATTCCACCTGTGATTACCTCTTTATTCAAGTATGTATTTAAATTAGAATTTTAATCTGATTGTGAATTTCAATACCCAAATGATTTCAGGTGAACACTGATGGACCAGTGCCATGGATTAACATCACCGACTCAAACGGTAATCTTAAACGGGTACTTCCTTCACATTCTTTCTTTCTCTTCCCCCCCTTTACTCTTTCTTCTCTGGGAAGAAGATACCGGATAGCTCAATGGTTAGAGTATCTGCTTGGAAACTAAAAAGGTCGAGGGTTCAATCCCCTCTCTGGAAATCTTTCTCTACCATTCCTTACTTTACTTTATTACAATGAACGATACTGACTCTTCAGTGTTTTGGGCATAAGCTTCTTTTCAGGAAATCTCGTTGTTCCCCGAAATATCTACCCAAATTCTGGAATGAACATGAACTTCTATCAACCAATCACCCCCGGCGTCTACCAATTGAGCATCGATACTCAACAAATGCCAACAACTCTTTGTGCAGTTAATATACAGGCAAGTTAACAAATTGGTCTCGAAATTTTACAGTACAGTACTTCCCAATTAGATCAAAATTTTAATCAATCCTTATCACTGTATCAAGTATCCAAAGTGCCAATTCTGTGCCAGTACTAGGAACAGTACAGTATCCAGTCGTAGACATTTTTGGGATACTGTAGCCCCGAAAAAGAGTACTGTAGTATAATTCCCTAGCTTCTTCTTGAAAACTTTCTCTAAAAAGTCATCACACTTTCCAGCTTTATTGGCGATGATTTTCACAAATTTTTCTACTCATTGCCTAGGCACACCCCAATTTTTCCCTTTTACTCTTATCTATTTCCTCATTTTAATAGCTCAATAAAAGCTCTCATTTTACAGACAAACGAGGAGAAAACCTCTTCGATTTCTTTAGAAGTTTTTGATGGGTGCTGATAAAATGAGTAAAGAGAGGAATCCAATGTTAGCTCTAGCGTATTTTTACTGAATTCGAGCGGGGGGAAAGAGATTTTTGGTGAAAAGTAGTGGGAAACTGATGAAAATGAATAATTCAAAAAGGCAAAGTAAAATATATAAAGACTATATGCTAATTTTAAGTTTAAAATAATTCATTACATTTCTTGCAAGTAAACCATAGACTTTAGAATCTAACTTTAAACGTTTTGACGTTTAAAAATCGAATAAATCGATTGATTGTTTTAATTACAACTTGATATTAGCTATAGTCTTTATTTTCAGGTAGCCAGCAAGCTTGACATCACACACGGATTCGTGGACAACCCACAAGACGATGTGCCAGCTCATGGAGAAGCGGCCGGACAAGGAAAACTGCAGAATCTCATCATTCACACCTATCATCCAGAGATTCGATCTGGTAAGTAAAAAATGCTTCCAAAGCTGTAATGATCAATATGACTAAGCTAACTAGCTAGCTAATATTAACTCTAGCTTATTGTTAGTTTACTTAGCTCTCACTAACTTGACTTGGAATTTAGTGCCCAAGGTGGCAACGATCTTGCGCCAAAGGAGCACGACTCCGCTTCTCCGCTCAGTACTCACCACCAGGTGATCTTTTAAGGAAATGATTGATTTTCATTCAAATCTTAATTCGGATTTCTCTAATACGTCTACTTTCAGATACGGTTGCGCATATGAGCAATATATGGGCGGGACATTCGGGTGCTTACTCAATAACCTCTATACGCTGACGGTGAGTTGCTGGGAAACTAGAAAATGAATATAACCAACTAATTTGCATATAACTTTCTTCGATGAGTGACTGGAAAATTAAACAAGCAATTACAATAGATTTACATATAAATTTGCATATTGTAGGTTGACGGAATTGACGCCAACGGATTCGCTTTCCGGAGAACGAAAGCCGGTTGGGCTTGTATTGAAGCTCCACCCACGCCTCCACCACCAACAACGCCAGCTCCACAGACTTGTCTTAATGGAGGTGCAGAAAATTTGAATTTATCTTATTTAGCAAGTCAAGTAGATCATTTCATAGCAATGTGGAGAAGTAAAAGACTGAAGTTAATGCTATGTAGTTCTTATAAACCAATCTCTAAAAGAAACCGGTTTTGAACACCCTTCAAGCAAAGGACCCTCACGTATTTGAACATCTTAAGTGAACTAAACAAATAAAGATCCAGGATCTCTTTTGTGGTTTAAGTTTAGAAAAGTTTAAATCATATCCAACTCTTTAGGAACCTTGTTGTACGAGGGAACACCGAACGCTCAGTGTCTCTGCCGTGAGCTCTTCACCGGTCCGACTTGTAGCATTCCACAGTGTATGAATGGTGGTTTCCTCAATCCAGCGGAAACCTCTTGCCTTTGCCAAACTGGATACCTTGGAATCAATTGCCAAAACAGTAAGATATTGAAGATTCTTGATAGATAACATATAGTAAAACTTTTTACAAGAAAAAGATAAGATCAGCAGTTTTTACAGGAACTTTTTGACATGACTATCAGCTTTAAATCCGTTGATCATATGTAAAACTTTGCTCAAAACAACTTTAGTCATTTGTGTGCCCAACTTCGGCGAATATCTCACCGACTACAGTACTCTGGTCGTCGTTTGGCGTGCCGTACAAGCGATGAACCCATACGTCGCTCAATATGCGCAAGCTGTAAGTGAAATCGGAAAATATTGATCTACAGTATTGCTCAGTTCTACAACGAGATGCAATTCATGGGTGAAACCCCCGGCTTTCAATCCTATCAATCGTTCATTCTCATCACCTATGCAAATGGAGGTAGTATTCGAACTTTTAAAAAATATTTCTAATAGTTTTAAATCAAAAATTTTAGTTTTAACCCGTAACAGCTATGGCCAACAGGAATGGGACCGATTTTATGCGGATTTTCAAGCACTCAACGCGACGACCACCGTTGGAAATTGCAATGACACCTCGATTGCTGCCATCACTGAAGTGTTCAGATTGGTGGGTTGGAGTGCAATTTTGATTTGGTTTAGCTACAAATTGATACCAAAGCTACCTGTTACATGTAGGTATGATATTGAAAGTAAGTGGTAAGTTTGCATTATGCTCCTAGTCTTTAAATCTCGTGTCTTCAACACTGACACAGATCATGGCACACTGACGGTAACACATTGGCTGATCATGACAGATCAGTGTCAGTAAGAGTCCGTAAGTTTTCCAGAACTGTGAAAAGATTATTGACAAAAGTTATCCAAGTTCTCTAATAATCAGATTTGATAATAGTTTATAACTTTAACAATTGTAATAACACTTTTAGACCACCTACAACAAGTCACCGATCTATCACTTCACTGATGCTCCTGCATCGGACTCCCAGAATTTCCTCAGTGTCTCCGAGATGAATGGATACAAAAAACTCCCGGTAAATGACTAAAACTGAAAGCTGAAGCACAAGATTCATCCAGGTCTGGTCCTTCTTCCACAATACAAGCGCCGCCATTCAATGTAAAGTCGACGAGATCTCTGAGGGCTATCGGGTGCTTGGCACTCTCTCCTACATGTCTGGAGGTCTCACCATGGGACTCAGCAATGACAAGTTCAACCAAGTAAGTTAAATAGTTGATCTCAACTTAGAAACTTCTAGACCTTTGCCTTGGCGATGCGAACCACCAACTACAAGTCCAACCAAGTTCTCATTGATGATCTCACTGTGGGTTTTCAGCTGTACCTGAGAATACAAGTTTCCTTCTAGAACAAGATCTAAATTGAATTCCATTTCTAGTTCTCTAACTGATTTGTTACTACTCTAGGTCTGCACCATCGACGGTTATCGTACCTTCTTCGTCGATTCGGCCACCAAAGCTATCTACATTGTGGCAACTGGCGGTTTGATTTTGCTTACATAAAAACGATCATTTTTTTCCAGACAACTTATTGGTTGCTGTCACGAACCCTGACGGAAAGATCACCTCTCCATTGGCTTATCAAGATGGGAGAAACTATTTCTACACGATTCAAGGCAACAATCTCACTCGTGGAGAGTGGCTGTTGCAGTTTAACGCTTTCCAGGTACTTTTGAAATCTCTTTTTCGAATCATATAATAATTGGGGAACAATTCAATTCTTAAAGCCTTGATTTCAGAGCACATACCCGTGCAGCTATCGAGTGTACGCTCAATCGGACTACGATCTCTTTGTTGGAGTCACGAACGCCATCTACACTGATGCCTACTCAGCGGAGCCTATCGTGGGTACGGTATACATTAATGTTATAGTGCTACTGTAGTGTGACAAAGGTTTACAATGCTTTTCTTCCAGGAATGCCAAATGCTATTGTTGCTCAAATCAACGGCATCTACAACAACATTCCGGATCAATTCCGTCTCTTCGCCGAGGTGATGATTGTATCAAATGAGGATGGAAACTACCACAAGCCGCTCTACTTCTCAAATGGTAATTTGAAATTGAATGAAAAGTGATATTTTCATCTTATCCAATGAAATCTAAGGCGTTTACCGTACCGGTTGTGGCTATCATCTCTACTTTGGAGTTACCGATTTCTGCGAGCGAGCCGGTCAAGTCTTCTATGCTATGGTAGGTTTAAAGCTTTGGATAAAAAATTTTAGATTGTTTAGCTTTATTGTGTACATACTGTTTTATAGTTACAGCAATCAACTCACTTTTCAGGTCTACGCCGACGATCCATTTGGTTACACCATTCAGCGAACAGCCGTTGGATACTGTGCTGGAAGTGAGTTGAGAAATAGCTGACAAGATGGATTTCGATTCGTTTTGCTAACTTTTACCATCCTAGGAGCTCCCACTCAACTCCCACCAACTTCTTGCATTAATGGAGGAGTGCCCGATCCGAACAACGCGACTCTCTGCTTGTGTCCTCCACTATACACAGGTTGGCTTTGTTTTCAGCAATTTCTAAACTCAATCTCCTTTCCAGGCCGATATTGTCAAGACTACAACTGTCAAAATGGAGCCATATACTCAAATGGTCTCTGTCAATGCCCGCCCGGCTTGGGTGGAACATTCTGCGAGCAGCGTAAGTGATACAAGATAGAAAATCGAAACAAAAGTTTTTAGAGCAATGCCTTGTCAGCAACATTGATCCTCCATTCACTCAAGATGGCCAATCGATGACATTCGTCGTTTCAACAATTCCATCAATGAACGCGGTAGGTGAAATTGAATGAACTAGTGTAGACAAAATGATTGCTTGATACCAAGAGTTGCACAACATCAAAAGAATTCTTATTCTGATTTTTATTTCTTATTGATCGTTGCTGAACCAAAGATTCAAATGCTCATTTAGACATGGCAAATGTTGGCAGCAAATGTGCAAGAGTTCGTCAAGGATATTCAATTACATTCGCCTAAATGGATCACTCGCTACAATCTCATCATCATCAATCAAAAAGGTAAAAGGATTTAAAACGATTAAAATAAACATATTCTGTTTAGAAGCTGTTTTGGTCTCACAAGCTACTCGAGCCTCGAACTTCGTGACCGCTATTCAAACGATCGCCTCGGATTTGACACCTTACTACAATGCTAGCATTACGGTGAGTTTTTCTAATAATATGGTAGAGTTCTGAAAAATTGCTTTGCTTTTTAGGATTGCAAAGTGTTGCTCGCGACGGGTATGCTGTTGGGAGTGCAAAATTCGATCCCCAAATCCTCTGTATTTATTTTCGCCGATTCTAATGCAGCTGATGAATCGAATCCAGTGTACGCCCAGTTGACAGCTCAAATCGAAGGAAATCAGATTCAAGTGAGTATTTTAGTTTCCTATTATTTAGCTGATATTTTGCTGTTGAAGTAGTTTTCTGTTGAAAAAAAAACAAAGGCTTTAAAGATCTAGAAATCCTTGACTATTTGTCCATTGAATTTGAGAAGTTTAAATTCAATTACTAACCATAAGACTTTGAGCTAAAGCTAAAGTTGTAAGCTAAAGACATTTAGAACTAAAAACAAAATTTGATTCTTAATCCAAGCTGACAATTTGTTATTACCCAAATTTCTAGGTGAATCTCATCGGAACCGTCGACCCATCGGTTCCCCTTTGTGGCACCTCAAATGGTTGGTTCGATCAGGCGATTCAAGATCTCGTCATTTTCTCGGCCGGATGGATGTACTCAACAAAAAATGTTCATCAAGTAGGCAATTTGATTAAATTTTTGGATAGATTCATTCACTTTTAGTTCTACAACTTCATCCTCACCGAGTACAGCAACGGAATCATTTTGGATCAATATGCTGATGTGAGGACTCGCGATAATCATTCAACTTTAGCCTAAAATTTTAGGACTGTACATCTCCCCAAATCTACTACTTGCCTGTTGACTCTGCAGCTCAATCAATGACCATTGTTGCCAATGGACTGAATGTTAATGTAAGTTTTGAGTTTGCGAGAGTACTTTTTGAATTTTGATTATTTGATTCAAATTTCATTTAGATTACGGTCACTCAACCAAACGGGAACAGTGCCCTAAACAGCAACTATGAGTTGAACATGATTCAAGAGGACTGGATGGTCATTGATCAGTATATGATTCGTAAGTACAAGAATACGACGCAGATTTTTGATGAGAATTTGTACTAATGCTGGATTTAACCAAAAAAAATTTTACTAATGCTGGATTTTTATATAATTTCTAATATCCTCTTGACAATTTTGGTATTCTAGTCGATTTTGCTAACAACCAGAAATTGTTTCAGCTTGCCCCAACACCGACTGGCAATATTTTGAGCGGAATTGCATGAATTTCATCTTGACAAGGATTGCTTTCCGTGATGCATCGAATCGGTGTCATGCGCTCGGCGGATGGATGGTCGATATCTACTATCAAGGGAAACAGGACTACGTTCAATGTTCGTTTTGATAGCCTTTACTTTGAGCTCAAACTTGGAAACACATCGCTTCCAGAGGATGATTTAGAGATATTGAGTGCACCAGATCATATATGTTTCCAAATTTGAGCATAAAGTGAGCCAAGACTTGTGTCAATAACTTGCTTTAGATCACACAAATGGGGCTGACAACTGGATCGGTTTGTACATGATTGGAACGACCTGGTACTGGGATGTGGACATCAACAATGACCCTGTTCCCTTGGTAATTGAATTTGTTCTAAAAAAATCAAACGATCTTTCTATTCTGTAATTCTAGACGCCCAACTCTTACTCAAACTGGAAAGACGGTGTGACGCCGACTGATCCAAGCATGGGATGTGCGGTGATGGGTAAAGATGGATTCTGGGCAGCTGTGGCTTGTACCGATAGTTATTACCCCGTTTGTCAACGACATCGATGTGAGTTTTAGTTTAGTACATTAGCAAGTACGGTTTAGTACAATTTACTTGTTATTCTTATCCTGAAAACTCAGCAAATGAACATTTGAGAGTAAAATCTGCTTTGATAAACCTAAAAAGAATAGACAAAGTAGACAAAGTTGATATTTTAATGTCTTACAAATACACTCAATACTCATTTCTTTTTTTAGATGGCCAAGAAGTGGTGCCCAACGACCCAACAACCAGTGCGTTTTCTTGAACAACCAGAATTGTGCGGCTAATTGAGCCAATTTTAGACCTTCTCCCAGCCGGTTTTTGGAAAGTCGCCGTGCAAGCATCGAATGGAAGTTGTGCCATTCAGGCTCGAGTCCAATCAACCATCCAATTGTACTTTGGATTTGTGCAAGACACGCACAGCGACTACCCCATGCTCTATGCTAACTCAAATGCTTGTGGGTTTTAGTTTAAGAGCAGAACATTGCACTTGTCACTTGAGAGCTCAAGACCAAACAAAGCCCTCGAATAGCTTAGCCTTTAAAATAAAAATCTTCAGTTAACATCTAGGATTACAAGATCCTTTAGCCAACAACTACTTCGCTGTGGGTGCCACCGGGTTGAATATGTTCCCCGATGATCGTCATCCATCAAATGAGGGGCGTCTTAATTACATCTACACTGGAAGCAATGGTTAATTTCTTTTCTTTCTTTAGAATTCGAATTTCTTTCTTTAGAATCCGCCTTCGATGCTCTAACCGTTGAGGATCGTGCCTCTTGCTCGTACCAGTACTTGTCACAGAATTTCAGCTGTCAGAGACGCGGTGCCTACTATCAACAATTCTTTGTTCGAGTGAGTATTCATTGTTTATCAATTTCACCCAATTCGTCAACCAAATTGCTTTTTTTCGATTGTGGGACATTTGAAAGGCGCCCCGCCCCGCCCATTTTGCGATTGGCGATCTAACTTTGAGCTTAAATATCTTGGTGTTGGGCTTTCCAATTTAAATATTCTTGGTATCATTAGATGCGTCAAGACTTTCTCTGTCGATTGGTACAAAAACTACTTAAACTGGATAGCCAAACACCAAGATATTTAAGCTCAAATTTAGATTGCCACTGGCAAAACGGGCGGGCGCGTATCAAATTTCCGATAATCTTTTTTCAGTTCTCCGGACTTGATCAATACGGCCACACCTTTGATCGTCTCATCTCAGCGTATTGTGGAATCTATCGTAAGTTTTTCAAACTTAATTCTCAGTGAATAGCATTTGTGACATTCGCTTCTTTAATCACTTCATTTTCTAGAAACTCGATGCGACAATGATGGCTACGAGTATCAGGGACAATGCATTTGCCAACCCGGATGGACAGGCAACAGATGCCAGGTACCGGTTTGCCTCAATGGTGGAGTCATCAATTCACTCACTAATAAATGCTCGTGCCCGACCGCCTACGGTGGACCAAATTGTCAATTTGGTGTGTATTTTAAGAACTTGAATGTCTAAGTGCCTACCATTTTAGCCTACTGTGAGCCACCGTATCCAGTGAGCTATGCAAGCACGAATCGAACATTGGCCATCGCTCTCGAGACGTCAACCCTTATGGCCACTTCCATCTATATGCTGAAGTGAGCTTAAAAATTAGCATCTATTGTTTAACAACATAACCTTTTAGACGCAACATCACCTCGGTCATCAACCAGATCACAAATGGTTCGGGAGTACCCCAATGGTGGGATAGCTACATTCTCTTCCCATTCGACTCAAGTAAGTTTGTGCTTAACACTTGAACAACTAATGCAACTCCGCAACTAATGATGTAGCTATATAACAATTTACATTAAGCATTCAAATTGTTATAGAAATCTCCTTTTATTCACCATTTCAGCCTCAAACAAAGCCTCGTGGTTCCCTCCGATCTACTCGAATAACTTCTCGGATATCGTTGCTGGATTGAACGCAATTCCTCGTGGATGTCCGAATAATACTTGTGATCAAACAAGTGAGTGAATTAGTTTTGTTATCAGCTTTTAAATTCATTACTTGATTTGTTAAGGTTAAAAACTGACCCATTTCCAGTCTGTCAACGTCCTTATCTCCGCATCATTGCCGATATCGTCGCTCATCCTTCATTTAGAAGTCCAAACTCGGTCAGTTCTACTTAAAGATTGTTAGAAAATAGTTGACTACTTGAAAATTTATCAATTGGACTTATCAAAAGTTTCTTTTCCAGGACATTTTGGTGATTTCAAGAGCCTCTCCAGAAGATTACAATCTCGAATCTCAAGTGATCGGTGCTATACAGGACAGTCGAGCGAGGGTTGGTTACAGGATTATTAATAATGCCTAAAAACCAATTAAGTTAAATCTCATAACTAAATTTCAGGTGTTCTTCTTGCTTGCTGGTGCTTCAACTCCTTGTAATGAGGGATGGAGTACGCCGGCGGTAACTGCAATGAACTATATCGCTTCGTACAGTCAAGGCGGAATATATCCGGTAGGTATTGGACTTGAGTTCAAAGAGTTGAAAATAAGTTAAGCCGAGCCATTACCATTACATTTCAAAAGATTTCGAAAAGAAAAACAAAGCTTGCGAAAAACAAAGCTGATCGTTGAGGCCATAGAACTATTCTTGACGTACTTTGTGGTGAAAACACAAGCTTTCTGACCCACTAGCTATAAATTTTCACTCACAATCAGTTTCATCAAACCTTAAGGTTAGAATTAGGTTACATTTTTGAACAGTTACTGATAGTGTGCTCCTCGTGAGTATCCGTTTTTTCCGTTTTTTAAAACGCACACTTGGGAAAAATTACCGTACTTTAAGCGAAAGTTATTGCAAAAGATCGCGGACATCGACTTATATAAGACTCCTTTTAAAGATATTCAGCAATTTAACTACTTTGGTGGGAAACCCCATCAAATGTAAAGATATTCTATTTACTCGACGTGTAAAGAGGATTACTCGTAGTTACTTGACCAAAAGCGTCGATTAAGCGAGTAAAAATTACTCATGCAAATTTTACTCAAGTAATTACTTACTTCGAAGGAGCACGTTCTAGTTACTGACGTAAGTTATGTTTTAGTATAAATATAGAAGCCTGTAGTAGAAGCTGTAGTTGACTCTGACATTGACACAATCTCTATTTTCAGCTCTCTCCAACAGAGATGGTGTTCAATTGGCTTGGTGTCTACTTCCCGGCCAGCTATCGATCAGGATGGGTGACGGGAGGAGCGGTGAAAGATGCCGATTGTTCGGACGCAGAATGGATCTTCCCGGTAGGGAAAGTTTAACTTTCAAAAAATGGGAATCAATTTAGGTTGAAAATTCGGCGACTCATCTCCTTATTGACTACTTCGGAAACACGAAAGCGATCTCATTGATTGCACCCGATGGAAATCAAGAAACCCTTCCGACAAGTCTTGTCACCTCAAGTACAAACTATTTGGGAGTGTTTCCGGTGGGTTTTTGAAATTACTTTAACTAATTCTATTGATTAATCTAAAAAATAGAAGTATTGAATATTCTAAAGTACCTTAGCTATAGTGTGCCTGGATAAAGACAGTAATCTCACTTTCACCTGTCAATTTAGCTACAAACGAATGGAGCGACCAAGGCTGGCAACTGGATCGTCAAAATCCAGGACCCTGACACACCGCAATGCAGTCTCGATCTTCGAGTTCGATCCGCTATCGAAATCTACCCAGCTTTTACGCAAGTAAGTCTTCTATTAGCTCACTGACTTCATTTTGCTTTAGTTGCATTCGATTTTTGACCTAATTTTAGCCCAGCGATCAATACAACGGAGCAACGAACGATAATGGACACTTCCAGCCGCTTATTGGTTAGAAATTTGAATCTCTTAGATAATTATCCTGCTGTACGATTATCAAGTTGTTTAGGAGAGCAAAATATTGTCTTGGCACACGAGAGTACATTCGGAGAAGGAGCCAGCATTCAATATGTGCAGGCAAGTTGAAAATTTTAAGGCTTAAATTATTTAATTTATTTTCAATTTTTATTAAAGGCTTTTAAGGCTTTAAATTTTATACACTGTACAATACTGTAGAGTACAGTAACTTGTCCATTTCTAAAATCTCATTCTAGATCGTTGTCCCAAATCGTGGCCTTTATTTCACATCGGAGATGGCTCTTCGAAGCGATAGTTGCGGCTATGAGTACTACTCAACGAAAGCCTTTGAGTGCTATATGGAGGTAAATTTGTTGTAATATTATTGTACTTCTTTGCTAATTTCACCCTTCAGAACTTCTGGGTGATCTTCTATGGTACGGATATGCGTGGAGCTCCGCTGAATCGAATGTTTGTCACGCATTGTATCTCGAATCGGCCAACACCACCTCGTGAGTTAGAAAAGAGACTGAATGATAATTAAATCCTATAAGTTATGTATAACTAACATAGTATAGACGTACGTATTTAGTCACTAGACGTACTCCAAACTGTTCTTTGTACGTACTTTGTGAAAACATACCTGTTTGGCACAGTTGATTCTTCCTTAGCTGAGAATGAAATTACTGAATCGAGTGTGCCAGAAGGGGTGCATTTTCACACAGTATAAAGTACATAAAAGTATAAAACCTTTTAGCCCCTCCACCATTCTGTGACATTACTCAAACTCTCAACGACATCGTTTTCATGGTTGACGGATCAGTTGCAGCCAGTAAAGTCTTCGGCACAGTAAGAAGTCAATTGGGTAATTAAACCAAAATCTTTTTAGTTCAAACTCTTCATGGACTACGTGGCAAGAGGATACAGTATTTCTTCGACATCCACTCAAATCGGCGCCTTCTCTTTCTCCAATACAGCTGTGAGTTTTTATTATTGGTAAAAAATAGTAACAGTACTGCTTTGCTTGAAAATAATCAAATTTTATCTTGCATAGAGTTTAAAAATCAGTTCACTTATCTAGGGTGGAGCAAGCGCTTTCTTGTTGAATGTAGCTCCCGACCAGACTTCTCTCACCCAGAAACTTTTGTCTCTTTCGAATGACGGCCAAGCTGGACAAAATATCACCAGGTGGGGGAATTTGCGGCTTTCTGGAATCCTGAAAATATTGTATAAGAGTTGTGCACTGGTGCAAATCAAGTTAATTGTTTTGAGCATTCTTTTGATAAAGTAAACTCATAGCACTCGAACTTGACCGGTGCTTTTAACATTATAAGATCAAATACTCTAAAGCTGTGTTTGTTTTATTTGGCTTAACGATAATTTTTTAGTGCTATCAACTACGTGCAGCAGTACACGGCACAGGGCAGCGGTTATCGAGTGAGCAGTCAAGTGAAACATCTCGTCGTTTATGTGACCGCTAGCACGAGGTGGGTTTGGACTTGTTGATAGTGAGCTGTAAGCAATATATTCTTGAAATCAGATAAATTACTCATTTTTTAGCTACACTGATGGTGGCCTTGATCCAAAGGCGGCTGTTCAGAGCATGGTTCGCGGTGGATCATTCGGTTTTGCGGTCGTTTCTCTTGGATTCTCGGTAAGTAAAGCAATAAACGCAAAATTTTCTTTATAAAACAATTTAGCATTGTACAATTTGTAATAACTATATTTTTACAAGTCCTACAATGCTCATAATTTTTTTAGGACGCACCCGATTGGTTGGTGTCTCTTGCCGGGCCCGGATGCTCGTACTTTACCAACGATGAAAACGATTTCGCGACGAATGCCGGAAATTTGATTCAATCCATCTCGTGCTAGTGAGTTTCAGAATTATAATCTTATTTACTGTCCATATCACCGTACTAAGCTGATTTCTTATTAGCTTCATAGTAAATCCTTTATCAATCACTTTCAGCCGTCAAAACATCTGCAATGTGCAGTAAAGCCCATCTCACTAACAAAAAGAACTTTTTTGATATAAAATAAACATTTATTCATATACATTGCTTCATTTTATGACCGATAAAAGCAAAATTTTATATAAAAAGAGCGAAATAGTTGATTATTCACATACTAAAGTTTTCGCTTCCAGTTGACTTCCTAAAAGAATTCGGAAAAAGAGAGTTGACGCTAAAAAAAGACAGCAAAAATTTATTGTTTTTTGAGGTTATTAGAATTTCATTGTGAGTTCCTTATTACTTGAATAATGAAAAGAGAAAGTTATCTTTTTGTTACAAGACTTGTTCTGATCTCCAGAGTGTACTCTGCGCTTAAAGTCGCGACGCATCAAGATCATCCTTTTCTGCAGCATCAAGATCTTTATTTTATTCCGGATTTGATCAAAATCTCCTTTTAGAATTAGAACAAGTGCTCATTTTTCTAGGCACTATTCAGGACTCCTAGCTTTGTTCTAGGAAATAAAGTCTATGAAATTTTGAATTGATTTTAATCACCACGTTTTATTCTTGAAGAATTATATATCGAAAAATCTAGATACGCTAAACTACTCGAAAAATCACTCATCATTTCCTTGTCTTTTCTTTAAGGCAAATAAATGGTGGTGTTTCCCTTATACATACGTTTATGCCTTTTTTTTCGCGGAATATGATTCGATTCGGTGAGTTGGTCTAAAAAGGGAAAAGAAGAAAAACCCTTCCACCTACTCAAATTTGAATGAGTCGGAGAAAAGGAGGAAAAAAGAGCGACTTTTAGACTTTAATATAAGCTTTTCAGCTAAAGGCCTTTTGGCTTTTAAGGGATTCGCTTTTTCTCTGAAAATCTGTCAGAGGGGCCATTTTCACTAGCCAATTCGTTTCCATCATCAAACGTTCAACGAATGTTTTTTCGAATCAAATGAAACCTTCCGGGAAATGTTAGTGGAACGTTTGAAAGCTGGATCTTCTTGGAAACTTGGAATTTAACTTTTAGTTTTCAAAATCTTCAAGCTAAATCTCGAGTTGAAATCTAAAGTTTACTTTTTTACTTTTTTAATTGACTTTTATAGGTTTATTGATCTTGTGAATAAAAAGCTACCAAATATCCAAATTTGGATTAATTTATCAGAAGTTTATTGGCTACTTGATTACTTGATTACGGTACTCTTTCTAAAAGGCTATCAGCTTATCGTAATCAAGCCTTTTAGATTACTCTTCTTCAAAAGTACCGTAATCAAGCTACCAATTTCTTTATCCAATCAGCCCAATCAGGATCATTTGATGAAAGATTAAAAAGATCAGTCAAGCTTGACAGTTTGAATACGTGGATGTAGATGCCTTTTAGAACAACATTTAGATGCCTTCTATGTAGATGTAGATCTATGTAGATACCTTTTAGAACAGCATTTAGATGCCTTCTATGTAGATGTAGATCTATGTATATGTATACTTCTATGTAGATGCCTTTTAGAAAAGCATTTCCTAATCTCTCTTGTTTCAGTTTCAAAATTTCAGATATTTAAAAGGATTTCTATTTTTCAAAATCCAACAAAATTACAAATTCAAGCTTTTTGCTGATTCTTTGATTTTAAATCCTCGGAATTCCCCTTTCAATCCATTCATTCATTATTAAACGCCGAATTTTTGCCTCTCATGGCTAGACTCAATTGTGCCCAAGCACGAGATTTTGATTCTAAGAACAATTTTCTAGGTCTTAAAAATCAAAACTTTAATTTCTATAGATTTCCGGGTCTTTTGTCTTCTGTTTTGTTTTTTCTTCACACGAAACATTGAAAGACAAGACATTTGTCTGCACCAAAAAGGTCATTTCCTCGAAAAGTCTTTGATGGATAGCTGTGGGAGGAATTTTTCACGAAAAAGCTTTCAAGAGGGATTTTGGGAAAAGAACAATCAGGATCGGCAATGTTTATACAAAAAAAAACACAATTTTTCATATTTTTGCTTTCCCTTCAAAGATATATTTGTCAAATGTTTTGCTTTATGTACACTTGGTGCTTTATGTACACTTGGTGCTTTATGTACACTTGGTGCTTTATGTACACTTGGTGCTTTATGTACACTTTGGGCTATACACTTTGTGCTATGACACTTTGTGCTTTATGTACACTTTGTGCTTTATCCATTTGTGCTTTATGTACACTTTGTGCTTTATGTACACTTGGTGCTTTATGTACACTTTGTGCTTTATGTACACTTTGTGCTTTATGTACACTTTAAATTGTAGAAACGAACTCTTTCTGGTTCACTATCAGCTACCTCAACAGTTTTCATTTTCAAAAACATTGAAGCCACTCCTTAACTGTAGAAAGAAAGATTGAGTAAGCCAGAAAGGGTGCGTTTCCATCGTCCAAATAGAAATGAAAGGGCCAAACTCCGAATTTCACTTTCAACGCTGATTTTAGCTCTTAAATAGGCAGCTCACATTCACAGCAAGCGATTAAGATTCAGCTAAAAGCAAGCGAAAGTTTCACCAGACCTTTACCAGCTCTTATTCCCCAAAATTTTTCAATTACCAGCAATTTGGCAGTATTCTTCCCCAAAAATCCCTCTTTTTCCCCAATTCTCGTAACTAATTTTGTGTGTTTATTCGCCCTATTTGGCAGCTCTTTCCCTTCTTTTTTGGGGAATAATTAGAAAAGCTTTTCGCCTCCGTTTGTTTCAAATTTTCGGGCACATCAACACTTTTTTTTTGGGTCTCTTAATCGGTTTTGTGTGGGTGCTTTAGAAATTTACATTTTTTTTTGCAAATAAACTGTTTTGTTATTGGGGAATTTTTTAGATTACCCAATATTTTGACCAAATTTTCTCTCAAGTCGATTTGCTCAACCACTGCACATTTCGATGATGAACTTTGTTGGGAATCCACAAGGGGTGAATGCTTCTCTAAGAATTTTACTATAAAGTTTTAGCTGAAGATTAATCCAAATCGAGCGACAAGTGTTGAAGGTTGGTTTGTCTGGATTAGTCGTTTTAAAATCATGTTAGAGATAAGCCAAAAGCTAGGCCTTGGTTTGACCCTTTTGACCTTGACAAGTCTGCTTTTACTCCAGAATTGGTCCACAAAAAGCACTTGAGCAAGCCAAAAGTCAGTCTTGAACTTGGCTTTTAGATGCTTCAAGGTCTTTTGCAGGCCAAGCTTGCGGTAAAAGCTGCTCAAAATTCTAGATGACCTTGCTGGGTCTATCTGCCTGTTTTTACAATAGTTGTCAAATACTGCAATTGCCAAATACAAGTACAGCTTATTGGGCAACTCAGTTACTCATTCATTATCACCAAACAATTCTATAATATCAAAAAATTCAGACTACAAGAAAGCTTTCGATTTCTTCGATGCCAACAATGATGGCTATATCACAGCCGACGAATTGGAGGCAGCGATGAACAAATGTGGACAATATCCAAGCAAACTGGAGTTGCGATTGATCATGCATCATGGGGACAATGATAGTTCGTTTTTGGATTTCAATTCTTTTTCTCAATGTTAAGCTATTAAAGCTTTCTCCTCAGAAAAATGTGTTTGCATTCTTTGGTGTTTTAGGTGGATTTTCGAGGGGTTTTCTTCGTGTCGGAGAATGAATGGCTGGCTATTCATTGGGCATCTCAAGACCCATCATAAACTATCAAGAATACCCATCTATTCTATTCAATTCAAATACCTCAGAAAGGGTCTAGACGTGTTCTTCTGCATAAATTTTATAAACAAGCTTTGAATTTAGTTTTTAAGAATACTGTAAAAAGTCTAGCTTTAGCTAAAGTATACCTAAAGACAGCTTAAAAGCCAAAAGCTTTGCTTTGGCTTTTGCTTTTGCTAAGGATCTAAAGTTTTCGATAATCTTATGAATATATTGTTTCAAAATCATCGATCTAACTCTTTTTTCACATAAAATTGACAAAAACTTCTCCAGACTCCACTTACTCTTTCATTCTTTACCCAATTTGCATGCGTCAACCTCGATTCTTTTCGATGGACTCAAGAAAAGTCTTTCTTTTTTTTTCTTTCTTAAGCTTTTATGTAGAGAAAGACGTTTGAGTAAAGCACTCAACACAGAGAGCTCTTTTGAAGATTTTACGCTAATTTTTCTCTTTTCTCTTTTCTAAGCCCTTTTGTTATTGCAAATCCTTTTAAAAAGAGGAAAAATTGGTCTTTGAAATATAGAAGTAAATCTTGAGCATTAAAAAATGAAGTAGTACCCAGTTAAAGACTTCATTTTGCTTCAAATCTTGTGATAGTAAGAGAAATTTGTGAAATTTGCTAGTTTGAATTAAATTTTAAAATATTTCTTTATAACTCACAATCAATAATAGCATATGGATTCTGATTCAGAGCTCATTTGAAAGCTTGAAAGCTGAATAACAAATGGATTCTGATTCAGAGCTCATTTTATATCAAGATTTCTAAATAAACTTCTAGACAATGAAAAGCCTCGTATTCCATAAATCTTTATCTGTTTATTAGTTCATAAATTTAGATCTCTGAAAAACACTTTATTAGAAAATTCCAGAAAACGGAGTGATCACTTTCGACGAATTCGCGCACTTGATGAGCGGCTCGACTACACGAAACAAGTACACCTATGCTCAATTGCAAGAACAATTTCAAATGTTTGATAAGGTGAGGCTATTTCATGGAAAGAACTGTACTTAAAGAACAGTTTAGGACAAAGACGGGTACATCGAGAAGCAAGAGATGATCGAGATCGTTCGCGAGTTGGCGCTGAGCTCATCATTTCCGCGAAACGTCATTGAGCAAATGTTCAAAGAAGCGGATGTTGATGGGGATGGGAAAATTTCATTTGAAGGTTAGATCTATCAGCATCTTTGTGACTCTAGTAAACTAGTCCATTTACCTCTTCCTAGGTTTTTAGTGCCCAGCTTCTTAAAATTCCTTGCGGTAGCAAGTCCTTGGGATGAATCAAAAAATTCCGGTACTTTGAATCCAACAGTAGATCAAAAAAATCACCAGCTTATAGAAAATTACGTGCAAAATGGGCATAAAGGCTCGAAATTATGAGAAAACTTGCAGAAATTGGCTACAGTGCTCTATAGTACCACGGTGACATCAGTTCAGTGACTTTCACTGCTTCAGTTCTTTGCAGACCCTACGGATAAATTCCTTGGGATGAATCAAAAAAATTCCCGGCAGCGCCCTGTGCACCATTGACGGCACTTGGGATCCAAGATTGGCCCCTGGAGAAAACTCACATGTACCCACACCAAAATTGGTTACGGCTTTAAAATCTGCTTCTTGGGGTTGTGTTACTTCAATGAGGTTTATAACTGAATTAGTTCCCAGACTGACTCATCGGCCCACATCCCCATGAGAGAACCACTTACCGCGGGTATAGGGGGAAGACGTTGATCGGACGAGCGATTATGCGCGCACACAGAGAACACCTAAGAGGTCTTTACACAGTGTAGCTTTTGCTCTGAAACTTGATTTGATTTAAGATGTTCCAGATGTGATTTAAGGTAAAAAAATTGTACTCTGGTGTTTCAGGGTTGGGGAATCGATTGGGGTTGCTTATCGTATCTGTAATCAAAAAAAACGCTTTTAGAGTTCGTCCTTGCTGTCAACTGACTCAAAACATTGAGCATTTATCGAAAAACTTTCAATATGACACAACACTTTTGATTTCGTTTTTTTTGTAATCACTTTTACTCTCCATTTTTGAATTGTGTAAATAAATATACAAAAGCTTTTAAACATCTTGTGGTTTTGGTTGAAAATCCCTTTCAAGTGGTTGCTCATCATTTGGAACACGTGACAAATTTGAGTATTGAAGCTGAAAAGGGGATTGAGTTATTTTGAAATTTAAAAGGGTACACTTTTTTATGCCACCGTAAAATAGCTTTGTTGCTTTGAGTTTTTAAAGTTTTTCTCACGTTAAGGCCAGATTTTGGTCGCAACAGGTTCATCAATTTGCCGGAAGTGACAAGATAATAGAAAGTGAAACAGATCATTGAAACCAATAAGAGCAAAACAAATGCTTGCAAAAAGCGACCACCTAAAATTAAACCAAACAACTAATCCAAAGTTGTCATTTAAACCAAAATAATGCCTTTTAGAATTGCTCTTGAGTTTACAAAAGATTCATAAACAAACCTTGATGCTTTCTTCTGATATTCTTGCAAACTTCCGATTGTTGAACAGCCGGGAGTGGCTTTCCTTCGACTTTTTCTGGGTATTTACATCTAAAGGGCTATTGTTTCACTAATTGCAAGTCAAAATCCACTTTGGCATAAGATTCTCTTGATTAAAAGCATAATATTCTTCCTCGAGAAGCCATGTCGTGTCACAAGAGCAGTTCACGGGGTTCTCTGTCATCAGCAGTTCTATGTTTTCACCCTAAAATTCAATGTCGATACTTGATTTAGTAAATGAACTATGGTTTATAACAAAATAATGTCTTAAGTTCTATTCTTGACATAGTCTACCCTAAACTAAACTGGTATTGTCCGTACATTAAGCTTAAGAACATGGTCTCTATTACCGACACACCCAAGGAAGCGTCTCCTCATGCAGAATCGACACATTACATTGGGTGAGGTCAATCTTCTTCATATTTTTTGCCTAAATATCTAGCTGCAATCCTTCAAAACAGACTATTGACCTTTGTTCCTTTCACATATCCGAAAGCATTCTTATTAATGTTCCACAAGTGGGTCGAGTTTGAGAGGTAAATTTCCTAAAAGGTTAGCTTCTTTTTGTTTAAATGATCGTTTAGATGATTTTTTTTTGGTTTAGAAAGATATTTAGTTTACCTCTAAAGTGGGAATATCGCAGAAAGAACAATCATCGAGACTCCACAAATATCTCATGTTTTCGGCGCGAAGAACCTGAAGTGCAAAGCCAATTGTAAGCCAATCGCTTGGGAAAATGATCCAAAATTTTGGTTTGTTTAAAAGTTTAAAGATATAAAACTTTGAAATTTTCTTATCCCAAGATTTACTTTGAGACTCTGATCATCCATGAAAGATTTCTCGTGGAATTCTGAAATCCTTGTATTTGAGAGATCAAGCAGCTCCAGATTCGGCAACTTTTGAATGGCTCTTGGCACTTCGGTGAAGTGGTTTCCACGCAATGAAAGGACACGAAGTTTTCTGAAATTTTTACCTTAGATTTTAAAACTTCAAATCTTCAAATTCAAATGTTTTTGATCTAGCTTCACTCACGGAATCTTATCAAAAACGTTCACATCAAAGTTCTTGTCTCCCAAATTGCAAAAGTCCATTGAGAGTTCCTCAAGATTTTCCAATCCCTCGAATAATTCACTGGTAACTTTGATCTTATTGTAATCGAGAACCTGAAATGAAAGCAAGAATTGCAAATCAATTATTTTGCAATTATTTTACCAATCTCTTCAAGTTCTTCAACAAAGAGAATGGCTTTTCAAGTAAACTCGTGAAACGATTTTGGTTCAAGAATAGTTGGTGGAGTTGTTCTTCGGGAGCGCCCTTGAAAACGTTTCTGAAAGTTACAGGGATCATAAAGGCAGTTTTGAGCAAATTTTAAACATTTAGGGGTGCAATCATTGGTAGCAAGATTATTGTAATTAACATCACTCCAGTTCTCTTTCAAGAATAAATCTCTCACTTGTCTAGCTTCTTCAAATTGTTCCCTTCCAATCTCAAGACACTCATATTCTTGAAATTGTAGAAAGCTTCATTTTTGATCTCTTGCACTTTATTCCTTGAAAGATCCACTTCTCTAACATTTTCAACCATTTCAGGAATGATTTTATCCTAAACAAAAATACTGTTGGATAAAAGTTGAAACAAGAACCTTTTCCAAGTAATAGAAAGTGTTGTCTCTTGCACGGAAGGTGTAAGCGATGAAGTCTTTGTTTACCGAGTGCAACATCAACGTGTCTAATTTGCTGTTATCCTCGAAAAGGACCTGGAATTATATCCAGAATCGATCCAGTTCGTTAGATCAATCAGATTGCTTACAATTCCAGAGCCAAGAAGCCAAAGCTTTAGTTAGCTTAAGCAATCTAGTAAATTGAGAATTCTGTTGTGCGCTTTGTGTTCTAAAATGTAAACACATTGCTACTCAACTGACCAGTGTAGCAGAAAGGGTGTGTTTATGCTTTTAAGCTCAAAGTACATCTAAAGAATCAAGCTTTGTTCAGCTTATCAACTCACATTATCACAAGTGATATCATTCATCTCACAATGACATGCGTCCCCATCATCATCATCATAATCATCATCAAGTGTGTCAGTTTCTTTCTTCTCATCACTTTCTTTTACTTGGCTATCTTTTTCCGAATTCTTTTTCTTTTCAGCCTCCTTTTTCGGCTTTGGAGGTGTTTGACAGATTGGGTAGGGTTTCTGAAAAATGAAAGATAAGATGAACTATCAAAGTTTTTGAAAGATCCTCTTAACCAACATTTTCATCATCATCTACTTCTTCCTCTTGTTTTGCCTTTTTCTTTCCTTTCTTCACTTGTCTTTTTGGTTCATCAACGGGTTCATCTTCTTCATCAGTCTCATCTTTGTGTAACTAAAAGTTTATAAGTTAAAACTACTACCTGAAGTGCTCGAAATCTGACAGGTATTTCCCAGGCATCGGTCATAAAACACTCTAATCCATTTAATCTAATCATCCAGCTTAGTTCAGAGAAAAGATTGCCGTGAAAAACACAATCAATTCCTAACTAATACTTATCTATTAGGTACTACGGAAAATAACCGTGTTTTTTTCTATCAATTATTTCGGGCCTTGTTTCTGGGTTTTTTCAGTACGGATTCCTTTAGAATTTTTTAACGAAAAATTGTTGATAGCTTTCTTTCGCAATGCCGTAAAAATCTAGATAAGGCTCAAGATAAGGAGGATAGACAAATGACAAATTCGGACGATTTTTTTTTGTATAAGTTCAAGCTTGGACGTAGCGCAACGGTTGCGGTCGAAAACATGAATCGCGCATTTAGTCATGAGACTACTTCTATTAGGACTGCTCAAGTTTGGTTCTAACGATTCGGGGAAGGAGACGAGGATCTTGCTGACAAATAGGATCGTGGTCGTCCAAGACTCATTGATGATGATGATTTAAGACAAAGTTGTCCAAGCCACTCTGCGGACTACTGAACCAAAACTAACAAAACACTTCAATGTAGGAATTTCGACCATAAGTGATCACTTGAAGGATATCGGAAAGGTTAAAAAACTGGAGAAGTGGATACCTCATCAGTTGGACGACCGCCAGAAGTTTATACACTTTCTTCCTTCGTTGAAATCTCGGATCCATTTTTGGAACGGCTGATCACGCGCAATGACAAGTGGATGCTATATGGCAATTGAAAACGAAATTCAGTGTAACTAGACAAAGATCTTTTTTCGACAAAAAAGACAAATTTCGGAAGAATAGAGATCTTTTTTGAACCGGCTGATCACGTGCGATGAAAATTGGATACTATATGACAAGCGAAAACGAAAGGAGAAGGAGAAGACAAAGGAGAAGCACCTCATTTATTCCCGAAACTCGATCTTCATCCAAAGAAGGTGATGCTCTCTGTTTGGTGGGCTGCAAAAATTATGGGATTTTTTGCCATTCATTATACTTTGCTCAAAACGGGAGAAAGTATAAATTTAGACATTTATATTGAACAAATTGAAGAAATGTATTCAAAATTGAGGAATTTGGGGTCTTTGGTCAATCGAAAGGGACAATTCTGCTGCAGGACAATGCCAGCCACAATCTATGTCTTTGAAGACCCTAAATTGCTTGCAAAGTTTGGGGATCGAAGTTCTTTCTCATCTACCGTATTCACATGATCTTTACAGATTATCACTTTTTCAAGCATCTCGAGCGTCACATCGTAGACAAAATGGTCAAGAACGAAACAGAGGTGAAAAAGGCTATCGAAGACTTCATCGCCTCTAGACAACTCGACTTTTTTGCCGAAACTACTCATTGGCATCGAAAAACTACTCGTTGGCAAAAATGTATTGTTTCTAATGGTTATTATTTTAATTAATTTGATTGTTACTTAATAAAAAAAAATTTGACAATTGAAAATCATTAAGAAAAACGCAATTATTTTCCGTAATACCTAATAGCTCATAATTTTACTCAATTTTTTTATGCTTTCGCAAAAAGCAATTCAAAATGCTGGAATCGGCGAGAACTCTATCAAAAATTATGGGATGTGTTGTCAAGGAGACATAGCTACTTTTCACCCGAGAAATTCCGAAATTTTTTTTTTAGAAATTCCGAAATTTCCGGGAATTTAAAATTCTATTTTGAAAGTTTTAAATTTTTTTTAACTTTAGATCTTTTTTGAAGTTCTAATGTTAAGTGTGAACCTTTTTATTCTTCGATGCTCCTCGTTTGCTTGGTGGTTTCACCGCCTCTTCAACACTTTGATCCTCGTCCTCTTCAGCTATTGCTGTCTTGTCCTTAATTTGAATTTGATTAGACTTTTTGCATTTTAGTCACATTGCAGTCACGCTTTAATATCCTTTTTAACTTTAGCATTAGCTAATTGTTTTTTCATCTTTTCATACCCTTTTTAATCTAATCACCAACTTGCACTTTTCGTCGAGCATTATCGAAGGCTTCAACGAGAACGGTGACACAAATTAAAGACAAGAGGAATAGCACCCATATCCTCATTTCCTGAAGTCGATTGTAAATTTGTATTAGAGAAGCAAGCAATGTTGAAGCTAAGAAGAGTCTAATGAAGAAATTGATGAGGTTTAACCGTAGCTAACAAACGTTGTTATTCTTAAACAAGGAAAAATCAATTTTAAGTTCAACTAGGTCAGCGTCAGAACGCGAAAATATGATTAGCTTTTGAAATTTTGAAGTAGAAAGATAACAGGGTAATCACTTTTTGAATGACAGCTTCTAAAAACCGGAGAGTTGGGAGTTCTTTGTTAGAAGAATTCAAAGTTAAGAACTGATCAAGGCAGATGAATCAGACAAAAATAAAGGTTTCTGGGTCAGTTTAAGATTATATTGCTGTCCAGAAAGTCTTTTCATTTCTTTTCGTACTTTCGTTTAAAATCAACAAATGTTTCATTGTTTCATTAGAAAGGGTAATTATTTCTCTGCAAAATAATATTAAAATGGGTTTAAAATGTCTTATGTCTGGATTTTTTTGGGACCATGATGTCGAGTAGTCAAAAATGATGGCTTGATGATGCGGTTTAGGCACTTTAGCTAAGGAAACGTATCTTGATGTCAATAGATAAAAAATAGAGCACAAATGTTTGGTATATAGCCAAATTTACAGAGAAATTCATTTAGCCAATTTCCTCTTAGAGGTTTTTATAGATTTTTATGAAAAACACGTGTCTTCACTCTCGAATTTGCTTGAAAGTGAACCGAAATTGACTTAAAAAGATGGGAATTTGAATAATAAACACTTTTTATTTAGAGAAAACCATAGGTTAATCGATGAATTTGTTATTTTTTAACGAAAGTATGAAAAGGAACGAAAAGACTTTCTGGACAACCTACCGTAAATACTGTAATAGTTTAACAGACAGCTTTCTAGCGAACTCTTCCACTATTAGTAAGAGCTTTTTAAACTTACCGTAAATACTGTAATAGTACCCCACCCCCCTCGTACAGTCGGGTAGTCGCAAAAGTTTTTTAGTATTTCATTTTTTTCAAAGCGCCCGTACTCTCAAAAAATGCGTCTTTGGTATCAAAAAATAGCCCTGAATTCCAGCTATTTTTGATACAGTCATGGACAAAAGTCTTTACCCCTACCGAGGTCAGCTTTTAAAACGCAAAATTTTTCAACTTTTTAACAAGTTTTAAAAATTGTCTTCAAAGTATTTTGTAGCATTTTTACTCTAGTTTTTATATCCCCTAAACCAAAAGAAACAACGATTTATTTTAGGCAACAAAGAACGACGTTAACAAAAAAAACCCTCAAAACAGGTGGACAAAAGTCTTTACCCCTCGAACAAAAAGTGAGAAAAAACCGAGTATTTTCATATTTGGTAGGGCTTCCTTTTGATGAAATTATTGCTTGAATCCTTCTCGGCATCAAGTCGACCAAATCCTGTAAAATTTGAGGACCGATCTTTGTCCAGACGTGTCGAATGAAGTACCATAGCTCAATCTTGGTATTGAAGCGTTTTCCCTTCAATTTCAGCTTCAAAAACGCCCACAAATGTTCGAAACGTTCAAATCCGGACTGTAGGGAGGAGCAGATACGAGCTGAACTCCATTCGATCGGAACCACCGGGTAGACGAGCTCTACCACCGTTGGCAAGGCGAACAACTCGTCCCATAGCAGTTGCGACTTGTGGCATGGAGCGTTGTCCTGGTACAGCAACCATCCTTGTCCAATTTTTGTGGTCGCAAATGGAAGAAGATCGTTCTCCAAAATCGTCTTGTATCGTTGAGCGTCCAAAGTTGAATTGAGAAGAACGAGCGGACCTGGTGAACTTCTAGTCATCGCTCGTGAAAAAAACAAAGGCAAAAGAAAAAGTTCTTACCCCCAACATGATTGATCCGCCACCAAATTTGACTGTCGCACGAAGGTACTTGGTGCTATACCGTTGTCCGACAGGTCTCCGGATCAAATGATTGCCGTCGGGATTGAAAAGGTTGATCTTCGATTCATCGGTGAAGATGACATTGGCCCAGCTTGTCCAACTTTCATACTTCTCGGCAAAGTCGAGTCGAATCTTCCGGTGTTTGGCGACCATCAGGGGCTTCTTGGTAGGTCTTCTAGTCATCAATCTTGCATGAATCAAACGTCTGCTTACTGTCTTTCGATTGATGTCCTTGCTAAATTGATGCTTGATTAATTTGACTCCATCGGAAGCATTAAGATTTGGATCCTTTTGTGGGCCAAAATTAGAACCTTGTCTTCTCTTGGTGTTGTGACGGGTGAACGACCTGTTTTGAATGCTCGGTGAAGAATTCCAGTCATTTTTTCTTTCTTGCAAAGCTTTTTCACCGTTTCGGGGCTGCATTTGAATACGCTCGCAACATCCTTTACTTTGTCGCCTCGTTTCCTTGTTTCCATAATCCTTTCTTTGTCGGAAGTGGTCAGATAGGCTCCAGGCATCACTAGAATTAAAAATAATAAAGCATTGTTATGTGAAAAATAACGAAACAACAGCAAGAAAAAAGTTGAAAAGGGGAAAGACTTTGTCCACCTGTTTTGAGGGTTTTTGTTAAGTCGTTCTTTGTTGCCAAAATAAATCGTTGTTTTTTGGTTATGGGATATAAAAACTAGAGTAAAAATGCTACAAAATACTTTGAAAACAATTTTTAAAACTTGTTAAAAAGTTGAAAAATTTTGCGTTTTAAAAGCTGACCTCGGTAGGGGTAAAGACTTTTGTCCATGACTGTACCTAAGCGCGCATTGCAGCTTAAACCAGTGTCGAGAAAAACGCGTTCAAAGCTAGACTACGCAACGCTCCGCACCGTCATTATGGGGGTGGGGTACTATTACAGTAATATAATTCATCTTGGAAATGCTTTTAGGCAACTTTTAAAGATTGAAGATACAATAAGCTTTTGAACAAAAGGTATATTTAAAGAATTAAGCGGATTATAGTAAAACAAGCTTATTATCGATCGATTTTTCGAACATTGGAAAAGCCGTGAGTGGCAGCGTTTAAAACGATTCGAAAAAGAGGAATGGGATGAAATGTACACACAAATATGGCACTGATAACCCTTTCCTTTTTCGAACCTCGGAAAAGCTTTTGAAGCCTTGTATTGACTTTGTTGATACCCCAGTCTAAGGAAAACTCAATAAGCTGCGATTTGAAAAATTCAGTACTGTAAGTTTACAGGTTTTTATCAATCACTTCACTAAAAGAGCAAAACTACAAAAGATTTTGTTCAATTTAAAGTTAAAAGCCCAGAAATTGATTAAATTGTGAATTGCAAGGCATATGGTTTTTGATTTTAAGGAATTCAACCTTTTTTTTGAATAAAAACGAACATCCGACTATTAACTTGTGTAATAAAATGTAAATTTGATTATATTCTAATTGTTATTTTCAAAATAAACCTGGTTTTTTTAGCTTGTGTGCCAGACAAGATTTGTTTCCACTACTTTAGAGTATTTTAATCGGGTTCATAAGTTCATAAGTTTATTTTATTTCAAACTGATCTCCCAGATCTTCATTTAAACTTTGCCTGGATTTTTAATAATTCTGTTTGATTTTCTATTAACAAGTATTTTAACTGGAAACAAAAGTGTTTTGGGTAACCCATAAAATTTATTCTTTTTGGAAGACGGCGCTGAAGCTTTTCTTTATCCCAAGTTTTACTTTGAGACTCTGATCATCCATGAAAGATTTCTCGTGGAATTCTGAAATGCTTGTATTTGAGAGATCAAGCAGCTCCAGATTCGGCAACTTTTGAATGGCTCTTGGCACTTCGGTGAATTGGTTTCCACGCAATGAAAGGACACGGAGTTTTCTGAAATTTTTACCTTAGATTTTAAAACTTCAAATCGTCAAATTCATATGTTTTTGATCTAGCTTCACTCACGGAATCTTATCAAAAACGTTCACATCAAAGTTCTTGTCTCCCAAATGGCAAAAATCCATTGAGAGTTCCTCAAGATTTTCCAATCCCTCGAATAAATCACTGGTGACTTTGATCTTATTGTAATCGAGAACCTGAAATGAAATCAAGAATTGCAAATAAATTATTTTGCAATTATTTTACCAATATCTTCAAGTTCTTCAACAAAGAGAATGGCTTTTCAAGTAAATTCGTGAAACGATTTTGGTTCAAGAATAGTTGGTGGAGTTGTTCTTCGGGAGCGCCCTTGAAAACGTTTCTGAAAGTTACAGGGATCATAAAGGCAGTTTTGAGCAAATTTTAAACATTTAGGGATGCAATCATTGGTAGCAAGATTATTGTAATTAACATCACTCCAGTTCTCTTTCAAGAATAAATCTCTCACTTGTCTAGCTTCTTCAAATTGTTCCCTTCCAAACTCAAGACACTCATATTCTTGAAATTGTAGAAAGCTTCATTTTTGATCTCTTTCACTCTATTCCTTGAAAGATCCACTTCACTAACACTTTCAACCATTCCAGGAATGATTTTATCCTAAACAAAAATACTGTTGGATAAAAGTTGAAACAAGAACCTTTTCCAAGTAATAGAAAGTGTTGTCTCTTGCACGAAAGGTGTAAGCGATGAAGTCTTTGTTTACCGAGTGCAACATCAACGTGTCTAATTTGCTGTCATCCTCGAAAAGGACCTGGAATTATATCCAGAATCGATCCAGTTCGTTAGATCAATCAGATTGCTTACAATTCCAGAGCCAAGAAGCCAAAGCTTTAGTTAGCTTAAGCAATCTAGTAAATTGAGAATTCTGTTGTGCGCTTTGTGTTCTTAAATGCAAACACATTGCTACTCAACTGACCAGTATAGCAGAAAGGGTGTGTTTATGCTTTTAAGCTCAAAGTACATCTAAAGATTCAAGCTTTGTTCAGCTTATCAACTCACATTATCACAAGTGATATCATTCATCTCACAATGACATGCGTCCCCATCATCATCATCATAATCATCATCAAGTGTGTCAGTTTCTTTCTTCTCATCACTTTCTTTAAAGAAAAGATAGCCAAGTAGGCTATCTTTTTCCAAATCCTTTTTCTTTTCAGCCTCCTTTTTCGGCTTTGGAGGTGTTTGACAGATTGGGTAGGTTTTCTGAAAAGTGAAAGATAAGATGAACTATCAAAGTGAGTGAAAGATCCTCTTAACCAACATTTTCATCATCATCTACTTCTTCCTCTTGTTTTGCCTTTTTCTTTCCTTTCTTCACTTGTCTTTTTGGTTCATCAACGGGTTCATCTTCTTCATCAGTCTCTTCTTTGGGTAACTAAAAGTTTACAAGTTAAAACTACTACCTGAAGTGCTCGAAATCAGACAGGTATTTCCTTCGCATCGCTCATAAAGCACTGTAATCCATTTAATCTAATCATCCAGCTTAGTTCAGAGATAAGATTGCCGTGAAAAACACAATCAATTCCTAACTAATACTTATCTATTAGGTACTACGGAAAATAACCGTGTTTTTTTCTATCAATTACTTCGGGCCTTGTTTCTGAGTTTTTTCAGTACGGATTCCTTTAGAATTTTTTTAACGAAAAATTTGCTGATAGCTTTCTTTCGCAATGCCGTAAAAATTTTGTCTATCTAAAGAATGACTAATTATAGGGGCTCAAGATAAGGAGAATAGACAAATGACAAATTCGGACGATTTTTTTTGTATAAGTTCAAGCTTGGACGTAGCGCAACGGTTGCGGTCGAAAACATGAATCGCGCATTTAGTCATGAGACTACTTCTATTAGGACTGCTCAAGTTTGGTTCTAACGATTCGGGGAAGGAGACGAGGATCTTGATAGAATTTTTTTAACGAAAAATTGTTGTTATTATTATTTTATTATTTTAATTAATTTGATTGTTGCTTAATAAAAAAAAATTTGGCAATTGAAAATCATTAAGAAACACTTTTCCAGCATCGGTCCATCGTAGACAAAATGGTCAACGAAACAGAGGGGAAAAAGGCTAGGAAGCCTCCCGCCTCAAGACAACCCGGCTTTTTGGCGGGACAACTCATTGGGGTCGGAAAAATTTGTTGGGGGGAAAAATTGATTTTTTTTGGTTATTATTTTAATTAATTTGATTTTTCTTAAAAAAAAATAATTGGGAAAATCATTAAAAAAAACGCAATTATTTTCCGTAATACCTAATAGCTCATAATTTTACTCAATTTTTTTATGCTTTCGCAAAAGAGCAATTCAAAATGCTGGAATCGGCGAGAACTCTATCAAAAATTATGGGATGTGTTGTCAAGGAGACATAGCTGCTTTTTACCCGAGAAATTCCGAAATTTCCGGGAATTTCAAATTCGATTTTGAAAGTTTAAAATTTTTTTCAACTTTAGATCTTTTTTGAAGTTCTAATGTTAACTGTGAACCTTTTTATTCTTCGATGCTCCTCGTTTGCTTGGTGGTTTCACCGCCTCTTCGACACTTTGATGCTCGTCCTCTTCAGCTATTGCTGTCTGGTTCTTAATTTGAATTTGATTAGACTTTAATATCCTTTTTAACTTTAGCATTAGCTAATTGTTTTTTCATCTTTTCATACCCTTTTTAATTTAATCACCAACTTGCACTTTTCCTCGAGCATTATCGAAGGCTTCAACGAGAACGGTGACACAAATTAAAGACAAGAGGAATAGCACCCATATCCTCATTTCCTGAAGTCGATTTTAAATTTGTATTAGAGAAGCAAGCAATGTTGAAGCTAAGAAGAGTCTAATGAAGAAATTGATGAGGTTTAACGGTAACTAACAAACGTTGTTATTCTTAAACAAGGAAAAATCAATTTTGAGCTCAACTAGGTCAGCGTCAGAACGCGAAAATATGATTAGCTTTTGAAATTTTAAGGTAGAAAGATAACAGGGTAATCACTTTTTGAATGACAGCTTCTAATAACCGGAGAGTTGGGAGTTCTTTCTTAGAAGAATTCAAAGTTAAGAACTGATCAAGACAGATGAATCAGACAAAAATGAAGGTTTCTGGGTCAGTTTAAGATTATATTGCTGTCCAGAAAGTCTTTTTGTTTCTTCTCGTACTTTCGTTTAAAATCAACAAATATTTCATTGTTTCATTAGAAAGGGCAATTATTTCTCTGCAAAATAACATTAAAATGGGTTTAAAATGTCTTATGTCTGGATTTTTTTGGGACCGTGAAGTCGAGTATGGTTTTTGATTTTAAGGAATTCAACCTTTTATATATACCCCAGTCTAAGGAAAACTCAACAAGCTGCGATTTGAAAAATTCAGTACTGTAAGTTTACAGGTTTTTATCAATCACTTCACTAAAAGAGCAAAACTACAAAAGATTTTGTTCAATTTAAAGTTAAAAGCCCAGAAATTGATTAAATTGTGAATTGCAAGGCATATGGTTTTTGATTTTAAGGAATTCAACCTTTTTGGAAAGGTTTTTGGAAAGGTCTTTAAGGAATTCAAGCTTTTTTTTGAATAAAAATGAACATCCGACTATTAACTTGTGTAATAAAATGTAAATTGGATCATATTGTAATTGTTATTTTTAAAATAGACCTTGTTTTTTAGCTTGTGTGCCAGACAAGATTTGTTTCCGCTACTTTGGAGTATTTTAATCGGGTTCATAAGTTCATAAGTTTATTTTATTTCAAACTGATCTCCCAGATCTTCATTTAAACTTTGCCTGGAATTTGGAATTTGGAATTTGTTTGAATGAAATGGGTTTTCCTCTCTTTTTCCTTTTTTTCCATGGAGCAAATGAAGCTCGGCCTCTTTTGAGTTCTCCTGGAAAAACCCCACATTGATTCTAGTCTTTTCCATTTTTCAGATTGCTTCAAACTGGCCATTTATTTGGTTTTTATATTCTTGCCTGAAAAAATTTAACTTATTCAATTGATTTCTGAGGAATTTTTTACTTTTACAGCTCTCAACTCGCTCTTAAAGTATCATTACCGTAAATACTGTAATAGTACCCCACCCCCCTCGTACAGTCGCGTAGTCGCAAAAGTTTTTTAGTATTTCATTTTTTTCAAAGCGCCCGTACTTTCAAAAAATGCGTCTTTGGTATCAAAAAATAGCCCTGAATTTCAGCTATTTTTTGATACCTAAGCGCGCATTGTAGCATAAACCAGTGTCGAGAAAAACTGGTTCAAAGCTAGACTACGCAACACTCCGCGCCGTCATTATGGGGGTGGGGTACTATTACAGTATTTACGGTAGGTAAAAACTAAAGCTAAACTGGTCAATGTCAAACTTAAAACAGTTGATTGGGTAATTTTTCTTCTACTCTACTTTACCTTACTAAAATTATGTTGAGATTTAACTCAAATCAGATTTTCTTCAGTGCTTTCCCTTCAACATCAATCTCTAGAACTCTAGTCAGATTCAATCCTTGTTTTTCACCCATTTTTCTTTCAGAAGTTTTTGCAAAAAAAGTTTTGAGAGATAACTAATAGTAAGCTGGTCAACCCATTGATGCATACCATCAATCAAGCACCAATCTACTCACTCTGCTATTCCTCCTTTATCTCCAGTCTTTTTCTTATGCTAGACTTCTTCTTCCAGAAATCCATCCAAACAAATGAAGTCCCTTTCTGCCATTTCCCTCACAATGTCCATCACCCTTCTTTCCTTTTTCTCCTTTCCACATCTCCCGACCGGAAGTATCAAAGCTCGTCTCCCTCTCTTGGCAAAGAAAAATACACCAACAAAAAGACACTAATATATGCTATTTTAAGTTTTGTTATTTCACTAAAAATATTTTCGAAATCTTGATACTATTCGGTTGTCCATCTATCTTATTTCTTTTTACATCTCATTTGTTGATCCTTCTAAAAGAAAGGGACTTCATTTGTTTGGATGGATTTCTGGAAGAAGAAGTCTAGCATAAGAAAAAGACTGGAGATAAAGGAGGAATAGCAGAGTGAGTACTATTCGGTTGTCCATCTATCTTATTTCTTTTTACATCTCATTTGTTGATCCTTCTAATCCTCATTGGAGGCTTATTGCTCAAAAATGAATGAGTTTGGGAAACTCATTGGCAAGAGCTCATTGTGCCTCAAAAGAAAATAACTTATATTTTTGTTAACTAAACAGTCCTTATCTTTGCTTTTTTTCCAGGCAATCATGGCAATTCCAATCGGCGAGGATCCCTATGGTGGCGGGTTATATAAAGGTTGGTTGATTCCAGGAGGTTACTGTAGTAGACTACTAACAATATAAACCAGAAATTTTGAGATAATTTTAAAGAGGACACTTCAGCTTTTCAAATGATACCTAATAAGGGTTGATTGGGGCACAAACCTAGTTGTAAGAGAATCAAGAGACAAAGCGCTCAAGTCGAATCGCATTGTTCGCTCAATTTAATTGCTGTTTAAGTAAAACAATGGTTTAACGGGATCTAGAATCAGAAATACAACCAAATTTGGGGCAAAAATTGGTCCCAAGAATTTGGGCATAGTGACGCCGAAAGCGGCCAAGCTGGCTCAGTTGCTCAGATGAGATTTAAGGCCAAAAATTTGTACACTGGGGTTTTCAGGGTCGGGGAATCGATTGGAGCTATTCATTTTATTGATTCTATCAATTAAAACTCGGATTTAATTGGTCTAAACACTTAGATAAATTCGAAAACTTATTAGCCTATCTTTGAGAGAAAATCCGAAGCTTTCAAATGATAATCAAAGGTTGATCTATGAGCCATCCTTGTGTTTCAATATTGCTGGCTGGTTCTAAATAAACTTTTTTCTAGATCACAACCAAAATTATCGTGCAATTACTGTATTCTTTGAACCATAAAAGCTTTTGAAAGCTTGAAACTTTGAAAAACGAGCTTAAACCAGAAAAACCAGAAAAAAGTTGGCGTTTCATTTTGAAACAAGTTCGAAACAAGATGAAATATTTATACCGACGATCTCTTTTTGTCTTCAGAAGTGAAAAATGTGCTGGAGGATCGGAAGAGAAAGGCTATTTGATGGGGTAGTTTTGCTCTTCAAATATAGGATCCCCTCTTCCAGAAAAAGACTCAAGGCTCACCCATTCACAGGCTTCAAGACAATCCCGAAGCCCAATTGAGAGGTTTTTCTTTGAATTCATTTGGGCAAGATTCTGCTTTCAATTTGTTTAACTGGTTATTTTGTTGTTTACTTTAAAAACATTTTAAACTAGATTTACTTTGCAAAGTCGATTATGCTGTTTTAGATATCATAATCTTCAAGTTCAAGTTCTTTTCTGAAGCCCTTTGATAAATGGTTGAGCAAAATAGACTAACTGCTCCAATAGATATTTCCTAATCAGAAAAGGAATCAAAGTAATAGTCAGTTTATAGGTTAGACTGCAAATTTTTGTTACAACTAGGCATATTCAGCTACATGAACTGCAGCTGTAGCTGAAAAGCTGCCAACTAATCTAAAAACTTGATCTGATATCAATGCAGAATTGAAATTTCATTGATTTTTTCTCATTTTGCACTTACTCTTTCAAAGTTCCATACAATTTTTCAATTCCTTGCATTTCAAAGTGTTGCTCTAAAGAGGAAATTGTTTGGGTAAAAAAGTCCCATCTTTGTTTGAATTGACGGCAGAATTTTGAACTCACAACCTTTTCTTTTCATACATTTTAAAAGAAATAGGGATGGAACACGAGTTCTTCAAAAATCTAATCCTTTTCTGCTGTAGTTGTCTGATATCGAAGCTTTTTTCCATTCCCGGTTTGGGCAGATTACCCACAGGAAACTGGTTTTACTATTCGACGTATTTCCTTTCTAAATTGTCAAGATAGGATCGATTTTGAGCTTTAGAGTGATCGGTAAATTTTTGAATTTGTTTTTAAATTAGTCTCAATGTGTAAGTTGGCAGAATACTGTTGGTCACAATCGACAGGGTTGGGCACAATTATGGCAACTCGGTTTTTCGACTGTAACTCGATCCCCAATTTCAATTCCCTAATTCTATATTTATATGAAATTTCAAGTTAATTTCTACAATCAATTTCAATTCTTAGTTCGGAAATACAGTGTTACGCTTTTTATAATAGCGTAAAAATTCCAATAGAAGACCAGTCTCCAATAGAAGACCAGTCTCCAATAGAAGACCCGTCTCCAATAGAAGACCCGTCTCCAATAGAAGACCAGTCTCCAATAGAAGATCAGTCTCCAATAGAAGATCAGTCTCCAATAGAAGACCACCCCCTGACCCCTTTGAAATCGAGACTTTTTGAAACTTCTTTTTAGGTAGAATGGTAGATTTAGGTCCAGCTAGAAGTATTTTAGCCTCGGCAATAAAACTGAAAACATGTTTTTTGAAAAAATTAAAATTTTTTGAAAGAATTTCATGTGGGAAACCATATGGATTTTTGGAAGATTCGCTATAGGATCCGGGTAAAAAAAGTAATTTACTTTTAAACGTATTTTTCGTACGTTTTATGCCAAGGGCTATCGTTTAAAATGGTTTTTAACAATTTTTAATTTTTTGTTTCATGTGGGGGACCTTTAAGCTACTTTTTTGACCGGCCAATTTTAGGGGGTTGAAAATTAGGAAATCATAATCTTCTATTAGAATTTTTACGGTATGTCGAAGTTCAGAGATACCAACTTCAGAGGTTCCCTGCCGTTGCCCCTGCGAGGCTACCCTTGTAGTGGACCTGCTATTTACCTAGACTTTTTATAGTATTTCGAAGTAGTTCAGAGGTACCAACCTCTCGGCAGAATCGTTGTTTCGCCGGATTTGCACATATTTTGAAAAATTTCCCGCTTTGTACTTACGCATTTTGCTGTTTATTAAGAAATAGAATTATTTGGAGTATTTGGAGTACATCAGAAGATTTTTAATAATTTCAAAATTTTAAGAGCCAATAGTTGAATCCCCTGAAACCTGAGCAGAGCAGCGATCTGTATGGAAACTCCCCAAATCATTCCCGATTTGCTGTCTTGCAAATTTAATGCATTGATTTTGTGATATTTGTCTAAATTTAACTAAAGAGTGAAAAAAAAACTAAAAGAATTGGTTAATTTGTGGACAATTCTTGAGAGTTGAAAACTATCGAAAACAACGATTCTGTCGAGAGGTTGACACCTCTGAACTTTGAAGTACTAGAAAAAGCGTAACACTGTATTTCCGAACTAAGAATTGAAATTGATCGTAGAGATTAACTTGAAATTTCATCTAAATATGAAATTAGGGGAATTGAATAATTGGGTGTCGAGTTACAGTCGAAAAACCGAGTTGCCATAATTGTGCCCAACCCTGTAGAAAAAAAACAATAAAGTTATTCTTCTCAGAGATAAAAATAGATCACAAGTACTATATAAAATCAATCTTACATTTAGGAGCAGAGATGGAGGAAGAAGATGTCCCTCCATTGGTCCGTTATCGACCCCCACCGATCATTGAACTCTGTGAGAGGACCAAGTTCAACGCAAGAGAGATCAAAGTCATGTATAGAGCTTTCAAACAGGTTTGACTAACAATTTCGTTCTAAACAATCAGTTTCTAGAGTTGCCCAAGTGGAATTGTTCAACACTCACAATTCGAGGAGATCTATTGTCAATTCTTTCCACAGGGTGACGCGAGTCAATACGCAGATATGGTTTTTCGAACGTTTGACACAGATAATGATGGGATTATGTCGTTTGAGGTAGGACTAGAGTAGATGAGGCTAGTTTTTGAGCAATCTTCCACAAAAGTGGCTTATTCAAACAAAAATAAGCTTTTGAATGTGTAACAATTACAATAAAGATTTAATAAACAGGAATTCGTGATTGGTCTATCGATAATCTCACGAGGCACCGCTGAAGAGAAGCTGCATTGGGTGTTCTCATTATACGATGTGAAGAAGAAAGGGGTTATCACGTACAACGAGCTATTGCAGGTAACAAAAAGATAAAATAGTTTTAGTTTTTAAGTACTTTAGGTAGTGCAAAGCATCTATCATTTATTGGGCACTTTCACTCATCCACCAATCAGCAGCGCCACCGTCTCCAACCATGTCATGTTTTTATTAAAAGTACGGTAATATTAGGTTGTCCAGTTATGAATGCACGCCTGCTCTTGAACAACTTGAACAGCATTCCTTAGAGCTTTACAATTTTATCAAACCCAATTTTCTATATGCTGTTCAGGATTTCTTATTTTATTACAACTTTTCGTGTTTTTGACGTCAAACCAATTTTTGATTTAATTTCTGTGAACGACACGAAGTTTCGTCTCCGTGCCAGTCTTTGGTATGACTTCAAATTGGGCAAAAATATCGCTGAATCTCATCGAGGCCTTTGGAAAGTATTTTGGGAGATGCTATTTCGGAAAGTCAGTGTCGGCGATGGTTTCAACGATTTCGAGAAGGAAATGAATTTTTGGGAGATGAGGACCACCGGCCTCCTGCGATCGATAAGGCAGTACTTAAAAAGGCGATCGAAATTGATCCTCGACAAACTACACGTGAACTTGCAGAAATATTTTGAATAAGTCCTCAAAAACACGCATTTATAACTGGAAAATCTAATAGAAAACTGGTAAAACTTACAAATGACTTGCAGGCCGAATGTTTAAGGCTTTTAATAGATAAAAACAATTTTCAGAAGCTCGATCCCCAGCGAACCGGTGTGATCAAACGGGAAAACTTTGTGCTAACATCTCTTCAAGATGAGGCACTTTGTCGGGAGTTGGCCTTGTTTGATACAAAGTTGTGAAATTGACAGAAAAAAAATTGATGTACTGGTACAGAATGTGATAGAAAACGGGTACTGTGGGAATAAAACTTTGATGCTCTTTTCGAAAATACAATTTACATTTATTCATTAAAAATTAAAACATCTGTATATCTTTACATGTTTAACGGTGTTTATAATTTTACTGATTTAGAGATGCCCATATTCGCTCTTTCTGAAGTTTTCTCACAATTAGAGAAAGTTTTTCATTTCCAGAAAGTTTTATATGACTTGAAACTGATGTTAACTGGTGAATACATCGAATTGTTGTGTTAGAACATTAAATGGCCTAGTCTTTTTCTCTTCACAGTCCCGCAACGAAAAACCGGAAATGTTGGCAAAATGCCCTGCATTCGTGGATGGGAACAGCTGACCCTAGAGCTGTTTTCTTTAGCAGAACATGGTTTATGCTAGTTTAATTTGAAGATAAATCTGTATTAGTCAAAAGCCGGGATATTTTGACGAAGTTTAGCGATATGGCTCCATGTGACTTAATTGCAAATTTTGTTTTCTTTTCATTTTTCTCTTTTGTTTGTGTTTATAATTTTACTGATTTAGAGATGTCCTCATGGACGGTGACTGGATTAGCGAGTCGATTTCAGAAAGGACTCGAGGCGACGCGAACGAAAATCGACAATTTATTGGACATACATGAGGTAGAGTTTGATTCAACTTCGATTTTTAATAATTCTGTTTGATTTTCTATTAACAAGTATTTTAACTGGAAACAAAAGTGTGTTGGGTAACCCATAAAATTTTTTCTTTTAGGAAGAAGGCGCTGGAGCGGCTGGCACAAGCAACGAACTTATCGTCGACGCTGATGGAAACATAATACAGGTATGTCGATTTGTCATGCAAGTCATATTCTTTTTTCCCTAACTTGTTTTATTTTAGGCACCTCAAATCGAGAAGAAAGTGGAGACATTGCAGCCTCAAGCAGTCCCACCGCCAGAATCGTCAAAACAACTGACCGATTGGGAGGTTTCAACTGAATTACAAGTAATACTATTTTCAAAATTTTAAAATCTAGCAGAAATATGTAAATTGAAGGCAACAATTTCATTATATCTTTGATCTATTGCAAAAAGTTATCTCTTTTAGCCAGTCGTCGACTCGGAGCCCAATCCGATACGAGACTCGGAGCCGAATCCGTCATTTCCCCGTTCAGTCGATGAGCCGAAGAAACGAGGCAAAGCTCGTCGTAAAAAGAAGAAGGTGGCAATTTAATTAAAAATCTTTACTTGTTCTTTTTAGGGTAAACAAAAGAAAGTTCAGGCAAGCGAGGAGCATTCACCGGCCGAAATGGAAACATTGGATGTACAACCGTTGATGGTCGAAGTACCACTTGATGAGCCACATGAATTTGACGAAGAGCCAACTCCTAAACAAGAAGTGGGTTGAAAGTTTTTTGCTTTTTTGTCAAGTTTTCCGTCGATTTTTTAAACTGTAACTTAGGAACCGTCTCCAACTCGAACTGCCGAAGAATTGCTTTCTGATCAGTCATCAATTCATGCGGAAGAACATGCGGTAAATCCATTTTATCATTTTTTATTTTAAATATCAATTGATTTTTGTACAATGTTGGTTTTAGTCTACAACATCTCCAGAAATCATTTCAGAGGATCTCGGAAAACCTGGTCACGAAGCAAGGTATGAGCTTGAATTTATAAACTAAAAAAGCTAGTCTGACTTTCAGAATGACTAATTACTTGAAAAGTTTAACTGATTTATTGCAGTGATTCGGCTGGATCGGGTCCATCTCCACCAAATTGGGAGTACTCACCCGAACACACAGCTCGACGAAATTCCGATGAGAATCTAACTACAGTGAGCAGTGACATCGAAGTTGTGCCAAATTCGGACGTTTGGTTAGTTTTTTGAGACTTAAACATATTTTTTGTTATTTTTTCTAAACGAAAACGTTTTATAGCATAAAGCTGGAAGTTGAAACCAAGGAAACGTCAAAAAGATGGTTTCTCATTTTAATCGTAAATCGATTTTGAATCTTTAGGTCCATAAGCACTTGTGAGCCCGGAGCTTTGCCCGAATCGATTCCCCGTCTTCTTCGTGATCAAATAGATGAGAAACGCTTCGAAGACTTAAAGAAACTGATAAATACCCTAAACGAAGAGGTAAATAAGTTCTTCAAAGATTTTAAGCATTTGTTTTAGAAGCAACGTCTGAAACAGCAGAACATGTCAATGAGTGAAGAGTAAGTTAATAAATATCTTCCTAGTTTATTTTGATTTAGGCGCATCAAGCTTGCGAAACAGTTGTCGGTGTGCGAACAAGAGAAGAAGGATATCATCCAAGAAGGGAACAAATTCTCAGAGGAAATTCTTAAGCTACGCAATGAGCTGAGAAAGTTAAAGGAAAAGGTGTGTGTTTGAAATGGGTGTAATGGAATTTAATTATTGTTTTTAGTGTAACACAGCTGAGTCAAAAACGACCCAATTGTCTGGTGACAGTCGAAAATATCGCGAGAAGCTTGACGCTGCTTTGGAACAACTTGATGAAACAGAAAAGGTTTTCTAGACAATACAAACTTTTAACTAATTGAATTTAGACTGTTGAAACGCAAAAAGAGGAACTGTCTCACTACAAAAAACATGTTACCGAATTGGAAGAGAAACTCAATAAGCAGGTTGAATATTGACATGAATTGCAACTTTTTCAGCAGTTTTTTCTAGGCTGATGAAACGAGTCGAGTACGAACACAACAAGCGGCCACCCTTTCTGAAGCTCACAATGTTGCTGCGAATGAACTTGCGAGAAATCGGGAACAAATACAGAATCTTTCTCTAGAGGTTTGTTTAAGTTATGAGTTGCAGAATAAGTGCTGAGTCAGGTTTTTGATGGGAAAACTTAAGCCTGCTGTATTTGGGAATTGTTTTACTACTTCATTCAAAGTTGATTTTAGTATGAACGTTGTCGAAACATGTACGAGGCAATGGTTGTCGAGAGAGATGAATTTCGATCTCGATATGAAGTCACTAAAGTGGAAGCTCAAAAGTAAGCTTTTACTGATAGCAATGTGCCTCATAGTTTGCTCCTTTATGCAATTTATTTAAAAACACTTTTCCAGGGCTTCTTCAATGAAAGAATCTTCATCGGTCTTTGATGAAGCGGCATTATTGGCTTTGAGAGAACGCTGCTCACAACTTGAAGGAGAAAATCACGATCTAACGCAAAAGCTCTACAACCACGAGAATACAAAGGACGACCTTTTGGAAAGACTCAAGTCGGATGTGAGTTTAAGCTTAAGTTAGTTTTGATTAAGGTTTAGTTATGCAATTGGAAAACTATCGTTCTATAACCAAAATTGATTCATTTTAAAAGTAATTTTAGCTATCGTCTAAAGAACGCAAAGTGGCTGAGCTGACTGCAACTTTGAACATTGAACGAGAGCGATCGGAGAGTCGATTTCAACAAGCTCGCGATTGCAACACGTGTAAACAGTTAGTTTTAAATGAAAAATCATTAACTATTTTTCTAGCTATATAATATTTTTCATTTAGACATGCCGTTGATGATGCTTCACAAAGGCGTTACATTGAGGAATTGAACTCTCATCTCAAAAACATGGTTGGTTCAATTTAATACTCAAATCAGCGAATATTGTGCACTTTGTTAGAGTTTTGATTCATTAAAGTAATTTGAACAATCTACTTTTAGCGAGAAATGCTGGAACAAGAACAAACTGAAAAGGCTTCTCTTGCAGATCGAGTGGTTCAATTAACTGTTCAGGTATAAACTCCCTTTCAGGGTAAACAAATAAATATGTAAAAAATAAAAGATACCGTAAATGCTGTATTAGGATGACACCTCACTTACATGAAATAGTTTTTTTCGGAGTATTGCATTATCGCCCCCACCTTTCTTTTTGATGGGGGGGGGGGCGATAATGCATCTGCAGAATAGTCTGCCACTAAAAGACCGACAAGCTTTTGAACGGCAAATATCAAAGAATAAGTCATGTCATGCAAATTTGCCCGTTCCCTGCCGTTGCCCCTGCGAGGCTAGCCTTGTAGTGGACCTGCTATTTACCTAGGCTTTTTATAGTACATCGAAGTTCAGAGGTACCAACTTCTCGGCAGAATCGTTGCTTGAGCGGATTTGCACATATCTTAAAGAATTTCCCGCTTTGTATTTACTTATTTTGCTGTTTATTAAGTTTATTAAGAAATAGAATTATTTGGAGCAATTCACATTAGAAGATTTTCAATAATTTCAAAATTTTGAAAGCCAATAGTTGAATCCCCTAAAACCTGAGCAGAGCAGCGATACTTTTTGTGATCCATAGTGGCCATTCGAGTGAAAAATAAAACAACACCCTCAAGTAGAATTACACTCTAGGGGGTATGGAAAAATAGAATGATATGTCATTCTAATACAGCATTTACGGTATGTAACAAAAATATGTTCCAGGTCCGAGAATTCCAAGCGGCAAACCATTTGAGTGACACCGAGAAAACCGAGATTCGTGAGCTGAAAAGAAGTGTCGACGAGGAGACAAGAAAGGTTTTTTTTATGTTTTTTTAAAATTTAAGGACATTTACAATCCTAGATATTTTGGGGTCGGATAATGCTATAAAAATCCTGCCAATCTCTGTTGTTTTTAGCGACGCGACATTGAGCGGAAGTATGATGAGCTTCTTCGGTTAAATGGTGAGCTACTCGAGAGAGAATCGGAACTTCGTGAAGATATCAAGGACCTGAAGGTTGCGATTCGAACGTTGGCTGAGGATCAGGTGATTCTTTGAGGGTTTATCAATTTGCAATTTTGTAAATTGAATATCGGTATTGGAATTGGATGTGAATCTCTTCCATTTAGGTATCCGGCACATCAAACTCTGGAAAGGGTTCAATTTATCAACAAGCTTGACGTGTTGTGCGTTTTATTAAAAAATTTCTTGTGCTTTCTTACAACTGTGATTTAAGTCTGGTACAATTTACTTTTGCAGCAGCTTTTATAGGATATTCGATAGTATTTTTGGTAGAGTTTCTATGGTTGTTTGCACATTTATCGGGTACAAATTTTCTTTTCTTCTGGTGATTTTTTTGTTTCAGCATTTTTAGAAGACTTTTAGAACAACTTGGTGCCGATAATGATTTACTGAAAATGTGCGTGATTTTTACCCGATTGTGATTTAGGCTGGTATCTTTGTCTTTATCAGAACGTTTCGATAATAAATTTGATTCGATTCCTGTTTTTTTAAGTGAAAACGTTTTAAATCGTTATTTATTCAATCAATCAAGAAAAATAATCGATATACAAATAATATTGAAGTAGGATTTTGAAAAAACAGCATTTGAAATCAATCGGAAAGAATAAAGGCACAAAAAAGTCAAAATTTCAAAATATGTTATTAATAGCAGCTGGGTTACGGTAGAAATCGAGAAAAGGAAAAGCCGCTTTTTAGAAAAAATATTACGAAATGGTAAAATGCAAATTTTGTGAAGAAGACACAACGAGAGGGGAACCACGTGCTGGAATTTCTGAGGAATCTTTCTGAAAATCGAAAATGGACCCCAATTAAAAAGAGCAAATAAAAAATATTTCGTGAATAGACTGAATAGGCTATCACAATCGAACAAAATACTAGAAATATAGAACAAATGAAGAAAATGATTGAGACGCGATGAATGGAGCAACGATCAACGGAAAGTGTGGGAAATCGAGACTTCTATTGGCACTTAGAATGGGGAGGAGACGATTGAGGGAAGGATGGGGAAAGGAAAGGGGCACACATTTTGATAGACTTTATTCTATTGACTAAAGTGTTTTCTAAAAAGTGCTCTTGGAAAGATACCATAATACTGGTGCCTTTAGAAAGCACTTCAACCAAGAGCGAAGTCTATTTGTGATACCGAAATGATCCAGGTTCGAACCCGGTTCGATCTCGGAGAATTAAAAAAGGAAAAATGAACAGCGATCGACTCGACCCAACAAATCGATCACTGGAATCAGTTTATTTTCGGAGAAATTCTTGATTTGTTCAACTCTCGAAGTGGCCGGACACTTCGAGAGTTTGTTTTAAAAAAGCTAGAAATAAACTGATTCAAAACTCGAAACAAAACAGAAGGTAGAAATGTAGACTGAGCTGAGATGGAGATGGCGAAAGGCCTCACCGGGGATCTTTCGAAAAACAAACAATAATCTATCTACGCTATTTAATAGATCGAATTATTGTTGTCGGTGAGTCTCTTTGATGAGCTCATTGATGATGGCGACTGTCTTGTTCGAACTCTTTCCTTGCACAAATGTGTCATGATCACCCTCGACCACGTAGACTTTCGAGTCCTCGGAGACCTGGAAATGAGGAAATTAGAGGTCTTTGGTCCTTACGTATCTAATAGAAAGTATCTTACAGTAACCCTGCCTGCGAATAGTCCTACCAAACGGTTACAGCAACCCAGCCAAACAGTCACAGTAACTCGATAGTTGTTTTCCATTCTTTTCACTCACCATGCTTATTCCATAGTCTTGTCCCACATCTTCTTCTCGGGCGGCTCCTTGCTCTGCTCGGATGAGTGTGATGAGTCCCTTGAATTTTCCGTCGGGCTTGTACTTGTCGGCCATCAAGAATTTGCTGTGCATCGCCTGGCAAGCGAAGGCCACAGTTTCGGCCGATTTGAAGAGCCCCGTCGTCATCACTGTGTCAACCACCTGAAATTGTTTTAGAATTTAGATTGACTTGTTTTAAATTCAACAAACCTTCTGTACTCGAGCCTTGAAGCCGAGTTGTTGCAGAAGTTCGACTCGGAATTTCTTGTAATCGACGTTAGCGAAGCGGAGAGTCATCGCGCACATGATCTCCGACTCGAAGAGGGGATTGTTGACGAGAGTGTCTCCTGTCACTCCGAAGGCCATTCGGTAAACCTGGAAACGGGTGGTGATTCATTAAATACTGATAAATAACTAGTTTAATGACTTTTATAAAACTTACATTTCTGTACGTTTGCATGTAGAGGTGGGATCCATCGAGGAGGATCAGTCTCTCCACAGCGTCGGCTCCTTCAGTCTCTTGAAGGGTTTTGGCCATCTCGAATCCGATGCACGCTCCATACGAATATCCAACGAGTCGATATGGGGGATTCGGTTGAATCTTCTTGATCTCTTTAATATATCGCTTGGCCACCGCTTCGATCGAGTCTTGTGGGACTTCTCGGGTGGCTTGCAAGCAGTAGACGGGGAAATCGCACTTGGCCATTACCTGAAAGTATCGTATTGTAAATTTAAATCACTACAGTAGATCTAACACAGTACTAACTATAGTTTCAAGTAATCCAGTCTTTCAACTACTTTAAACCAACCTTCTTGAGCGGAGTAGCAATTCCTTCGATTGAGTGAAGGAAGAAAGTTGTTGGTCCCTCTTCAACCTTGTTTCCCTTGACAATCATATCTTGTGGATCCAAGTCATTCACGTCGACTCTCATCTTGAAGAGTTGATTCATTTGCTTCTCGAGCATCTCAACGGTGTTCTGTTCAGCGTTCGCTTCTCCCTCTTTCTTCATGTCCATCTCAGTGGTTTGAAGAGCTGTTGAACTGGAATTTGTTTATTAGCAAGGTTATTTCAATGAAGCTTTCATTTCGTTGCTTCCCTTACCTAGCTCCTCCACTCTCGGCAAGTTGTTGCAATTTGTTGAGGGTGAGTGTTCGGATGTCCTTCATCGAGAGCACAATGTCGTAGTCACGCTCGAGAGCTTGCTTGATCTCAACGCCTGAAATATTGTTATTAGAGCAGTTTCCACGGCTTACTACTTGAAAATCAAAAAATAAACAAACCCATGAGCGAGTCCAATCCGAGATCTCCGAGGTTGGCATCGGGGTTCAATTGGGAGACGTCGTTCACTCCGAGAATATGGGCGATCGTTTGGAGGAGATTTCCACCACCACTCGCCTTCTTTGCTCCCAGGTCAGCTTTGATATACGAGGAGACAATTGGATGATTCCATGAGAGGAAAAGATCCAAAGCGGCCAAGCACGACGGCATACGTTGAGGGAGGGTTCCTGGAAAAGTAAGCTTGAAAGAGAACTTGAATTTGAGCAGAGATACAGTCAATTCCAGTCTTAATAACTCTTTTGAAAAGATAGTCAGTCTTGTTACCTGAAAAGCTTTCTATTCTGGCTACTGTAGTAAGGTAAAAGACTCTTTACAGTGACTTAGCCGACATCAAACACACCTCCGACCACAGTGTTGTTGTCTCCCATGTTCTCAAGAATCACTCCCACATCACCAATGGCTCCCCATTGAATGGCAATTCCTGGGTGTCCGTCCTCTCGTCGATGTTCGATCATTCTCTCCATTGTCGAATTCGACCATCCATAGTTCGTTTGTCCAGCGTTTCCTCTTCCAGAAGTGATCGATGAGAACACAACGAACCATTTCATTTCTTTTCCGCATAGGCGACGAGTAGCCATGTCGATGTTCATTGTTCCATAGTATTTGGCCTCAGCAGCGTCCTGAAACGGGCTTTGTTTTGATAACACTTATGCTACTATCAAATCTATTCAAGCAAGCAAAAATAATTCAGCAGCAACTAACCTTGAAGTTCTGAACTTTCTGGTTCTCGAAGAGGCAATCGCGGAGCACCATAGCCAAATGGAAGAGTCCTCCAACTGGTCCCATATGTTGTGCTTGTTTGACCAACTCATTGGCGTCATCTTGCTTGGCGATGTTCATTGTCGAGATTAACACCGAGACTCCAGTTCTTCTCCAGAACGACACACAACGAGCTTGATATCCGGTCTTGATTCCCGAGCGAGACGTCAACACAAGCTTTCTCGCTCCACGATTGATCAACCATTGCGCCAACTCGAGTCCGAATCCTCCGAGACCTCCAGTGATGATGTAAACGTGTTGTGGATGGCAAAGAGTTCGGCAAATAGCTTTCACCGAGATTGGAGTTGGTGGGCAGACCTGGAACGATTTGGTGAATTTTTTGAATGCTCAAAAATTGTTTACCTTTTGCTTCTCCTCATCTCGAATGGCCATGAGCACTTTTCCGATGTGCTTTCCAGCGGACATGAAACGGAAAGCATCCTCGGCTTTATCGGCAGGGAAAGTGTTCGCCTTGAGTGGTTCGACGACTCCGTTCTAAATTTTAGATATAAACGAAATACTTGAATGGAATCTTGAATGGAATGTTTAATAAAGTTTTAATTCAGAAAACAGTCAATATCAATTGTCAAAAACCAGAGGGTTTTCTACAATTTTGATTCTTTTGACTTCAAAATTAAATCACAAGATCACCTTGAGTCCTTCTTGGAAAAGACGCGAGATCTCAAGCCAATCATCGTGATTTCCGATCGATTGATCCATGACGGCGTCGAGAAGAATTCCGTGGAATGTCACGTTTTTCAAGAAGACCGCCATTCCGAGGGCCGAGTTTTGAGCAAGGTCAACCTAGAAAAGATTATTTAGGCAATGATTAGAAGTTTGACTGTAAAATCGATTCAAATCTTACTTTTCCGATCTCGAGGAAGCGACCGTGCTGAGCCAAGCAACGGACGGACGCCTGAAGCATGTGAAGAGCCAACGAGTTCAACACGACATCGACTCCACGACCCTAGAAACAATTTGGTTGGCTCATCTATGCGTTGTAACTCTTTCAACAAACCTTGGTGACATGGCGAATGTGAAGCTCAAAGTCGGCAGATCTTGAGTTGGCAAAGTGTTTGTCCTGAAGTTGCGGGAATTTCTTCTTGAGGTAGTCGCGTTTCTCGTTGGATCCAACGGTGGTGAACACCTCACATCCATGAGCCAAAGCGATAGCAATGGCGGCTTGTCCGACTCCTCCCGAGCCTCCGTGAATGAGAACCTGAAGTACTTTTATAAAATCTCGAGAACGGATACTGTATTCTAGTTTTACTCACTCGTTCTCCCTTGCGGATTCTTCCTCGAATGATCAGAGCATAGTAAGCGGTGGTGTAAACAACGGGCACAGTTGCCGCCTCTTCAAGAGTCCAATGATCGGGTACATCCCAAGCGTATTCACGATCGACAACGACGGTGGTGGCAAGAGCTTGAGCCGGAAGAATACCTGGAATTGAGTTCTTAGTTTGGATTACTAATACTAAGAACTCAAGCTCAATCGTTTTCAAAATGCTGTAAAGTTGTCTCACTACAGTGGTACAACTCTGGCAATGGCACTAGATAGTCTTTAACCTATTGAGCTTTCCAACTCACCCATAATTCTTCGTCCATTTCTCAATCGTCCCGAGAACTCCATTCCCAACAAGCATTCACGATCGGCGAATTGTCCAGGAATGGCATCTGGTGGAAGACGGCCATACGCCAACATAACATCACGGAAGTTGACAGCCGAATAGTAGACATGGCACAGCTCGAGATTTCCTTTCTTATCAGCGGAGACCTAAGGTTTTCGTTGAGCTTTGTATGGTATTCAGTGAAGCAAATCATATTACATGCAAGCGAACTAAGGAAATGCAAATCTTTGCTTTTTTTCATGCTATTTACCCCTCGATAATAGCTTTTATCTTCAGCCTAAAGAATGAATCTCGGTGAGTGAAAAGGAATCAAGAAAAGATCAAGAAGTTCGGATAAGAGCATTTAAGTATTTAAAACTGATGAAGAGATTAGTAAGACTAGCAATGTAGAAATGGGTCAATGACTTGTAACTCACTTGATCGAAGTACTGGTTGGGTGATTCGAACCAGGTGAGTGAAGAGACATCACCACGAACGAGGGTATTGATGAACGCATGCTCGCATTGTTTCGTTTGATGAGCGTCCTCGTCCTGGAATTGTGAATAAGTTTTTTGTACTTAAAAGATTAGATTCAAACAAATTTGCTGAACTTTGTAGTTACTTAGTAGATATTCTAAAGGCTCATAGCAACAGCCGCTTACTTCTAGAATTCTAGAGCTATGTAAGCCAACAATTGTATTCGAAATCTGCTTACCCTGACGACGATGTGCCTCATCGAGCCGAACACTCCATCGCGATAGTTGTTTGCGTGGAGATCGAGTGAGATGCAGTTTTTCACCAAATCCTTCTCCATTGTCAATGTCGGGTTTCCAACTCTGGAAAGTATCGTTGAAATTGTTTCTCCAATTTCCTTGTACCTGTTCTTTTCATTGACTGAGATATCGATGAGAGTGCGGAATCGGTTTGCTTTCAGATTCTCCTCCACGAAGCACAAGGCCATTCCAACGACTCCATTGTTGCGGACCTGAAGTGAATGTATAAATCTTTGATAATTTTCATTAACCTTGGTCGAAGTGAGCCAAATGGTCTTGTACTCGGGCTCGTTGAGGCGATCCTCGACCATTTTCTGGAGTGGCTCGATCCAAGTGAACTCTTTCACATCATCCACATCGACGAAGACGGGCTCGCGTGGTTGAGTGGGGATCTTGCGAATGGCATAGCTGAAATTCGACGAACGTAATGATTTAAGGAAAAAATTGTAACTCACGTTGTGGTCATCATGAGTGGATCGCTTTGATAGTTGCAAATTCTGAATCCATTGTCCTCGAAGAGCTTCAAGAGTTGCTCATGCGTGAAGAAAGCTCCATATTTTCGGTCCTCGGCCACATCAATTTCGTGTCCAAGGAGGCTGTGAACGGCGGTGGCCAGCTAAAATTAAGTCAGGTTTTCAAATATCAAAAAAATATATTGAAAAAGTTAATTCAATGCAAACCTCATAGTCTTTGGTGGTCTCAATGGCGATGATGAAGCCGTCATCGCGGAGCAAGTGCTTCACCGCTTGCAAGTAAGCACCGGCGTTGGATTTTCTGAATTATTTTATTTGATTGGTCAAAACTAATGCTTAGCTCTAGTTTATCCTAAAACTCACTGTGCAAGCACTCGATCAATAATTATGTAGTCCATATTCTTCAATTCGTTTGATCCGTTGAAAGCTGGATCATCAAGGGAGAGCTTGTACTTCTTGGCGCCGATTTGCTCGAGTGAATTATCATCGAGTAGATCAACCTGGAAATCAAGGATTAGGAAGTTCAATGAATATACCAAGTACCTAGTTTCATTGCTTAATCTCTAAAACTCTAAAACCCACCTCAGGTCCAGCCACGAGCCAGTCCAACTCCAAAAGTGGATGCGAAGACACAGCTTCTCTCGCCAACTTCAACTGTTCCACCGAGAACAACTCCAAGCTGAGACACTTCGAGTTGTGACCGGCTGAGTTCTCGATGCAAATATCTTGCACAGTCTTGAAGACACGATCTTGATTCATCACCGAATTCCAGAAATAATCCCTTTCAAATGATCCCTTCAACGCTTTCAGCTTGTTTCTGATTAGCTCTTCATATTCTCCCACAGTGTAGTCATTCTTGTAATACGTTGTCTCAAAGGCGTCATTGAGCGCATGAAGAAGTGGAGCCTTTTGATCATTCAGCCAGCGATTCACCTCTTCTTCAGTAGCCTTTGTCGGCTTTAATCCCTTCAAAACAGTTTGTAGAAGCTTTCCTTGACGGAAGTTTCCAAGGAGTCCCTCTTTGTCCCATTTCTGGAGTCCAGCTGAGAGGACATTGTAGAGAATACGGGAATATTCTTCGAGAAGCGCTCGCTCCTTGGGGAACTCGGCCAAAGCGTGGGTGTCGAAGTGTTTGACGAAGAAGATCTTCTCGTGATAGAGTTGTCCAGATGTTTGAATTCTTCGGGCAACAGTGTGAGCGGTGAGGTCACAGCATTCGACTCCACCGGCAACACAGCCATTTGTGGCATGGTCGTTGCGAAGCTCGATGACCTAAAATCGGCTTATAAAGTTATAAAAAGTAGCCAAGTATTCATTTTAAAAGATTTTCTACGAATTCAGTGTCTTAAAACGAAAATATTGGCTTGATTTGAGCCATTGAGTCTGTTTTGTTTATAAACGCAGCTATTGACTCTGTTTTTAAACTGTTTTTGAGATCTCAAGCTAACTTTTAAGCTTTCCAGATTTAGAAAATGTTAGGTTTATATGAAATCTGATCCAAGAACAAGCACAAGTCCTTAAATTCTCATTTTAAGTATAACTATGAAGTTCATCTCTTCCATTCTTACCTGAATTCCGTCCTGCTCAATCACGCTTCCCAAATGCTTCTCTGGGTCAACGCGGAGGTATCTGCAATTAGAAATTGATAAATTTTTAGAATAAAATTATATTTGTCAATCCCCAATCCCTGAATTCAAAAAATTTTTGTTGTTCTTTGAAACTTTGCACAGAGAAACGGCAGACTTCTTGTTGAGGGAATGTGTCTGGATGGAAAAGGGGGGAAAATGGAAAATCGAAGGAATTATCTCAATCGGAGATCTCAAATCCATTCTCTGGCAATTCCCTGAGTCGTTGTTACAAAAATTTTTGCTCCTTTTGATCTATCATAAATATGGTTCTTTTTGGCAAAACAGGATCTGTGATTTGAGACGAGTTTGTCAAATTTTTAGGTTTTTGACGTCGAATTGAGTCTCAGAAAACTATGGTAGTACAAAGAAATGAACTAGGTTTGTTTGAATTTGGAATTTTCTAAACGCAAATTACTTTTTCTGAGCTTTATTGACCAGTTTTAACAAATTTAACAAGGCCAATTCTTATCCAAGTCTTAAATTATACTTAGAATTAGAATTACAAGCTCTCACCTCACTCTCGTCGGCAAACGAAGGCTGTCAGCTCGTTCAGCCAAGAGTGCCGTTTGGAGGAGCGAATCGAGGAAGGTCACCCAGTTACCCGTCCAGTACAACGTTCCACGCTCTCCCGAGTTACACGTGCGATAGATTCCACGGAAAGCCTGTCCGTACTCGTAGCCTGAAAAAGAATCATTCATAAATGAATCATACTTTTTTATGGTATTAGTGAAACTACAATGAGACTTAAAATACTACCAACTCTTAAATAGCCGATTTTTTTTTGTCACTATTTGATGCAAAGAGTGTGTTGCTTGTTGGAAAATCCCTTAAGTTCAAATCTTTCTCAAAAACGGATCTCTGGCTTAATGTCCTGTTCAAATCATCACGTTCGATCTTTCCTAAATTGGGCAGTGCTTTCCTGTGTCACTTTTGGCACGCTTGAGTGAAGCTTGAGGAATTCAAGTCAGCGATGACTAATTTTTTAGCTTGTTTTCTCCTCATAAACATTAAAAGAACGACTAGCTAGTTCTTTGTTTAAATAAAACACAAACTCTAAAGACTAAATAGTCTCAAAGTTACTCATTTTTTTACACTTGTTTCATCAAAATTGCTTATGTTTTTGCTCTGAAAATCTAGTCGTTCAAATTTCTTATAGTTTATAGAGTTGATCAATTGAGAAATGATTGAGAAAAGAAAATTGGCTACTCTCTGATTTCCTTTTTTCTCTAATACGTCACGGATATTATCGGCAAATTGCAAAAAAACTCCGCCAAAAGGTCATTCATGTTGAATTTCTGGTGATTACGTCAAGTGTTTTTTATGAAATTTTATAATTGCCACAGTTTTGAAAACTTTGAAAAGCTTAGATAGCAAATTGCCTAAAGTATCTAGATATTTATAAACTTGGCATAGTTATTCCGATCATTTTTCCCAGACCCCTTTGAAACACTTTTCTCGAAAACCCCCGAAACCGGTATTTACAGACATATGCACGGCATAATCGAAAAAAGAAAAACACAATTTCTTCCTGTCTAAAAGAAACATTGTGGCGAAAAACGATTTGCCGATCGAGGATGACCACTCAAAATGACCTTGACAGACCAATTCCGCAAACAAAAATCAAATACCCTATAGGATTTGGAAAGAGAAATTTACATATCCCATCAAACTTTAGATCCCTGGCAATTGATTGGAGTGAATAATAGCTTAGCTCGAGAATGACTAGGTCAGCTTTAACAGCTACAGGTGAACTTTGACTGATAGATTGAGATACCAGGTTTAAAACGAGTTTTTCAAGTCTAGAAATTTCTTAAGCCAACCTCTCAAGAGGAACTCTTTGTAGGCATCCTCGGTGTCCAGCTCAATGCGGTCAGCGATCGCAGAAGTGCGGATGTCCTCGAGCTAGAAGAAAAGAATTTGAAACAAAATTTCTTGTCTAACTCTAGAATGACTAAATCATACGACAAGTTTTAAGCTAAGATCTCCAGCTTATTGTAGCAATGATGACGAGGCATGGTTTTTGCAAAAGCTCACCTTGTTGTAGTAGGGTGGTTGGGTATCATCAGGAATGTAGATGTGTCCAGAAGCGGCCACTTGCTCATCATAGATGATCTCGAATTGCCCGGTTGGAGTGATGACCACATCGAGTTTGACTAAACAATCCAGAATTCGAAAATCATACTTTAAACCCACTTGGCTTGGTGAGAATTGTAGCTGAGTAGACGTTGATATTCTCCAAAACGACTGGCGTCTTTTGGAAATCGACTCCTTTTAGTTTGCACAAGGTCTTCCAGGCAAGAACCTAAAAGAGAAAACATTTAATGGACTCTATTAAACTATAATTTTTCTTAGTCTATTAAAAATGACAAACCATATGTCCAGTGAATGGATAGAGAACTCGTCCATCGATGCAATGGTCCAAAAGGTAGGCCTCTTTTGAGTCAGCTGCGAATGGATCGATAGTGTAGGTGGCTGAAGCTGCCATTCCACCGACTCCTGGAATGTTAAATGGTGATCCTGTTTCAGCCAAAAAAACATTTTAGACAAAAGCTAGATGGATTTACGAGTTGAAAGTAGTTTTGTGCTCAAATAACCAGTAGATGAGGTTTTTCTTATGTTGACCAACCTCCAGAAGCCATGAGCTTTCCATCGATGACCGGCCAATCTTGCGAGTGATCCCATTTCCACATTGGTCCAATCATTGGAGTTCCCTTGGGCACTGGACCATCGGTTTGCGGGTAGAGTTGATCGATTTGGATGGTGGCTCCAGCCTGAATGGATTTGATATAATTTTGAAGTTTAGAAGACGGTTCAACAATCTTAAAGTTTGACAACAAGTTCAACAATCTTAAACTTCTTTAAATTCTTGAAGATATAAGAATAAGGTTCAAAATTTACTTGGTAGGCTCTTCCGAGAGCGGAGAGGAAGCTCTCGAGCTCGTTCTCGGCATCGCGCTTCATCAGGCCAACGTTGGTGACAGTTTTCTAAATGTTAATGGTAATTTTAAGAATTAAATAATAAAATATCTACCTGAAGTGATCGTCGAAGAATTCCGTTCATCAAAGAGTGTGGAGCTAACTCGATTGTGATGGCGTTGGCGGGGATCTTTTGCAAGGCTTCGTAGAAGAGCACTGGGCTGCACGCGTTGTTCACATGGTAGTCAGCAGAGCTGCAAAATGAGTATTGTTCAACTAATCTTGAGTTATTTACAATAACAATAGAAGCTTTTTCACTCACCAAGTAGCAGCCAAATCACTCTCCCATTCGTCTTCAGGGATCGAGGTGGAGATCCAACGAGAAGAACGGGGCTTTGGATCGGGCACAACGGTTCTCATCGCTAAAAGCATCGGCTCTTTCACCTTCAACATGGCTGGAGAGTGGAATGGAATGCCAGAAGAGTCGACTGGACGAGCAAGAATGTCCTTAGCCTTCAGATCTTCGCACCTAAAACAAGTACTCGTTTTTTTTACCATCAGTATCTCTTTAGCTTAACTTTAAAGTTGAAAAATAGTTTCAAGCTTGAAAATAACTTCAAGAAGTGATAAATCTTAGCAAAATTTGTTATTCTTTAAAACACCAACCATTTCTCGATAGCCTCCAAATCTCCGGAGACGGTCACATTGTCTTGAGCGTTGTGACAAGCTGGGACGACTCCAGGTGGGCAATTCTTTTGTGCTTCATCCCATGTGATTCCCAAAGCAGCCATGCCTCCTTTCACCTCGATTTTCGAGTTCATGATCGACGTTCCGCGGTGGTAGGCGAGTTTCATCGTTTGTTCAGCGGTCAAGCAACCGTCAGCGTAGCCACAGCCCATTTCACCTAGAAAGTGAAGAAAGTGTTGAAGCAGTGAAGTCATAAAATCTCAATCTATGCTATAATTCAAAGATCAGCTTACAAATCCTTAAACCAACCAGTCGAGTGCCCAATGATTCCATCGGGTTCCACGCCGAGCGCCTTCATCGTGTCGGTCAACGCGATTTGAATCGCCGAGATGGCGAGCATGCAGTTGAGGGTGTTGTTCTTGTATTGTGATGGGTCCGAGCTTTGCAACATCTTGTAAACATCGACTCCGAATTCCTCCAAAGATCGGCTGGAAGCTTTGAGCGAATCGTTGAACACTGGAACGGCCATCAGTTTTTGAGCCATGCCCGGCCATTGAGATCCCATTCCAGAGTAGACAAAGTAGACGGGGCGAGGCTCGGTGATCGTCACCTGAAAATGGGTTCTTGAAAAGGGATCTAGGGTTACGGGTTGTAGTTTTCAAGTCCTAGAGATGCTGATCAGTTCAGCATTGTTAACAAATCCCATCCTACTCCTTTACCCACTTTTTGGACATCCTTGAGTGGTGGCAATTCTCCTTCTCGATTCAAGAGCATATATCCACGGAATGGCGTATCCTTTGGTGGAAGATTGGCCTGTTTTGCGAGAAGTCGTTGAAGATGATAGTCGCTTTGGTTATTCTCGACATTCTCGAAGACATGATTCACCGATTCTTGGGTTCTTCCCGAATAGGTGAGAATCTTTGTGAACGTTGGTGGAGGAAGAGGCTTGGCAACGTGATCGGAGGCTCTGAAATAAATATTGTCACTGTCAGACTTGTAAAGCCAAGATTTAAATCGACATATTTAAATTGACAGCTACCTGAGGATGACGTGCGTATTCGATCCTCCAAATCCAAACGAGTTCACTCCGATGACTCCTCCATTGATTGGCGTGGGCTCGGTGACAACTTTGAGGCGTCCATCGGTCAATCCAGGAATGTAGGGATTGGGATTTTGATAGTGGAGATTCGGTGGGATTTGTTGACGTTCAATGGCCAACAAGACCTAAAAGAGTTGGTAAACTTTTCTCCTAGAAACGAGAACCCACTTTTGCAATAGAGCAAAGTCCAGAAGCAGGCTCAGCGTGTCCCATATTTGATTTCACCGATCCGATCAAGAGCGGCGTTTCCCGGTTTGAGCAGAAGACTTGTGTGATCGCGTTGGCTTCTTGTGGGTCACCAACCTGTATTACCGTATTTTGTACACTAAACTAAAGTTGGTTTACCTTGGTTCCAGTTCCATGGCTTTCCACATAGTAGACGGTGTTTGGGTCGATACCAGCCTCTGAGTAGACTTCCTCCAAGAGCTGAGCTTGGCGTTCACCGGACGGGAAAGTGATTCCTAAAAAAAATGGATTAGATGTAAAACTTGTTAAATATTATTTACGAAAAAACCAACCTTGTTCTTTATTTCCGTCAGTGTTCGACTTTGCATGAAGCACAGTGGCGTAGATTCTGTTGGCTTTGGATTTTCTTTGGAGAAGAATCGCGGCAATGCCCTCAGTTCGACAATATCCATCACCGGAGTCATCGAACGAACGACACGATCCTTTATCGGATAACATGCCCAATCGAAGGAATTGAAGGGCAGCTGTTGGTGTGAGAGTGAGATGACAACCGGCCACGATCGCTGATTCGCATTGGCCCTAGAAATAGGGTTTTTGGTAAGATTTGTTTAAGATAGCTGACGGAAATGGTTTTCCTGATTAAATCGGGCACTCACTTGACGCATCGAGTCGACGGCGAGTTGCAGGGCGAGCAACGACGATGAGCAAGCAGTGTCGACAGAGAACGAGGGTCCTTGGAAATCGAAAGTGAATGAGATTCGATTCGAGAACATTGAACGAACGCATCCCGTCAATGTGTAGCCGGTGACAGTCTCTGGATCCTAAAGAAAGAAAAGCTTAGTTAAGAAGTTTAATTGATATTGTAAATTCGTAGTAATCAGCTAAAACTGTGGAATAGTTAAGAAATGCTTAAGCCAGATAAAACTGGTAAAGAATTGTTTATTACTCAAGACTAGGAAATTTTTAAGAGCAAGTTTTCCAAATTTTCATAAAATACTTACTTGAGTGAGAGCTCCACCGGTTTCAGAGGCCGAGCACCCGACGAACACTCCCGTCTTGGTGCCACGAAGGTCGATAGGGTTGATTCCTGAAATCAAAAGTATTCAAACAAGTATTTTCAAAATTCAATATTTCCATTAACCCCCAATCATCCCATTTCCGCTTCATCTCCAGCAGAATTACGAATTCTCATTGATAAATGTTTCTTGGTGTTGTTTTTTTGCAATTGCTGATAAGCTTTGTGCGTTCTTTTGCTTGTTCACCGAGCTTTTGGTCATTTTTGGAAATTTCACGTGAATCCGTTTTCTGAGCAAAAAATCGCCCCACCAAAGCAAGATCCGCTTTTTTTTATGCAGTCTGTCTCTTATCAGAGAATAGTTATTGCTAACTGCAGGCATGGTTTTATAATTGGAATGATGGGATGATTCTTGGGATTTCAAGATCGAGAGCTAACACTGGGTAATTGAAGTTTCGTACTTATTGCGAAAATTTTAGCTAATCTAACGATCTGTTTGTTAAGTTATCTATTAGTTGAACACTTTAAAGCGAATCTTTGCCCCGCCAATAAGTTAATATGCAAATTGTTCTTTAACATCTTACTTCATCTTGAATTTTAGCATATTTTATTCTAGTTTTGAAATGGTTTTGAATAGATTTAGGCTAGAATTAATGAATATAAACATCATAAAGCCATTTTTACTATTTTCTCCTTTTCTTTACCAAGAAATTTAGATTTATCCTGTTTTGATTGATGAGAAGATGTGGAAGGACCATTTTAAGTACGAATTACTCATAAGTTTACTTACTATTTATTGATTTAGTTAGAGTTGAGTTAGAGCTAGAGTTGAAGCCTTATTCATTTCATAAAACTACAACTAGCAGCTCTTCTTAACAAACTATATCAACTGTTCAACTATCAACACACTTAAACACTCTGTACTTTGTCGAGACTTGTGTTTGCTCTTTGAGGGAAACCTTTCTCCGATCTAGCTCCCTCTAGGGGTTGAGCAAGAGAGAGTAGAGGGGAGAGCCCTGCAACTAGGACGGGTTCAAGGCCGCCCAGCACTCGCCAGCACTCTCCCTTTAGGCAATGAAGAGGTGAGAAGAGAGTGAGGATCAATGAAAATACTCAACTCAAATGCACAAACAACATGTGCTTTTGCCAGGGAATTGCTGGCATCCGGTTTTTGACCGGCTGAGTCAGAGAAGAGATGACTTGGGATTCGATTTATAGGTGTTAAATGGTTTATTAGCAGCCTACAATCAGATAGTATCAAGATAAATATCTTAATAATCCATCTTAATAATCAGGAATATAAACTGTAAGTTAAATAAAGTTTAACAAGATTGACAACTCTTCAGGAAAAGTCGGGTCTTTGGATAGGAAGGGCTGATTAGCAAGTCTATTTCTAGAAGAACCTATTTAAACGGGTAAACTAGCTTTTCCACCTAATAGATTACTGCAATATCTAGTAGTTATATAGTTATATATCCAGTAGTTTGTATCTAGTAGTTACTTGTATCGAAAAAAATTATCCCAGTATTTAAATTTTCCAAAATTTTTGATCCATTTTATTACCGAAAAAGAAAAGTCAAAAACAAGTAGTAAACTTTGAAGAATCTTCCGGAAATCGGTCTTAAAAGTTGCCAAAAATTTGACTCAGCCATTGACACTTTCACTTGACAGAAAATTGGCCTGAAATTACCCAAACACCAGTTTATTGAGTGTTTTATGACGGAAATAGTGGGAAATAGTGGGGGAATAGCTAGATTTCTCAAAAGAAAGGGAAAATTTGAGAATTTTATGGTCAATAAACTCTTTTTTTAAAAGTTTAACTGAATAGGAAAACTGACCGGCATCAACCATAGCTTCCCATGTGACTTCAAGAAGGAGACGCACTTGTGGGTCCAAGAAATTGGCCTGAAAATGGGATTTTGAAGGATTTTCAATAGAAAATCGCTAATTTATTATTAAAAATCGACAAATTTTCAGCGAAACCTGTTTAGGGGTGATTCCGAAGAATTGAGTGTCGAATTTCTTCAAATCCCTCAGCTTTCCGTGGCGTTTTGGCAGATCGTAGAAGCCTGAAAATGAAGGGATTTTAGGGAAATGTTTTACTTATAAAACTAGACTTTAGATACTTAGATAGAAAATTTATAGAACAATTTCCTTAACGACAAACCGGGTGGCCAACGGAGATCGTCCTCAGTGACGAGATCCTCGCCGGCGAGCAAATTATCTCCAAATTCTTTCACATTCTCGGACCTGGAAAATGGGAAAGTTTGGAATAAATTTCAAAGGAAAAGAAAGGGAATTTAGAATTTAAAATATAGAACTTGTAGCTAGCATTTAAAACTGAAAATTGAATCGATTTCATTGATTCAATAGACTTTTAACAGCTGTCGAACTTGTTCAGTTCTGCACAAAGTCCAGTTCTTTCATTTTTTGAGTTACTATATCTTTTTATTATTAAAATTGTTGCATATACTGTAAATTTATTGAATTATTTTTTATTTGCTAATTTTTTCACCTAGGAAAACGTCCGGAGACTCCGGAGATGACGATGTCCTCCTGTCCGTGCCAATAGGGAGTCTCACCGTTCCACATCGCGCTCGTCGACGAGTTAGACTGAAAGATTTGAGATTAATTTGAGAAAATCTTGTAAATATCATATTTTAACAATCAAGAAAAGATAAGAAATGAAAAATCAAGAGCTTGAACTGGTCTTGGAGAGTAGATAAGTAAAGCCAAAGTTGAGATCCTTTTGAATTCAAAAGATCAAAAGATTCAAAAGATTTTTCGCTTCATTCAATACGAAACCAATTGCTAATAGTATCAAAAAAGAGCGAAAAAAACAAAAAGTGAAAGGCGATTGGTGGAGAGAGGAAAAGACTCCACAAAGTGGGTCAAGGGGAATTTTCAACTTGATTGCTTTGAAATGGTTTTAAAGGCTCAAGAGTTCAAGCTTCGAAGAGTTCGATCGATTGAAAGTGAAATAAATCGATAAAGGTAATCATCCAAAAACTCAATTAGCCTTTAGGGATAAAAGGGGGAAACCGGGCTCGGGAGGAGGAGCGATTTGCAGTCTGACCGTAGAGAATTAGGGCGCGTGATGGTCGAGTCCCCTCGTTTCCTTTCCCATATCCCCCGCCTCGCCACGGTCACTCCTTTTCTCCACACCCATCCCCAAAAATGCCCGTAAGACAAGAGGATGAAGGCAAGGAGAGACAAGTCTCCGAGATGAGACTAAGGGAAAAATCGGCAACAGATCCATGTCTCATTTTGTATCGATTTCAATGCAAGCCTAATAAGCAGGAGATTAGGCAGATGATTGTGATGATTGTGAAGGGGTTAAACAGATGCAGATAAGAGATGAATACAGGTTTAGAAGCATATAAGAAGGAATTTCCAGTCAAAGAAGAGGATGGTGGTAAGGCTTGCTGCTAGAGAACTGATCGGTTTTCTTACGAGAGTTGATTGAAGAGAGGTAGAACTAGGCAATAGTCAGTCAATAGTTGAATTACGGTATTTGTTAGACCTAGAGCTGTTCAATGCTTATGAAAAACTACAATGACTAACTAAGTTATTCAGTTCATAAGACTAAAGAGCTTTGAATTGCCAAATGAAGCTGAAGAGTCTTAAAAATTAGAAAAACTAATTGTGATCTGTTTGAGCACAAGATTTCAAAAGGATTGACTGATGCTAATGTATCAATTTCTTTCATGATCTAGCATATGATTGGAGTTTGGAGTGAAGGAAATGTCTAATGTCAATGTCTAATGTCTTTTCATCAAACAAAAGGATATCATCATCGTTCTTCATGGAAAATGAAAAGAAAAGTGCATATGAATGTCTCTAGTTTCTAGTCTTTTAGATGAGTCATTGCAGATTGCGACAAAGGTTTGCCTCAGTCTTTTAAGAAGAAAGATTTTGGATGTTGTGGTGGCGATTGAGAGTCTAGTCTAGTTCTAGTCTTTTAAAAGTTCAATGGTTTAATCGTTCAATGATTTAGATTCTGTTTTGAACTAGAAGCTCAAAGGTAAGCAAAAATTAAACATCAAAAAATCGGCCCTTACAATTGTCAGAAAAGAAACTATTCAAAGCTCTTTTACGCTTCATTTGTTCTAATTTCAATCATTTCTCAAATCTTTTCCAAATCGATTTACCTAGCCATCGAAATTTGAGCTCAAGATATGGATCTTGAAGTGCTTTTTTGGGAGCCGATGAGCGAGGAGTTGCTTGATTTTTGGAAGAGACAATGTTGTACACACAAAAGCAGAAACTATAGAACTAGTGGGATTTCTGGAGAGGGAAACGTTGCAAATAAACAATGAAAAAGGTTTATTTTTAGGAGGTTAGCTGCTCTTTTCAAAGCTTTAGTCACATTTTTTTGAGTTAAATTAGCTTAGAAATCCAGAGTTATCATGACTGAAAGGCTGGGGCATTTATCTGTAATCACAGATTCATCTGTAAAAGTTTAAATTGGTTTGTTTAATAGATTTTAAATAAATGGCTCTGAATCCAAAGCCAGACTTAAAACCCATTAGTCAAAGTCAGAGCAGAGAACGCTCAAGGCATTCAGATCTACGATAAAAATGATTAGTGAAAGCCATATATCTAGAATAAGAAGTGAAAGGGTCAGCCATGACAAAAAGAGAGGCTAATCGTTTGACTGTTTTGGATGTGAAGAAGAGGAAAAGAGATTCGAGAAGGCGACGATCAGATAGGAGAATGGAGGGAAAGAGAAGGGAAATAGGAGAAATATCGGGTAAGAGATTGGAAAAGAAATGGGGAGACATTTAGAAACACTGTAATTAGACGATCAGTATCCTTTGAGGGGGAGGGGGGGGGGGGGGAAAGGGGTGGAGTCTATGCGGAGATCGAGACACATTCCTGAAGTAACAAAAAGGGTCTTCTCTCGGAGATGGCAATGCCATTGATCAGATTTGATAAGAAGATCAAAAAGTGGCATTTGAAAATCCGGCAAAGAATATAAAAAAAGAATTTTGTAACATATAGGTTTTAGAGATTCTTAGGCCAAAATTCTAAGGCCAAAAGGCTTAACTTAGCAGGACAAGTATTTAATCACTTATTAGCTCAATTAAGCTCAAAATTTTTAATATAATCCGTACAAGATTATTGTACATTTACTTGAGCTTTTTATCTTTTTATGTTCCTATTTATCTTTTAGAATCAAATCCCTATAGCTTCCTTATTTCAAAATTATCTTGAAAAGTTTCAAGTTTCAGGAAAAATCCGCTTTTAATTAAGCACTTTTTGATGACAATTGATATCAGGAAGCTTTCTCAAATCATCCGAAAAACGAGAAGCTCAATCTTTCAAGAAAGGAAATCCTAGAAAGGAGATCAATCATCGGGAAAGTCTCGGCACACACAAAGAACGAGGCCTTGCCCCGGTCAATTTTATGGATTTTCGGCTGAGCCGGTTTTCTTGGGTTTTTTCGAGAAGAAAGCGAATCAGAAAAGAGTTTGCAAGAAAAAAAGAATAAGTTCACAAAGGGGTTTGAGAGATTGGAAAAGAAACGACTTGTACAAAGGTTGCTAAACTAGAACAAAACTGGATAAGACTTGCAAGTAGATCACTTTAAATAGATAACTTAAAAACAAAAACATTCAGAATTGAATTTTTTAAGGTTTCTTGTAATAAGATCTTCCGTTATTATCTTAAATTTGTTAATTTAAATAGTATAAGTGTTGTACAAGCTATACATGACTAACAAATTACCCTTAAACATTTAATTCTAAGATTTGGTTAGATTTTGATTAGATTACCTAACTTTAACTTGTAATAATGTTACTGCAGATTATTGTACTATCTTCTGCTCAATCTTAAGCTAATCTAGAATTGATTGAGTAGCTTTAGAGCTCAAGATATAGCTCAAGATATAGCTCAAGATATAGCTTAAGATATAGCTCAAGATATAGCTCAAGTTATAGCTTAAGTTATAGCTCAAGATATAGCTCAAAATATTCAACTAAGCAGAAATCTTAGTATTTTTTAAAAGCACAGAAACACAAACCTGAGAGTCCTGGTCGGAGACTCGCTCCCAACCGGAAGAGACGTCCGATGAATCGGCGGGCATTCCAAGCAAAGGGAAACGAAGAGATTACACCGATATCAACGAGAACAATCAGATCCCGAAGAAGAAAGATGTTGGATGTTGTGGTGGCGATTGAGAGTCGAAATGGACGAGATTGGGAGCGGTGAAGTCTCTAAAAAAAGAAAGCACATAGGGGAAGGGGAAATGACACTGGGGAGGGTACAAATGGCAGAACAAAGACAAAGACTTTAGAGTTAATTTAATTGGGAATCGGAAATTCAGAAGAATTTTTCAATATTTCAAAATCGTTTTAAGCTTGAAAGCAAAGAATTCACAGAAGTTTAAAGGTTTGAAAATGATCTGAGAAAGGTTTGTGGAAAAAGTACAGTCTAGTTACTAGTGTACTGTAGTTTTGTACATACATTTGTACTTTACAATACTAGTAGATAAAATAGTATTATAGGCGCTAGTAGATACGTCTATTGCAAGTAGTACTGCAGCTAAAGTAGAACTAGTACCGTATGTAAAGTGCTAATACAATGTACAAAGCGCTAGTACTGTACATAAAGTAATATTTGTACAGAAAAGGACTAAATGTACTAGAAGTAGTAGAAGTACTAGAAGTAGTAGAAGTACTAGAAGTACTAGAAGGACCAGAAGTACTAGAAGTACTAGATGTACTAGAAGTACTAGAAGTACTAGAAGTACTAGAAGTACTAGAAGTACTAGAACTGAGTAGTGAAAGCAGTTTAGTACTAGTCTATTATTTGATAAATCAATCTAGTATTTGATAAGTCAATACTAGTATCTTAAATAACAAAAATTGAATGTGATAAAGCACAAACCAATCTGAAAGAGTGAAGCCCTTTTATACCAAATCTAATCAGGAATGGTGTGAGATCTAATGAAATCGAGTGTATAAAAAAAGTTTAAAGCTGAAATACTCAATAAGGAAAAGAGAAGAAGAGAGTAGAAGTGGGGTGAGGTTTCGAAGAAAAAGAAAAAAAGAGGAATTGGGTGGTGTGTTTCCTTTCCGGAGATCCCACCCCTTTTTTGGACAATGCGATTTGTTGGAGAGTTTCATTGTTTTGTGTGATGTGAGATCAGTTCTCATGTGAATGAGCTCATTGAACTCATGTGCACTTTCTTGTCTTGTTTTTGTGAAAATTGCAAAACCCTATTCCATTTCCTAATTTAGGTTCTTTGATTCTTTTGAGGCTGAATTTCAAAGTAGTTTCTGACTCATTGATACTCATTGATCCAACTAATATTCAGTGCACTAGAAGACTTGCGTTTGTAAAGATTAAAGGCAAAGATCTTTGAAGTCAGTAAGGGAAGTCCGAGTCTCTTTGTGCTCTGTTAAACATTGGCTACCTGGTGCACTTAATGCTCTCTTAAACATTGGCTATCTGGCACATCAAATCCTTAGTTTTGAACAGAAAATGTGCATTTGCTAGAGCACAAAGTACAAGTCTAACCTGAGAAAGCTAACCCAATAAGGATTAGAGTCAGCTGGCCTGATTATAAGAGTTAGATTTAAAATATTTTCAAAAAAATCAAGATATCTAGAAAGATTGTTTTTGAGGATCACCAAGAACACCCATCAAATCGCTGAAAGATAGAGGAGGCGCTGAGGGTCGATTCCCCTTTTCCCCTCTCAAATCCAAGACTCGTCTTTCTCTTTCATCAGATCTATTGAGGATTGAGGATGGTTTGTATATGGCTCAAGTTCAAGGCCATTCCTTTTCTCCATTCGTATCTTTTCCGATACGATCAAAAGTTTTCCTTCTTCGATGGATGGCCATCTTCTATCCAATTGACGAGAGGAGATTCGTTTTTAACACAATCCAAATATAACCCTTTTGTTAGGGAATCAGGGGATCAATGGGGACATTGGCTGAATCATAAATCTGTTCTTGATCTGTTCTTGATCTGTTCTTGATCATCGATTGACTCCAGAGAGAGAAAAGTGAAGGCTATCAAATCAATAATAAACCCTGACATTCTGGAGCACTAGAATCTCTAATTGGTATTCTGAAAACTTGTACGAGATCAAGAGATCTGGATTCTGGATCAAGAGATCAAGACTTTAAGAGCTTGAAAATCGTCCAACTTCAACTCTTTAACAATTCTGTTTGTCTGTAAAAGTTTCTAAACCCTCATGAAATTCATTTGATCTCAAAACTTTAAGATATCTTTATAGAGAACTTCAGCAACCTCTTATAAAGTCAAAATCATCAATATCAGCTTTTAAATCTTTCAGAAATAACAAATTTTCTAATCTATTTTTTTTCATTTTACAAATGTCACAAAAGAGCTTCGGAAAATCATTTCTTTTGCTTTTTCAGAGATTTTTCATAAAAGCAAGAGATGTTTTTGTCGATCTAATGCATTCGAAAACGGGAGGAACAAAGAAAAATTGAAGTTCTATAATCGAATTGAAATCTGCGGACTTAAACTATTCTTAGAAATCTAGAAAGATTCATTTTCAAGAGTTTGAATTTAAAAAGATTCAAACTTCTTAGAAATCTAGAAAGATTCATGTTTCTATTTGATTAAGAAATAAAAATTTTAGCTGTTCAACATCAAAAACATTAGAGATCATAGATTCACACAAATCTCGAAATGGTTGTAAACCAGTTTCCCATTTTTTTAGACACACAAAATTGCCTACAACTGCCTACTCAAGTGGTTTTTTATAGTGTTTACTATTTTGCCAGAAAATCTCTCAAGAACTTTAGATTTTGCATGGAAATCATGGAAAATTTTGTGTTTTTTTTGAAAATTTTCCATGGAAAAATTTGTGAAATCACACGTTTTTTTTAAAAAATCTGAAAACAGTTTTATTTTGATTTCTTGTTGTTTTTAAATTCAATCTTAAAGATTTCCAAATATAGAATCAGCAAGATCAGCTGTTTCTCACTCAATAAGCTTTGTTTACTTAAACTTTAAAAAAATGACCGAAAAAGATTTCCCTTATTGATATCGGTAGTCAGTTTGGCGACTGATATGAAGAGTCGCTGTAAAATTAAGCGGAAATTAAGCGGCCAAGAGTCTCAAAAAGTCTGTTATTCTTAAAGGTTTAACTTAAAAGAACTTTAGAAACACTCTAGATACTTACAATAACAAAACTACATTGTAATTCATTTCAAACTATGAGTAATAGTACTAGTTCTCTTATTGGTTCAACAGTTTTCAAATCATTTTCATTATTTCACTTGTCCAAAGCACTTGTAAAGATCAAAGACCTTACTAGATACTTACAATAACAAAACTACGTTGTAACTAATTCCAAACTATGAGTAATAGTACTAGTTTTGGTCCTGGTTCAACAGATTTCAAATCATTTTTATTATTTCACTTGTCCAAAGCACTTGTAAAGATCAAAAACCTTACTAGATACTTACAATAACAAAACTACATTGTAATTCATTCCAAACTATGAGTAATAGTACTAGCTCTCGTACTGGTTCAACAGATTTCAAATCATTTTCATTATTTCACTTGTCCAAAGCACTTGTAAAGATCAAAGACCTTAAATAGCTTAACTTTCTAATCTTTTTGGTGTTTACGGTAAAGTGTTTTGCTTTGAAGACATCTTTGATAACAGAAATCAGCCGATTGTTGAGAAAAGAAGTTGTCTGTGAAAGAAAAGAAAAAAGCACGAAAGATCACTTTTCACAAATTCGGGGATTCCCAACACAGAAAACGTTCGCCTGATAGAGAAAAGAGTTTTTTTTTTGACGAATAAATTCAGCAAATATTTCAGGTGGCGTGAGTGGAGGATTCAGGTGAAATTCATGGGAATTCGAGAGAAAAGAATGAGAAAGGAAAGAGAAGAATTGATTCTGGAATGGTCACTCCATTTGCCGAATTCTTGGATATCCCGCAAAGGAAAAAGTTGGCAAAATAGGGAAATTTTCGAAAATTTACAGGTTTACTGAAATGAAAATCAAATCTATCAAAGATTTTTTGATTTTTTAGATATTTACATAGTAGTAATGTTTTACTATTGGAACTTGTAATTGATACAAAAGTAAAACTGTACTGGTAAAACTGTACTAGTAAAACGTACTAGTAAAACGTATTAGTAAAACTGTACTAGTAAAACTGTACTAGGAAAACTGTACTAGTAAAACTGTACTGGTAAAACTGTACTGGTAAAACTGTACTAGTAAAACTGTACTAGTAAAACTGTACTAATAAAACTGTACTAATAAAACTGTACTAATAAAATTGTACTAATAAAATTGTACTAATAAAATTGTACTAATAAAATTGTACTAATAAAACTGTACTAGTAAAACTGTACTGTACTGTACTAGTAAAGCTGTACTAGTAAAAGTGTACTAGTAAAACTGTACTGTACAGTTCTTGTTTTATCAACTATAGCTCAAGTATATCTTAACAATGTTTTCATTGACTTGAGCAAGGATATTTATTATTATTATTTATATAGCAAGGATATATTTTCTAATTAAGTAAATTAAGTCTAATTAAGTCTAATTAAGTCTTATGTAAATCAGACATAAAAGTTCAACAAAGCATTAAGAAATCAAATCTAAACAAGTTAACAAACTAGCAAACTTACAAGATTCAAAAAAATCTTATCCAAATCATAAAATGAAGTGAAGATAGACTAATTAAGCAATAAAGAAAGACGATAAAGTCTGGGTAAAACGGGATTGAGATATTGAATGGGGTGAGCAGGAGACTGTACTCTGTCTCATCCACCACTACTCACCCAGCTCAGCCTGTGGGGATGCGCGGTGACCGTCAGGACTGGCCGGCACCGAACCCCCCGCCTAGCCTCACCCTCGGATTATCTCCCCAGTCTCTGTCTCTCAGCCTCCTGTTCAACCGTCATCCCCACCCCCCGTTTTTGGAACAGAGATAGTGGTAGTGGACTCGTATTCAATCATCATCTCTCGGCTCCCGGCTATCTCAAAACTAGTTTTATGCCCTTTTCTCAGTAAAAATTGAGAGAATCGGATCGGAAGCTTTTTTCTTTTCTTGCCTATAAATTCACCAAGCCAGAGATT